TATACACAAATATTTAAACATACTTTAACGTTGTGATCATTTCAAGAATTAGTTCTTAAGACACCCAGACATAACTTCGGTTAGTGTCCAGTCAAGTCAAGTCTCCGAAACTGAATTACCAGAATTTTAGGACAACGTACGAGTAAGAGCAATTTAATAAATAGCATTAAGTGTTCGGGAGGGCGACCGAAGGTGGTAAAATCAAAGAGTTACAATCATGCCATTAAAATCCTCAAAAGGCTAGCATCCATAAATATCCGCTTCACACCAGTATAATTGTACATCCTTAAAAAATGTATGTAATTGTAGTTAACTACAATTCATGGCTCTTCATTGAATCTGAAATCAAATCAAAGCAATAGAAATTCAAAAATATAAACCAATGATTTTGTTTATTAAAAAAATTAAAAACCAAATATTTTATTCATTTTTGTCGTTCAGGAGCCGTGATCAAGAAGCCTTAAGAACCAGAAGCAAATATTTCATAGTAAACCTTAGAGTAAACTAAGATTACAACTTGATTAAAGCGCACAAAAACGACGATTGTGTTTTTATGGCATACTCGAAATTATTAGACCCTAGGTTAAAGGTCAAAAGGACAATGGTCCGCGTAGCGTAGTGCAGTGATGCCAAAAAGACCTAACCGAAGTATTAGTTAGGCTCTACTATCCGCTGGGCATCGCTTGGCGATTAGTTATATTCTGCGCTGATCCACGAAACACATACATACCATACCGATCTCTTTCTTTACCTCAACAAAAGAACTCAAACTACTCAAAAGAAAAGCAATCAAGGCTGACTTTGTACATAGAGATTTCAAAGGAAGAACTTTGCGAAAATGCTATGGAAACCGACTTTTACAGCAATATAAGTAAGCTCTAACTGATATTCATGGTAAATAACTGGGCGCACTGCCACAAATTGGTTCCACTCCCAGTTGAGTGTTCGGCTAAGGTTCTAGAAATAGTTAATATAACAAATAAATTTGAAACAATTTTTTGAAATTATTTCAAGGTTAACCAAGGCAAATCGATAATAATACAAGAAGTTATAAACCATTATTGTTAAAAATAATATTAATTAAATATATATTTGGCGGCTTTGATAAAGGACATATACCGTTAAACATTATTGATAAATAGCAGCTTACATTGCTTACTTGTTAAACTGATCCAAACCGGGAATTTTCAACATTCGCACCGTCACCGAACTGATCCCAACTTGAGAAATGTGTTCATAACATGTCACTTTCTAAACTGAAACAACCCATTAAACTCCACGCAAGTAAGCAACTGGTAAGCCCTATAATAGACGTATTTATATGAAACATGCCTATATACACACATACCATATATAAATGTAACGATAATGGTACGAGTTTGGTTCTAGTTTTCGTCTTTAATTTTCAACTTTTACGGATTCGTCAAAATGGCTGTTAATTTTTGGGAAATAAAAAATGCTAACGCAAAACAGTTGAAGGGAACTAAGCCCAAGTAAATTAAACGCAACAAGAACAATTGTTGAATTATTTACATTTAAGCAACGCGTTGCCTGCGACAGTTTGAAAGATGAGAATAAAATAGTTGTAGCAAAATAACAATTAAAGTCTACAAATTAAAATATGTATTTACGAATCAAATGCTTCAGCCGCTTGTTGTTTGTTCAAACCATTCAAACGTAATTAATTTTAAGTAAAAGCCGCTACGTTTAGATAAGTATTACAGAAGTGCATAAGGCGCTCATGATCTGTTATTTTTTTTATAATTAAAGGTTTGACGCCAATGCAAAGTAGAAACAAATTGTTAATTGGACAGGAGCTAGCCACAGAGTAGCAGAAGCAACGCACCGAAACTACATGTTAAGCAATTGAATATAAAATGTCGGCCTGAACCGGATGCAAACAAATATCCGCGGACAAACCGTTAGTCAAGTAGAGAACATTTTTGGAAAATGCGCAAAAGACGCAAATAAAAACAAAATAAAGTGATATATAAAAGTAAAATTCGTTGTAAATTTAATTTAATGGGTACGGTAAAGTCTAAGCAGCCTATCAATACATTCGATACTATGATGAAAATATGCCTTCTAAAAGCATTAAGCCAGAATATTCGATTTGTACTGTATGGAATGTTTTTTTAATGTACATCTTTTTTATTAATTACTTAGCAACAATTGGATTTGGCAAATTTTAGCCTATTTTTTAAAAGTTATGTTCGTATTATTCTAAATATTTTTTCTCCGTTTTAGAGAAGATCGTCACGTTGAATTTCTTTTTTATAAAAGTAAAATTGAGCAAATATCACGAGATTTCTTAAAACTTTAACAGACAGAAAAAATATACGAGGTTGTAAAATAATTGACTCTATTTTGATTGAGAGCTGATTTATATAAGCCACTTCAGCGCCTTACCCAATTTAATTGCATCAGAAATTACTTGTCGTTATACGGCGATTTATTCAAGGCGAGCCAGGCGATTAGTCACAACCATTATCTCTGCAAGCAATTAGAAAACATTTCCATTTCTATTTTTGACATTTTTATTTTATCTCTTATCGCCTACGACTAAAAACAAACTTTCGCATTGGTTGGGCGGCTACATAGGTAGAAACAAACTAAGACAAACAATTTTGCATCGTAGGTCATCAACTTAGGCTAACGACTGTTTTTGGAGTACATCTTTATGTATATGTATAATTCCTAACGTAAAGTCTTAAAAACAAAAGGACATTTTGTTGTTGGTACTTTGCGACACGCAAGAGTTTAAAAGGTAAACGTAATACAAAACTTATCGAATCTAGAGTTGCCCTTAAATAAATCTTCGACTTGTCCAGGTCGAGGTCAGCGAATGAGGCATAGCCAGGTGAGGGTTAACCGATGGCGGTAGGGATGACTTACAAGCGAAATGCTAACTGATGACTGAACTTGGCGCTGTTATGTTCTCTGGTCTATCACTCATGCGGCTCGCTGGAGCTGCTGAAGGTGCGGCTGCGACTTAGGCGCCTGGCCCGCTCCGCCAGTGCCGCCTGCTCGATGCGCCCGTCCGACAGTTGATGGGGCAGGATGTTGTGCAGCTGGGTTTTCAGCTGTCTAGTCTGCGGACGCTGCTCTGGGTGGGCGGATAGCATCTGCTGCAGAAGTTCATACTGTTGCGGGTGGTTGACAGCGAAGTCCTTGGGGTACTGGCCGTCCCGAAGACTGCGCAGCGTCTTGATCCTTTCCATTTCGGTGCAGAAGTACACGTGAAGCTCGAAAAAGATCAGCCCCAGCGAGTAGATGTCAACCTTGTAGTCATAGTGCTGGCCAAGAAGCTGCTCCGGCGACATGTACAGGTGGGTGCCCACCTGCTGCGTATGACGGGCGCAGGACGGCAGTCCGCTCTGATCCCCGCACTTGGCCACCAGATTGGGAATATCCGCCATGTCGGTAACGAGACCAAAGTCTCCAATCTTAATCTGCCCATCTTGAGAAAAGAATATGTTGCTCGGTTTCAGGTCCCGATGAATAAGCCCCTTCAGATGCACATAGTCAACGGCATCAACGATTTGGTGAAAGATGTCAGCAATGTGGGCTGACCTGGCCTCCGATCGATTATCTCTTAACCAGTCCCGCAGACTTTCCTTGCGGCACAGCTGCATCTGTATGTAGAGGTACACTTTGCTGGGCTTGGCCAACGATCCGTTCTGAATCGTGGCACTTGGTGGCGTGACATGGCTCCCGTTATGGTTGTTATTGTGGTTCTGGGCCAGCGCCAGAGTAAGGGGCTTCCTCCGAGCCTTGTTATCGTCCTCCGCTTCATCACTCTCATTGCTCTTGGGGCGGACAGATTCGATTTGAAATGAGTTGGAAACCAGCTGATTCTGTGAGTAGTTAATGTTTTTTAGGTCGAACGAGGCCGAATGGATATCGATGGACACGGAGCTGCGATGGTGACGCCTAATTACGTTCTGTTCCGCTTCGTCCTCATCATCATCGTCATCATCGTCGTCGTCATCATCCTCCTCGCCTGCCCTTAAAGCGGCTGACTGCGACTCGCTGCGGAACTCAATAAGCGAATCCTCCTCCTCATCGTCGTCATACTCCTCTCTAATGTTCCTAAGCGATGACTCGCCATGTCCGTGAAAGTCATGGCTGCAGGCCGTGCTATTGGCTGCATCCGAGACCCAGGACAAGAGCTGCTGGTGTCGTTTCTTCTGCAATTGTTCCGCCAGCGAGGGCATTGTACTATCGTCCGGCGTCTCTATCTGAATAGACGTGGACAGCTCGTGAGCGAGAAGCTTCCTATCCTCCTCTTCCTGCCAGCCAGTTGGCGGAGTTTCGGTCCACGACTGAAAGATAAAGATGTATATTATACACGCTGGCTTTCGTCAAGTATTATAACTCACATGGAAGTAGCGCACGATATTGTGGTGCTCGCAGCTGGCCAATGTGCGAGCCTCACGCAGCACTCGCTGCCTTGAAGACTCCTTATTGGGCAGCGTTATGCGCTTTATAGCATACCGGTTCTCGTCCAGCTTATTCTTGGCTTCGAAAACCACTCCGAAACCGCCACGTCCGAGGCACTGCATCAACTCAAAGTCAGACTGGAAGCGCGAGGTGTAGTACTCTCCTGAATGCGTTGTGGATTCCGAAATGGTGCGCTGGTTTCCGCGACCGGACGGGAAGCTAAAACGGTTTCCGGGACGCTGCGTCGGAACCACGGGACCCAGTAGAGCTTGCGTGGATGCTTCGGTGGCCTCGATGGCCGTCTGCACTGGTACATGACGTTCAATGACGAGATACTCGCGCTCTACTCGCTGGTTTCGCTGTCCCATGAAAATATTGAGAATTACTGCCGAGGTAAAGGCGATGACCACGATCTCCTTCCACCAAAACCAAAGCGACAGTATCACCACCTTCACAGGAGCATCAATGTCGTCCAGACTAAAGCCCAGATCGTCATTAATGCTATTGTTGCCCGAATGCTCGGTTCCCTCTGATGTGGTATTGGTTGGAGGCGTTGGAGCTTTGATAGCGGGGAGACCGTTGGGAGTATTTTGAGTACCGCACTCCGACGGACCGTCCAGTTCACTCGTGGTGTAAAAGTAAAATCCATTGCCATTGACAAACTCCGAGGCATTTAATACGGATTGCGCTGCTACAGCGAAATTCTGGTCATCATAGGGCACTAGTTCTCCTCCCTGGGGTCCCGTTCCCTCAGCTATCATCTCGGGCTCCTCTTGATCTCTCCGGAAGATGACCAGAGAGTTGCTGCTGGCGGCTATCGGCTTCCATGGGATCTTGGGCATTAGACTGGTGTCGCCTGTGAGCTGCTGATAGGCCCTTGTCTGGTCCATAATCTCCTGGCGTAGACGAATGGACTCCTGAATATACAGCTGTTTATCGTACATGCCCAAGTAGATGGATGGAGGGCTCTGTGGCGCGTTGGGCAGCTCCTGGTCCTCCTGGTCCTGGTCCCACAGCCACTGGGCCGAGCTGAACAGATCAATAGGCTGCAGTTCGTCCTCGGCATTTGTATTCCAGGCACTGACAATCGGATGATCGAACTAGGAAGTAAATAAATATTAAATTAAATATTATTAAATATTAATATTAACTTACTTTATATTTCCATAGCATGGTCTGTGGGTCACTTTTGCTGAAGGCACAGATAATGCCCTCGGGCACCACCACCTTGATATTCACGTCCAGGACAGCAAGCTCCAGCTCATCGCGCGGCTGCTGTTGGCACTCGGAAGGTCGCACCAGATCCAACTCATGCTGACCCACGCTGAAGTTCCATCGCTCCATTCCGGTACGGGATTCGACAGCTCTCACTGTCTGTGTCTGGCGGCGCACCACGATAACATCGTCCAGGAGCGGATCATGGCCCACAACGTACCCAGCCTCGTCCCTGAGCTGGTCACCATCCTCCGGCTCATCCTCCTCATCGGGCTCCCTAATGGTGTCATCGATGGCCAGTCCATCCTCCGTGGAGTTCACACATCCACTCAGAGAGCATTCATACAGCAGCTGGCCTGTGCGAACGGAAACGCCGTAGGAGCGAGTCTCCTTGCCTCCCGAAATCACCAAATCGTCACTAAACTTGGCACTGGAGCTAAGTAGGTGCTCCGCTGTGATGGGAATCGGATCAATGGAGTCGCCGTCGAACTTGTAAATGCCGCCGCTTAGGGAGGGAATCATGCGCACAAACTGTCCATTGTTGGTCAACTCCAGGCGGTGGATGCTGGATGAGATCAGCGGTCCGGGTCCAGTCGGCACGCTCCAGCGCAGTTTTCCAGACTTGGCGATGTCCAGAGCGCTCAGCCGACCGTCCAGTGTTGTAATGTAAAGGAGTCTACGGATACAGAAAAATGGAAAAACTTAGCAACTGAAAAATAATCTGGCCCTTTCAAAGATTTTTTGGTTGAATATAATTGCCCCCCCAATATCTAAAAAGTTTTTAGAAGATAAGGTTTCGAAGTACAAACTGCACGCTCAAAAAGTAGTTTAACTTTCATAACTACATATGTAGAAGTATATGAACATTCAAAACTAACCGCTTTTGATTCGTAAAAATTTCAATTTTTAAAATAGAAATTGGAAGTTAAGATTTATTTTCGTTATTTATTATAAATATTGAAAATAACACTTATTAAACCATTTTTTGTATAAAAATCAAATAATTACTATTTATAATTTTTATTTCAAAAAACAAAATTGGTTTTTTGCATCGATGTACATAACCATTTGGTTAAAAATAATTGTTGAGGCAAAACCGTACCGTCTTCTTATAGATCTCATTTTGGATTGTGGCCTTTCTTGACCTGTCCCTGAATTTTATCAGTGTTTGCGATGAATTTCGTCACTGGGTGCAAGGTGCATCGTGCATAGTGCAAGGATAAAGGCAATCAGGAGAAAGGGTCACACTGGCCATCCCAGCTGACTGGGGAAAAGAGTGTGGGAGGGGACGAGTACAGCTGATTTCGCGCCAAGAAAAAAGTTGAGATACAACAAGTGTCAGTTGGCCCCTCTTCATTTCCCCTATCGGCATCTCTGTCCCGCCCCCTGAAGAGCCGAAAATGGCGCCCTCCAAACGAGGGGATAAAGCAAACGAGAGGAGAATGGTGAAATTCGATGAAAACCTTAGGCAAACGCAAAGAAAGCAAAACAATCGGGGAAACCAGTTCGGATTGGCGTGCATAAATAAACATATCTCGTCTGTCTCTCACAAACAAAAAAAGCAGTTAACAGTTTTTGCAAATGACTCACCGCATGCTTGATAAGCGTCCACTGATTACGGGCTTTAGAGCTGGTTAGGGTTCGAACCAAGTGGGATCATATTATTAGATCAGTCGGAAACTTTGTGTTGAGCAGTAGTTCTTTAGGTTCCCGCTTTAGATGGGTAAAATAGGCAATTCAAACTAAAAAGGTCGAGCTAAATGGGATCATATTATCAGATCCGTCGGAAATTTCGAGCTGAACACTCACTGTACCTAATTATAACACTGTTTTCGTTAACTCCCCGATCTAGCTGGATTAGTAGGCACTTTTCGAGTAGTTTAATCAAATATTAACAGCGTGAGCTCTCAATATTTGCCTAGCTGCTGGTGTTTCCTCACTTCGACTGCGTTATAGCGAATGTTCGAGAACACATAAACATAACAGAAGGGTCACACATAACGCACTCAGCTGCTTCTTCTTGATCCATTTGTTACAAGTAAAGACCGTCGCGATATTTTCGGTTGTACCCACCTACGTCCGATCCGGCGTTCCTCCTGATCCACGCAGTGCGTGAGGGCAGGGGGATGGGATGATCCGGCCGTCTGGAGTTCCGAGTCTGCGTTCAGGTGCCCTGCCCGCACCTGGACCGGATCTATGGCCGCCAAGCCCGCCATGGTGAGCGCTAGCAGCTGCAGGAAGCTCAGGTTACGGCGACGCTGCCTGACGATGCCATCCAGGTCGTCCTGCATGCCCATCGTACGCGCATATATACGTAATCCTCGTCTACGGCCGGTCGGGGGCTCGGGGAGCGGGAACGGAACGGGGAATGCAAGTCTTTAATTGGCTCGAACGGTGACGTGTTGACGACTCTCGCGGTCGGCGGGGTGAACAGCGGCGGCAGTGGCTCCCGGCAAGGTCGGCGCACATCTCCGCATCACTCTCGAACGCGCCCGCAGCAAGGAAAATGCAACTCGGCTATATAATTGCACTAATATCGGTCAATTTCAGCTTGTTTTCCTTCCGATTGGGCCGCAACACGCTGCTGATGTGCAGTGTGACCGCGCTTTGGCTGCCATTAAATAACAGGGATGACACCACATCTGACTTTATTTCGTCATTGATTCGAAAATACCGAGAAAATACCGCATTCTCAGGTGGGCGCTAAAGGTACAGTGAGCATTTGATAGTTGTGTCCGGTTTTTTATCCCCTTGCAACGCAGTGAAGTAGACGTTTCCGACCACATAAAATATATATATTCTTGATCAGCACCAACAGTCGAGTCTAGATAGCCATGCCCGTCTGTCTGTCTGGATGAACGCCGAGATCTCGGAAACTATGAAAGCTTGAAAGTTGGAAGCCACCATACAGATTCTTGGGGCTCCTTCGCAGCGCAAGTTTGTTTTATCCGAGTTCCACGCCCCCTTTAACGCCCACAATCGCCTTAAACGATTTTAACAGGTGTCTGGCGCCCGCATCTTTAAAGATTTTGGAAAAGTCCTATTCGGACCATTTGTTAAAAATTGAAAGTCTACGAAGGGAAATGGTCTTCCCTATGACTTTCCGCCCACCGTTTTTGATAATTCCGTGGTGGATGTGTAGACTAAAATCGGCGATCCCGATTGTTTTCCCATGAGCCTAAAAGCGATGCGCCTCCAGCATGCCCGCAAACTGAAGAAGGACCAGCGGTGTGTGGTCATCCTGCCCGTCGGCATACGCAACTACATGAACAAGCTCGCCTCGGAAAAGTGGATAGAGGCGCTTGGCTTCAAGAAGCCGGTCATCGAGGACGGTCACTGGTGGTGGAGTCTGTCCATCGATCAGCCTCAGCTCGCTACTCCTCCGGTCATCCTTAAGTCGAATGCCACATCGCATTAAGAAACATCGCATGGACCAGCTGCCCGATGTGGATCAGATTGATGGGTAGGCCAACCGAATTAACTTCTCAGCTCGATTTCTTATTCGTAATCTTTCGCTCTCCCAAATTAGTTCCATTCTGGGCGTTGTGAATCGGAAGACGCCCATCACGCAGATCGTAAGCATGAACCGCCAGCAGTCCGATCCCGCAATCAAGGCCATTAATAGGTGATCCAATTGAACGAAGCCGAGATCCTTGGCCTTCGTTCTTGAGGTTGATTCCAGTTTGCTTGTCCTGGGCAAGAGATCGGCCAATGGCACCACCAAGTAGCCACTAAAATTGAGATCCGTGTCCTAAAAAAGAAAGAACCACCTACCGACTATATCTACTCGCTTTTAGCTTACACCCGCATGCATTTTGCAATATTTTCAATAAAGCACTTAAATATACACGAATCCCGAAAATTGTATTATAATCTGCGGCTATTAACTTTATATATGTACCTTTAGCTCATGTTATCTATACTATGTAGATGGTCCCACTTCCTAATCAGTGACATATGTATATGTTGCAATCATTCTTATATATTTCAAACGCAAAAAAGTACAGCGCGAAATTCCAAAAATTTCTCTATCTTTGATTTAATCCAACGCCAATGTATATATAAATATATTTTTTTATATTCCTCGTATTTAATTGCTCAATTTGGTATAAAACTTCAAGATCCGTCTCGGTCTCAGCTCAGTTTAATTTCGCAGCCGAAGGTTGCACTTTCAACATAATGAAACCCGGGATTTTATTAATTTTTCTAACGATTTCGGTATTGGATCGGCTATCTCCTGGAGACGGTGCCAATTTGCCGCAGGAAAATTTAGAAACGAAGTGTAAAGGATATTGCTTTACCATCCTAAAGCCATTTCTCGATAATGCTGTTTTACCCAAATCAGCAGATGATGCCAACAATGAATTAAGTGGTCAAGTGACTGGAGGTAATAGTAAGGACCTGCAGAATCAGTTGGCGATTGCTGAACTTCAAATTAAATCCAAGGAAACTATTAGCACTTTGCAAGGCCAGTTGGCGAATGCCGAGTGCCAAGTAAAGCTCAAAGACCTGATAATTGTGAAAGATAAGGAAATACATGAAAAAACTGAACAAATAAAATGCAAAGAAGACCTTATAAAGTTAAAGGACAAGGAAATAGACGTTCAAAATGAACAAATAAAATATTATAATGAAAAAGTAAACAATATGACGGAAATTATAAGAAACTTACAGACTCAGTTAGCAAATGCTGAGGCTCAAATTAAAATCAACGATAAGGAAATCAATGACAAATGTGAACACCTTAAAAACAACGAAGATCAAATTAAGGAGCAAATTAATCAGATCAAGAACAAAGCCGAAGAAGTTATTACTAAAAGTAATGCAGTTAAGGACTTGAGTGCACAGATTTCGACCAAGGATAACCAGATCAATGGACTCAATAATCGGATTAAATCGGTATCTGAGGAACTTTTGAAGTATAATGGAACGGATGAGTGTCCCAAGAGCGGTCCAAGCGGCATTTACGTATTAAAAGTCCCCGGAAATGTTTTAATGGAAGTTCCCTGCAACTCCACTGGTTGGATTGTTGTTCTAAGGCGGCAGGACGGATCGGTAGACTTTGAACGCAGCTGGAAGGAATATAAGGAAGGCTTTGGCAACTTAACAGGAGAGTTTTTTATTGGTCTGGAAAAACTACACCAATTGACTAAGCGACAGCCCCACGAAGTCTACATCAAGATTGTGGATGTACATGGAGAGGTTCGGCACGCTCAGTACGACAACTTCAAGGTTAGCTACGAGGAAAATCATTATCATCTGGACTCGGTTGGAACATACTCTGGTACAGCAGGAGATTCCCTAAGCTACAGTTCGGGCAGATACTTTACCACAATTGATCGAGATAATGACGGCAATGGGAGTAACTGTGCTAAATCTTACTCTGGCGGAGGCTGGTGGTATAACAGTTGTAGTTACAGGTATACAACAGAAAAAAAAACTTTTTAAAAAATGTCTTACTTATAATTTTAATTTCAGTTATCTCACTGGAAAGTTCTATAAGGATGGAACTTCACCAAGTCAAACTGGAATAAATTGGTACCACTATCGCAACGACTACACGACCTCATTTACTTATGTTGAAATGATGATTAAGCCCAAACTATTATAAATTGTATAAGTATATCTGAAACCATCAGAAAACAACAAACAAACAATTACAATTACAATTACAAACATTACAATTTTTTTCAAAATTAATATAAATAAATAAATATTTCGGCATGCGGATAATAGTGGAGCTGATCTAATTCTGTACGGTGCGTCTTGTTTCAATCTTGAGGATTACGATCCCTGGCCACATCTAATATATCAAAAAAAAAGCATCTTCTTCACACAAATACATCTAAAAACTGCCGAAATTTGTTGTATTTAAACAAATCAAAACATCCTAATCCTAACCTGACAATAAATAAATAAAATAAATAATCCACATTCCAATCCATGAAAAAGTTTATGTCAAATTTTGTATATCATTCCATTTTCTCTTTTGTTGCGCTGCAATAAAAATAACCTGCCTACACAGGAAGCTTAAGAACCTGCCAGCTCTTTTGTTTTTGTAACAGATGAATAAATCTCCCAGAGAAAGATGAGCCTTGAGTTCTCTAAAGAGAGGTCGTCTTCATTGCGTTCCAATCAGCCCAAAAATATTATTCTCACTGCAAAAGTATTGACGCGTTGTAAATATTTTCGTTCGAAGAAAACTAGCTGACTGGTAAACCAACAGTTCTATTTTAATTCCTTTTCATGCATTTCAACGTTTTCTCGCCATTAATGTAAAGCCAAGTTGGGTTGTAATTAAATTTAAATTGTTTCATTTAATATAAAACGGATTTTTTTTACTCCTGCAGGTCAGTAACTTAAGTTGGGAATAAACTTAAATCCTCGATGGGTACAGCATCTGTAAAACGATGAAAGACATTTTAATAGACTGGAATTGTCGAGCAAATAGGGATTGAACTTACGATACGGATGCGGTGTCCCATAGCATGACCGGGCAGGTTCCTGTTGAAACGAGCACGGACGGCGCCGGTGTTGCCGTGGATGCGGGTGACCTTGCCCCAGACGGCGCGGACACGGGTCTTGCGCTCGGGGTGCTGTGGCACGCACTTCTTGGTCTCGGCCTTGTAGACATAGACGCAACGCTTGCCAACGTAGAAGGATCCGTGCTCCTTGCGGCGGGCGCCCTCAATCTGCAATGGACAAGGAGATGAGTTGTTAGCTTTAACAAAGATCCTTATAATTGTAGTAGATTTAGCGCCGTTAATATATATATACATAATATAATGTTAATATAAAAGTACGGTTTAACATCTACAATTTTCTAGTTTTAAAGTCAGCTTTTAGTTTAACACGCGGACTAGGAAACGGGTCTCAAAGTATTTGTTTAGGAATACTACTTTAAATACAATTTATAATTTACAGAATTTAATATTAATGTGTAGGGGATGAATTAAAATAGAATTTTACCTCTAATTATAGTAATCTTTTAAAAACATTAATAAAAAAAATACAATTTATAATTTATATATTATAATTAATACTAATGTTGGGGAGATGAATTAAAATAGAATCCCACCTCTAATTACATTAATCTTTTAAAAACATTAATAAAAAAATAACTCCAACAACATCTCGGTCTGCTGATTACCGGGTCGAGTTCTTACCTTGAGGATAGCCTGGTTCTCGTGCTGGTTCCTCAGACCACGCTTGTAGCCGGTGAACACGGCCTTGGCGAAGAGGCGTCCGTGGCGCTTGTACTTCCTGGCGGAAACCTTGGACTCGGTGGCGGCGGGCTTCTCGGCCTTGGGGGCTTTGGCGGCCTTGGGAGCCTTCTGGGCCTTGGCGGCCTTGGGCGCAGCAGCGGTCTTGGCTTGTGTGTCGGCCATGGCTTAGCTGTGGATAAGAAGGGATATCCATTAGTATATGTACATCAATTAGTTTCGGCATTTGTGTTTGATATTTGAGGAGATGATGGTAAGTAAATATGGTGGCTTGAAGGCTTTTTCTAAAGTAGTTTTTACAGTATTTCAGACGAGTTAAATGTTTTTTAGAGGGCAGTAACTAACGAGATTAAAAAAAAAATTGTTTTCAATGCTTGTCCAAATATTGTTGAATACAAAAATTGCAATATTGAAATTGTCCAATTGGGCACTGTATGAAGATATGTATTGAACTGCCATAACATGTGTATATTGCAATCCCAGACGTATATGTCACCATCTGAGACCGGGCTCCTCCGAGAGATTGTCCTGCAGAAGCCACTCTGTCACAAACAATCACAAATTAAATCCGCCTGCCGAATTTGTGCACGTGGGCCAATGTTTGCAGGTTATTCAATGATTATTTGCGGGTTTCCCAAAGCGATGACTTGATTTGATTTGTCTGCGGGAACCCACCTTGTTGTTCGATGAATGAATTTACACCGCTAGAAATAAAAATTAAATATTATTAAAAGGAAAAATTTCGACATAAAAAAAACTTACTTCGCCGGAAACGAAAGCGAAAAGAAGGAAATAGTGTGGCCGCCGCAAGACGCAAACAAAACGCGTTCTGTTAAAACAACCGAGTGCTGTTACACAACAGTGTGCTGTTAAGGGCAAAATGTACAATTTAGTTGGCAACGCGATCAAAATGAATATCTGACTTGGGAACTGGCAACGCGGTTGCACGGAAATCTATTTATTACACAGGCCGACAAAATGTGACATGGGTCGGTGTCCAGGCCTGCCACCATTTTATTTCGATAAATTGAGGCTTTTCTAAGCATAAGTTGCCACTACGCCTATAGTCCATCAGCTCTGGTATTTGCGGTATCTTTAATTTAAGAAAATCACAAATTTTCTTCGTCTTTTGAGATATATCTTCAAGAGTGGTCAACCAATTTTGGTAATCTTTTCGGAATTAAATAGTTACATGTCTCTTTTATACGGTCGTTTTGGAAAATTCAATCTAACTGAACCACAAGAGAAGGTGGGCGCATTTAAAATTTTAAAGTCACAGCAAAGTTTAAAAATCTTCATTTGTGAACAGCGTTTAAAAATTTAATAAAAATATTTTCTTCAACAATGCATTTTTGATCCAAAGACACCTTGTGTCCTTACTGTTTAGGACACTCATCAGGTTTTTGTGAATTGTTTTGGAATTTTTAAAATTGTTTTTCTTACTTCCTTCACAGTGACGATTCACAAACAGTGCCCAAACCTGTCACAACTTTAAATATCATAATTCTAAACGATCTAAGTAGTTTTGCTTTGAGTATAAGCACATGAGCGTAGCCTACTAATCTTTGGGGGCTGAAATGCTTGAAGTGTAATGCCCCTCCAGCTTTTAGCTTACGCCCATGTATAAATATTTTTAAAGCAAGGGTCACTTGTGCTCAAAAATAGTTATGAGTTACGTAAAATAGTGAAAGGTTTGGGCACTGTTTGTGAATCGTCACTGTGAAGGAAGTAAGAAAAACAATTTTAAAAATTCCAAAACAATTCACAAAAACCTGATGAGTGTCCTAAACAGTAAGGACACAAGGTGTCTTTGGATCAAAAATGCATTGTTGAAGAAAATATTTTTATTAAATTTTTAAACGCTGTTCACAAATGAAGATTTTTAAACTTTGCTGTGACTTTAAAATTTTGAATGCGCCCACCTCCTCTTGTGGTTGAGTTAAATTGAATTTTCCAAAACGACCGTATAAAACAGACATGTAACTATTTAATTCCGAAAAGATTTCCAAAATTGGTTGACCACTCTTGAAGATATATCCCAAAAGACGAAGAAAATTTGTGATTTTCTTAAATTAAAGATACCGCAAATACCAGAGCTGATGGACTATAGGCGTAGTGGCAACTTATGCTTAGAAAAGCCTCATTTATCGAAATAAAATGGTGGCAGGCCTGGACACCGACCCATGTCACATTTTGTCGGCCTGTGTTATTAACCTTCGGAAATTATGTCTCAGAAACACGTATAAATATTAACATTTTGCCCTTGTCAGGGTTATAAGATACAGATTTGTAAATAGCCAATTTCCGAAAATGAAAAAAACTGTTGGGTACAACAGTCTTAATTTAAAATAAAGCTCCGTTTAATTTAATGATTTATGTTTCACTTATTGTATACGTTTGATTGGAGTATCAGGAATGATTTCGGATATTTTAAGAATCTAACAGGACTATTTAAAGCGTCAATATTAAATTAATAGGTATTCTTAATTTTTAATTTTACAAAATTTCCAGATTTTAAAAAATCAAATTCTATTTTTAGGTAAATTATCTTATAAACTAGGTAGCACATTGCACATTTTATATGCTTAGTGAGTGCTTTTATTTTGTGTTTCTCTAATCTAACATTATTTTTTACAGAATATTTTTAGTTATATTTTTATATAGACCCTAATCAGACGTTCAATCCACTGCAACGGCAAAATCCTACTGCTCAGAAAGGACCGCACCGCAAACCCTTTTGTCATCTTGCCCAATAAAAAACAGCTTAGATTATACAAAACTCGTTGTTTTATAAACTGTAATTAATTAATTTTATTAGGAATATTAATTTTGAGGATATCGCATATAAAAACAGCGATTGCTGATACTAAGTTCTGAGTAGCTAGAAGATTTAAATATCTTAGATTACATTTTCAAATCCCTTTAAATGCTGGGCTGTTAGCATATTCTCCCTGAAATTCATCGTCAATCGAATATAGTTATCGGCTACTCGGCGCAAACGCGTAGTGTTTTTTTTCAGTGCCGAAAACAAAATCAAAATTTTCATAATGTTGATATTTTAGAGACTGCTACAAAATTGTTGTGCACATGTACCCCGCTGAAGCGAACCGAGCGTGAGAACCGATCGCCAGAAGAAGCCGCAGACAGTTGCATAAACCGCGCAGCCACCGCCGAAATCGAAGAGGAGGAGCTCCCCGGGATTCAGAGCGAACTTTGGATGCGCCGCGATGGGCTTGCTGGTGCAAGTGTTCAAGTGGGACCAGCGATGGTGTCTGCTGCAACGGGTGGACATCCTGCTGCGGCGGGGCATCAAGAAGCAGGCGGTGAATCCGACCAAGTGAGTGGGGTCCTGAATCCTCCCGAATATTGCATAACACATCTCTCATCTCGCCCACAGACTCGCTGAGGTGGGTCGCCTGGTGGAGGCCCGTGACGACCGGTACGAGACGGGGCAGCTCTTCCTGCACCGCATCTTCGGCTACCGCGGCGTCATCCTCTTCCCCTGGACAGCCCGCGTCTACGACCGGGATCTGCACAATCCCGGCAAGATCGGCGCCACGACGACGACGGCGACCGCCAATCCGACGCAGCAGCAGCGCACCAAAGAGGCTTCCCTGCGGGTGAAGGCCAACACCGCCGCTCCGACGACGGCCACAACCGCCCAGAGCGGCGATGCCCCCTCCGCGGCAGCCTACCAGCCAGACGCACCCGGCGAGGCGGAGGGCACCGCAAACGTGGGAACTGCCACGCAGGTGGATCCCAAAGAGGTCAAGGGCAAGGTGCAAACCTTCTACCAGGTGCTCATCGACACCCGCGACTGTCCGCACATCGTAAGTTGGGCTTTTCCCGCTCCCTCTAGTTAATTCTAGTTACTAACTGGCTAATTCTTACCTTGCAGCGCGCCCAAACCGAGGCAGTCACCTTCCTGGGCAACCAGGACTCCAACCGCAGCCTGTACGCCATCCCCGGGCTGGACTACGTGGCCCACGAGGACATCATGCCCTACAACTCCAGCGAGAAGAGTCCGCTGCAGCACGAGCTGTTCGACAAGTTCCTCACCCACGCACCGGAGGCGGATCCGCCGTTCGTGGGCCAGGACACGCTGAAGGCGTGGCAGGAGAAGAACCATCCCTGGCTGGACATGAGCGACGTGCACAAGGAGACCACGGAGAACGTGCGCATCACGGTCATCCCCTTCTACATGGGTTGCCGCGAGACGCCCGCTAGTTCGGTTTACTGGGTGCGTAGAGATGGCTTGGGAGTTTTTAATTCTTTATAATCGCCTTTTATTACAGTGGCGCTACTGCATCCGTCTGGAGAACCTGGGCGAACTGAGTGTGCAGCTGCGCGAGCGCCACTGGCGCATCTTCTCGCTGTCGGGAACCCTGGAGACGGTGCGCGGCCGGGGAGTTGTGGGCCAGGAGCCCATCCTCAGCCCCCGGCTGCCCGCCTTCCAGTACAGCAGCCATGTGAGCCTGCAGGCGCCCAGCGGCCATATGTGGGGAACCTTCCGGCTGGAGCGCGAGGATGGCTATTCGTTCGACTGCAAGATTCCGCCCTTTTCGCTGGAGAGCAAGCCGGACGACCTGGGACCACCCACGCCCACCGCCCACGAAAAGAAGCGCGACGATAGCGACTAGGAGGCAGTTGTTGAACCGTAGTTAAATGATTTTAAAACGCAACCTTCTCTGACAATGCATGCGTACATGTGTTTAGTGCAAATTACAATAATCAACCAGGACGCAGATCCCGTTCTCAGCCCAGTCGCACGTTCTTGGTCTCCAGCTGCACGGAGAAGTCGAAGGGCCGTCGGTTGTCGTGGGTGTCGAAGATGCTCTGCAGGGCGTCGAGAGCCGCTGTTTCGGTGGCTGTCTTTAGGTCCTCGCCGAATCCCTTGCCCAGCAGCTGGCGGTTTGCGTAGATGCCCACTTGGTAGGCGGCCAGAACAGTGTTCCTGCCGCAATCTCCCAGCAGGCGAGGCTCTGCTTCGCCCAGCTTCCGCTCCTGACAGATCCGCTCCAACAGCTGCAGCGGTTCCGGGGGTGTCCACACATCCAACAGGTCCTTTTGATTCAGCTGCGTGCAGATGAAGTCGCGGACAAAGAGGAACGCCCTCTCAATGCAGCTGGAACTCGCCAGGGCGCCGATCACCGCCTGCAGGGATTGGGCCAGACTCTCGGCCGAGGGCGGGTACTCCGTGGAGTGAATCAGATCCTTGGTGCCAAGGTGGGAGGACACGTGGGCCAGGGTCTCGGTGCTCAGCAGAAACTGGGCGATTGCCCGGAGTCCCTCCTCGGGGACCTTCGGCAACTGGTGCTGCAGGAAGGCCTCCACATAGGCGCGGGCAATGTGCCCACCCTTCTCGGCCAGATCGCTGTTATCGGCCATCTGCAGGTCCGCCTCCTCAATGCCCAGCTGCCGACGACGATCCTCCTCGCGCCGAGCGAACGATTTCTCTGTGAAGGCACGTTGCAGCTGGGACAGCTCAAAGGACTCGCCCAGCCGCTTGCCAAAGGCGAACAGCTCCGAGCGCTGGTTCCACTCGATGAAACCGGAACGGGCCTCCGGTTTCTGCGGCCCCAGTTTCTTCTGCCGGTGGGCGAGTTCACGTAACGTCGGCGAGACCCATCGCTTGATGTGGCGCCGTGTTTGCTCTGCCGGAAATCGGATTTACTGACTGGGATTGGGTGCGATCGCAGTACATACCTGTGCTGGAGGCTTCCAGGGGCTTGGCACGAGCCAGGAGACCGGCGGCACTGCGTAAAAAGGACATCTTTGGGGCAATCTTAAAAATAATTAACGAATATTTTTGTGCGCATGGAAATCAGTGCTGAGAAGCGACTGCAGTTTCTAGTTGCAGTGATGACAGGCTAACTATTGTTTTTATATGTATATTTTATTTCTTTCAATTTTAAATTGATTTTTTGAAAAATGTTTTTGCCAAATTATTCTCTTAGCATAAAATATAATCTTATTATTGGTCTATATTATCAAGTCCGCTTGGTTTTATTAATTTGTTTATACAACCATACACAATCAAAACATAGAAAAATCCCAAATTTTACACGAAATATAAATACATTACAAATAAAAAAAATGCACTCTTCACTCTTTAATAGATTGTACACGAGCCGGCCATATCTGCTAGTGCCCTAAACCAGAAAAAAACACATTTAATTAATTTTAGCTATTTTTATCATAGCTAGCTTTTTAGTAGCCAGAAGGTAGCATCTCTAAATTGCGTCGGCGGGGCTAGCGTGTTTTCCAACACTCCCGCGATAGACGCCATGTATGTATGTATGTTATATCTGTGTTTGTGTATGCGGCAGGAAAATTTGAGTTGCAGAATATTTACAAGGAATCCTGCAGAGAATTAGCGATCTGAAAGACCAAGGAAGCATTCAGACCCAACATGGCCCTGCAGACGTACGGGGACAAGCCGGTGGCCTTCCAGCTAGAGGAGGGCGGCGAGTACTACTACGTGGGCTCCGAGGTGGGCAACTACATGCGCCACTTCCGCGGAATCCTGTACAAAAAGTACCCGGGCATGACCCGCATCGTCCTGTCCAACGAGGAGCGCAAGCGGCTGGCCGAGTCCGGCCTAAGTTCCCACATCCTGGCCAGCTCCGTCTCGCTGCTCCGAGCCGTGGAGGTGGACGACATCATGGCCGGCAACGATGAAAAGTAAGTGGGGAGAATCAGTCTGCAGGGTATTACATTCACATGTGTACCTATAGTTTTATAATTTGTTATTATTCCTTGAGTCTTAACAACTTTTATCAATAATTAAAACATAATAGCGTTCAGATACATATATGTACAATGTACAACAAAATTAAGGTACTTACATATTTGTAACTTTTTATAGAGAGAATCTTATTGTCTTGGTTAAATACTAATAGTTTGTTTTGAATGCCTGTGTTGAATCTAATGTAATCTGGTTTCGAACATAATAATAGGGAAGTTCGTAATGTTTAAACTAAAAACCTGCACTATATAAGAATACACAAAGTTTTCAGTTTAAAAACATATCCTAATAGGTATGACCATCTATTTTTATACCCGTTACTTTTACACCTATGTTGTTATGAACGCGTAGAGCCTATTTCAAATTGTTAAAAAGGAGTAACGGGTATCCGACAGTCTTGCTTTAAAATGGTATTATCGGGGATGCCATAGAAATGTCATTGACAACTTGAACATTACCTACTACAGTTCTACAAATTTGATTGATCCAACTGGTTTTTAATTAGGAGGGTAAGGGCAAATTTTTGACAAGATATCAGGTTACTTGTTTAGGCTCGTAGTGCCGATTATATCAGCTAGCTATTGCAAAGTTAATCCCAATATAATTATGAAACTGCGTCCTAGGTACCGCGCCGTCTCCGTGAACACCTCCGACACGCCAGTTCCGCGGGAGAGCAAGTCGAAGAAGCAGCCGCAGTATGTGCCCACCATGCCCAACTCCAGCCACCTGGACGCAGTGCCCCAGGCCACGCCCATCAACCGCAATAGAGTGCACACGAAGAAGGTTCGCACATTCCCGATGTGTTTCGATGACACGGATCCCACGGCCAGCCTGGAGAATGCGGCGCAGAAGGAGTGCCTGGTGCCCATCCGACTGGACATGGAGCTGGAGGGCCAGAAGCTGCGCGACACCTTCACCTGGAACAAGAACGAGAGCATGATCACGCCTGAGCAGTTCGCGGAGGTTCTCTGCGACGACCTGGACCTCAATCCCCTGCCCTTTGTGCCGGCGATCGCGCAGGCCATCCGGCAGCAAATCGAGGCTTTTCCCAACGATCCGCCCATCCTCGAGGAGAGCTGCGACCAGCGGGTGATCGTCAAACTAAACATTCACGTGGGCAACACCTCGCTCGTCGACCAGGTCGAGTGGGACATGTCCGAGAAGAACAACAACCCGGAGGAGTTCGCCATAAAGCTGTGTGCGGAGTTGGGATTGGGCGGCGAGTTTGTCACGGCCATTGCCTACAGCATTCGGGGCCAGCTATCCTGGCATTGTCGCACGTATGCCTTCAGTGAGGCCCCGCTTTCAACAATAGACGTGCCGTTCCGGAATCCCAGCGACGCCGACGCGTGGGCCCCATTCCTAGAGACGCTTACCGACGCCGAGATGGAGAAGAAGATCCGCGACCAGGACCGCAACACGCGCAGGATGCGGCGACTAGCCAACACCACAACCGGCTGGTGATCTTCGTAATATGTCACTAAAGTAATCCTCCCAATAAGTACTATTATTCATCTCAAATAAATGTGTGTCTGTCAATTTTAAAGCTATCTGTCTGTCCCAATGAGTCAACGCTTCGAGTTAATGTAATTTTTAAAATAATCCCGAAATTAAGTTACAAACTAATCTGTTCTTACTGCTTACACTAAACACGAAACCTTACTTAACACTAACTCTCCGCCGAATCGGGTTTGTCCTGGTCCTGATCGCCGTCGTAGAACTCGTTCTTGGCATCGACCATCTTGTCTTCATCGGCCAGGGACATTCGGACGTCGGGGTCGGCCGCCTCGTCCCGGTTGTTGCGCAGCTCCTCCAAGTCCACGTCCGGCGGAGTCTGCACCATTTGGACGCTGGGCGAGTGCTGGCACATTTTAAGGTTTTCATAGACGTGCTTTACGATTAGCTCCAGATACTGCTTTGAGTTGGCGTTATCCTGGCGTGAGTTTATCTCCGGATGGAGAGTGAAGTCGGGGGCGAAGAAGTCGTAATACTCGGTGGCGGGGAGATCGTTTTCAATGTCCTGGTCCACCAGCAGCGAGGTCTCGTGCGTCCAGCAGCGGGCCACGTTCCGCAATGTGTAGCCACCGCCTCCTACCACCAGAGTGGGTACATTCAGCTCCTTCACAAACTTGACGCACTCCCCATGTCCCTTTGTGCTCAGCGAGAAGCAACCAAGGCGATCCCCAGCCAAAGAATCCGCACCACACTGCAAGACAATGGCCGTCGGCCGGTAGAAGTCCATAATGGCCGAGATGATGGGCTTGAACACCTGGAAGTAGCTCTGGTCATCAATGCCCTCCTTGAGCGGCACATTCACGCTGTAATATCGACCCGATTCCGCGCCAATCTCGTACATGTCTCCCGTGCCCGGGAAGAAGTAATTGCCGTACTTGTGGAACGAGGCCGTCATCACGCGATCCGTGAGGTAGAAGGCCTCCTGCACCCCATCGCCGTGGTGCACATCGATGTCGATGTACAGCACCCGCGGATGGTACTTCAGCAGTTCCAGGATGCCGATCACAATGTCGTTCACGTAGCAGAAGCCACTCGCCTCGAACTTCTTGGCATGATGCAGTCCGCCCGACCAGTTGATGCAGATGTCGCTGTGGTTGTGGTTCAGCTTCTGGGCTCCCTCCAGCGAGGCACCCGTGTACATGGCGCAGAAGTCGAAGAGGCCGTCGAACACGGGGCAGTCCTCGCCCACGCTGAAGTGCGCCAGGTACTTGGTGTATGCCACGGCTGAAAGGAGGTGAAAGTATAACGATTGCCACTGGATGGTGAAAGCCTTACAAAGCCTACTTACAATTGCACTGGATGTTCTGCGGAGTGACCTGCTGCAGATAGGCAATGTACTCGTCGCTGTGGAAGCGCAGCATGTCCTGGGCACTCGCCCTGCAAGGAAACACAGGTCAAAAGGGTACAAAGAACACTCCTCCTCCCACTTACTTGTACGGCCTGTAGATCTTCATCTTCTTGTGCAGCCCGTAGTTCATCACCAGGCTGTGGGTGACCGCCAGGCGCTGCGGCTTCATCGGATGCCCAGCTCCGTAGTGGAAGTTGCCCACGTCCGCGTTGTAGAAGTACGATACCCGTCGGTCCGACATTGCAGCGCAGTCCCTCAATCGGATCTGGTCCGCTGTAGTCCTCTAGTTGTAGTCCAGATCCTCGCCGGGAAGCAGGTACGTCTTCGCATACAGGACGATCAGCAGAACGGCCACGATAAACAGGAGTCGCCGGGTCGTGTCGTATTCGCCCAACAGCATGCCGCCTCCGTGGCCACTGGACCAGCTCGGGAACGCGTAAATACCTTTATTTAGTGGTGGAAAACAATTTGCAAATAAATTGCTAATTGAAAACAGCTTAAAGCGGCGTGTGCCTGAAATGCACTAAAAAATACCCAAAACTAGTGATGTCCACACAAGCTAATTGAAACGCCAAAGTCACGTCACGCGGGCACCTCTACCAGTAAGAAAAATATAAGGGTATTTCCTAAGCTGTTGTATTTCGGTCAACGGTTTATCGCCTATTCCATTCAAATTAAAGTGCAATTTTATTTTAGATAGTAAATAAGAAAAAATATAAAAATAAGCTAGCTTTGGCCAGTCGAATCTTATATACCATTGCAGGCCATTCCTATTAACTTACAAAAGCATTAAATTTAGATTTACTTTCGTGTTATTTTGACATTACTTTTTTGATCCTTCCTATGGCAGCTAATCGGACTGAATTTTGTTAAATTTAGTTCGAAGCTTTGAAAGGTATAAGAAACGCTATATCCCAGAGAAGAAAAGAATTTTATAAAAATCAACAAAGATTTCCTATTAATTTCCATTTAATTTTCTGGTCGTTCCTATGGCAGCTATAGTGAACGATTTTTTACAAATTTAATTCGAAATTCAGAATTAATGAAAAAATAATAATCCCAAGAGTAGAAGGTAATATTTAAAAAAACACCGAAGCTAGAATTTTTTTTCCGATTCATATACTTCCTGCTGTAGAAAGAAGACTTTTAGGAAAGTTTTATCCCGATAGCTTAAAAACTGTGAGACTCGTTCGCGAAGAAACGAAGAGAAGGCCAGAACGACTCGTCTAGTGATGCTGATCAAGAATATATATACTTGAAATACAAATGCAATTTAGGGAATACCATCAATAAATATTTTCCTCGGAAACTCTGGCAACTGTTTGGCGGCTTCACCTATCTGGCAGCGCTGTACGTAAGCGTCTCCTGTGAGTTGCAATCAGCTGTTCAACAACTGGCCTGAAAACAGCTTACCAGGAAGCGCTCCTTTTGGGCCATAGCAACCGATAAATCTGCAATAGCCAAATAGGGCAAATTACGAAACCGCCATTGATTTTGGGCCCCATCAAGATGTAATGTGTGCCCAGGCATAGACCATCCCCGAGTAATTGATAATCCACGGCAGTACGAGTTCTGGTAGCAGACATCCCTATCCCCGATGTTGACCCTGTATTACGTGAGCGCCACCGTCCTGCAATCCTGGCGCATCCAGAAGGCCTGCTCCAAGATCGCCGAGCACCTGGCACAGCCCTCGAGCATCGCCTTCTATGCCCTTCAAGCGGGCAGTGACGATGGATTCGGTGAGTGGCGGAGCACTTGGAACGCGGCGAAGTTATAGATTCCTCTCCTGCCTCCCCAGATCCCGCCCTGGCCAGCTCAGAGCTGTGCGGCAACCGCCATGCGGCCAAGGTCACGGACATCCTGTGGCTGCACGCCAATCAGCGGGGCTGCTGCCTCCGTCCGCTGCAGACGCTCCACATCACGCCCTGGATCAGCTTCCCGGCATCGCCCAGTCTGCTGCCCTTCTGCTACGCAGCTGACACAGTGACGCCAGTGGCCACGCCCACGGAGGCGGACTCTGCGCCCAAGCAGAGGGTCTCGCTATCGGCTCAGGGAGAACAGAGGATGCAGCTGCTCCTGGAGGCCCACGTAGAGCCCCTGCAGCGGCCGAGCACCGAGGACACCACTGCTGTGCGGGTAAGTCTAGGAGATCCTGGCACCAGACTCTGCGGTTACACGATTTGTTAGAAGCATTCTTTATCCTTTAGCTTTAAAATTTGTATAATGGAAAACAACTTATGTTTATGGGTATTATCTGAGCCAAAAAAGTGCTTTAAATTTACCTGTATCTTTCTTTTAAAAATGGCATTTTAAGTATGTGGTTTATAAAAGCCAATATTTTTATCATATTAATTTTCCTTTCGTTCTAATGGCGCCTGTTTGATTTCTTCTCAATAAAATTTGAAATTCCAAAATTAAAAACTGATATTCACAAAAAGCTATAATTTTTTGTGTCATTTTTTTCATTATTTTTTCGATTATTTATATGAGACTATAAGATATATTCCGACCTGCAAAAGAAAGAAGAGTTTTGGAAAAGTTTCACCCCTATAGCTTTAAGACTGAGAGACTAGTTGGTTGGATCGACACATATAGTGGTTCCCACCAAGAATATATATTCTTTACGGGGTCGAAAACGTCTCCTTCACTGCTATGTAAACTTCTGACTGAAATCATTATACTCTCTGCAAAAATGTTTGCCTCGGTGACATTCACAAACTTAATACAGTAACTAAATACTAAATACAGTAACAGCAGTTACCTTTTTTTCTTAATATTTTCATAATTTCGTTTTAATAATAATTATCTTAGGGCAGACTATTGTTAGTTAGTTACTTAATTAGTAATGGATTCTTAAAATGATATGGTCTACTATATTATAAACTATAAATTGAGTACTTCGGAAGTGAACAGGGTCCCCTTTGTTTTGTTTTTAAACTTTATAGGTAAAGGGTAATTAAAATTCGGCTCTAAAACTGCCGTAGCCGTTAGCTAGGTGGTGCGTGTGGTAATGTGATTAAGATGTAACCGTTCTAGGGTAGTTGAATCGATAGAAAGAGATGCGTCATACAAAATATATCTGCTAAAGAAGGTTCACCTTTCGTTCTTCCTGTCTTCTCCTTGCATGTCGGTGACCCATAAATCAGCTGGAAGATTACGGTAAGCTAATTGCATGGAAAATAGACTCCCACCTGGCGGTGCTCATCGAGACAGATGTGGAGCACTTCACGCAACTTTTGATAACGACATTCTTGCGAAATAATTTATGCATTAACGATCAGCTGCCACTTTTACGGATTGAGTGTAAGCCGTACCTGAAATCGTTTTTACAAAAACTGATTTTCTGTAAGCATACTGATAAATTCTTCTCTCTATCGTAGCGGTTCAGCGGGAAGGTGATCCGCAGCCCTTTGAGCTACTGGCCAATCACCTGAAGCGACAGTCCCGCATAACTGTCGGTTTGGACAAGGACGGCTGGAAAAAGCACCTGGAGGATCTGCGAGCCGTCGGTGTGCTGGCCCACCAAGCCACCGAGTTCGAGTACCAAAGAAATCGTTCAGAGGGAAGGACGAAACCAGATCTCATTGCCCATGAGCATCGCCAAACCCCGGAACCTGTGGCCAAGGCTGTGGCTGTTGTGGAGCCAACCACCAAGGCATCTCTGTCTCCTGCAAGGATGCAAGAGAGTTCCCAGAAAGCTGAGGGCAAGTCTCCGACTAAATCCGAGGCAAAAACCACTCCTGCTAAAAGCGAAAGCAAGCCAATCATACCCAAAGAAGACTCCAGTTCAACGCCAATTAAAGTCGAATGCAAACAAAGTGAATTGGAGAAGCTAGCTGCTGCCCAGGCATCGCAGATGCAGAAGATCGAGAAAGTGCAGGTGTCGCCCATCAAGTCAGCTCCATCGACTAAGCCACCCGCTCTCAGTAATATCAATGAGTCTGCTGCGCCATCAGCTCAGCCAACAAAGCCCAGCAAATCCTTTGAGGTGGCGAAGCCATTGAATTCGCCTCCGTCATCGAGCACTGCTCCTGTGCGACCTGTGCTGCAGCGGAATAAGAATAGTCTGCAGGAGAGCAAGCCCCTGAATGTTTTAGTGTACTCGGACAGTGCCAGTGCCCGCGAATCCACACTGGCCACTCTTCAGCAGCTGCTGGAGCGCAATGTGTACACCATCTATCCGCTGATGCCACAGCAGGCGGCTCAGAAGTACTGGACAGAGCAGACAGCTCTGCTTGTTGTGTGCGGATCGGTGGCGCCGGGAATTGGACAGATATTGGTGGACTACTTTCTGCAGGGCGGCAAGGTGCTAAGTCTGTGTTCGGATATACTGCACTTTATCCTGCCCAACTATCGCACGGCGGAGGTAAGAACTTCAGTACGGATTTAAGTATTATTATACAAGTATTTTTATATAGGTTCGAGAGCACGAACTGGTTCAATTCTCCTACGACAAGTGGCAGCGGGTCAAGATGATGCACCACATCTTCTGCTATCAGCCGTCGCCGGTGAAGAAACACTTCTCCACGGACAGCGAGGAGTCAACCAAGTCGCATTCCCGCAAACCGTAAGTAAATATCACTGTTTCCGCATTGAGAAGCAACAGACCAAAAGCCTCGACAACATATTGCTAACCTCGCCGATCTATTTTATAGAGCAATGACCAATAACATAACTAAACAAGAGAGAACGCTATAGTCGGGTGCCCCGACTATCAGATACCCGTTACTCAGCTAAAGGGAATGCAAAGGAGATGGAGATAAAAACTTTGATTCGCCGTAACTTTTTAACGAATGGTCCGATTTAAAAAATTTCTTCTACATTTCGATAGGTATTGATAAAGACAACAAAACTGCATTTTTACTTTTCCAAAATATTGAAATTTTTAAAATCGTATATTAGCGATTGTGGGCGTTAGAGGGGGCGTGGCACCCTTTTGAAACAAACTTGCGCTGCGTAGGAACTCCTAGAATCTGCATGCAAAATGTCAATCTGCTAGCTTTTATAGTTTCCGAGATCTCAGCGTTCATACAGACAGACAGACAGACAGACAGACAGACAGACGGACAGACAGACGGACAGACGGACATGGCTAGATCGACTCGGCTAGTGATCCTGATCAAGAATATATATAGTTTATAGGGTCGGAAACGCTTCCTTCTACCTGTTACATACTTTTGCACGAATTTAATATACCCTTTTACTCTACGAGTAACGGGTATAAAAAGAGTATACTCTAAACCTCTGTGTTGCATGTTTTATCCACACAAAATAGCCCGATCCAAAAATTTTTATTTTGCATTTATAAAAGTTTCGTATTGGTTAATTTAACTTGATGGGGCTTCTCAGCTAATGATACCGATAAAAACATTATTGCATATCAACATTATCGACATTCTCGTACATATACTAAACCTTTTCTAACTAATTCCCATTCTTGTTTTATTTCTCAAATGTTTCATGCTAAAATTGGTCTCGTTTCCTCTGAATATGGCTTCTTTTCTATTTAATTCGGTGTGCACAATAATCCACCCTAATTCAATTTCGAAACTGCATAATTTACTAACCTACCTGTGTAAACTTTACAATTTGATTCTCCTTTAAATTTCATGAATGAATTGTGCTGTAAATGTTAAAACATACCCCGTGCTGTATTTTCATTTAAACTTATTTTTAATCTATCCATTGTCCTACTATTCTTTTCTGTCTGCGTGATCGCTACTTTTCCTGTCCCTTCTATATATCTATATATCTCTGTGTGTGCTTCTACTTGTGTGTGCTATCACTATTATAATCCTACCTACCATTAACCAAAATAAAAACATAAACCGAAAAACAAAAAAAAAACACAAAATCAAACCACGAAACGCTGCTCAGAGCTCTAGTATGTCCAAGGTCCATGGAACTGAAGGATCTGGCCGGTCACAGCCACAAATTGGATGTTCAGGTGTTGGGCACAGAAGAAACCTGGAATACGCCCAGCTTGATGTTGGCCAAAAGCCTGCAGAGCGGTGGAAAGGCCGTCTTCTCGCAGGTATTTTTGTCTCCCCTCTCAGTTATTTAACTGTATTTATTACCAAGTACATTTATTCAGGTTCATTTGGAAATGAATCCCAGTGAGTTTGAGTCGGATGAGATTAAGTACTCGATTCTGAAGCAAAACGAACGCACTCGACTCGAGATTTTTGCGGATCTCTTGGGAAAGTACCTGGATGTGCAGGTCCAAAACGGCGAGGGTGTCGATCAGCAGCAGCCTGGAGTGGTCTATCAGCACGCCTACTTTTTGGGTCGTCATGAGGTAAGTTGATTTTGTTTTATAGTTTGAGTCTGAAAATATAATATTTTCTTAATGGTCCAGGCCAAGTTTGAGCTTCTGGAGAAGCTGCGCCTAAGATGCAGTGGATCCGATAATGTCATAGCAACGCCCAAGCTCACAATGAAATTCTGTGGGAAGGACGACAAGCCGCCAGTGGCCAATAACAATGTGCTGCCCATACTGATACATTCCTGTCCGGACGATTTCTCCACCGTAGAATACTTTGATGTAAGCTAATACCATTGCGTTGAAGTGCTGACTAGAACCCTGCATGAATGGATTCAATGAAATTTTTAATTTTTTTGTTTTATATGAATGAATTAATTCGAATTTATAGTTTAATAGAATTGAATGAATTTGAATTTAAAGTTTAATATATTTTAATGAATGAATGGCTTGAATTCCGAGATAATTCATAAGGGCCATCTGCATGAATTTTATTTTCTAAGCAGTTAACATTGATTTGTAAAAAATTGTTCACTTTTTGTTCTCAAAAGAAAGGACAAAAAAAATCTGGCAAATTCAAAAAATTCATAAAAATGATTTATTCATTCATTCGATTTGAAATGAATTAGAAAAATATTAAATTTATTTCACATAGAAATTCTATGATAGAATTGAATTAAACGAATCAGAAATTTCATGGCATACTATGATAAAAAAAAAATTAAATGATTCTCGCAGGGCTCTAATGATGACACTATAATTCTTACCTTTTTTTTATGCAGCACCTTAAAACTGAGCATATTGGACGACTGGTCATCTATGCACCGGTAGTAAGCAGTTCCATGCATGTCATTAACAACCTGGAGCTCATCAACGGCCTGGCTGTGCTGCCCGTGCAACAGACCTCTGGAGTCGGTCGCTCCAATAATCAGGTAAATGTACTGAGAGTCTCCCATTTCCTTTTTTTAAACCATCCCGTTTTCAGTGGCTTAGTCCCTTGGGCTGCGCCATGTTCTCGCTGCAACTCCACCTTGCCATGGACTCAGCTTTGGGCTCTCGGTTGCCTCTTTTGCAGCACCTAATTGGAGTGGCCATTGTCAATTCTCTGCGGGGTCATGAACAGTATGGGGTAAGTGAATAAAATGATTTAGTTAAGAAGGCTTTAGGTCGCTTTGAATCTGGAATGGGCTTGGATGATTCAAAGGCAGTGTAATAAATCAGATAAAACTTCTAAGCAAGTGCAAACAAAGGTAGTCATTTGGCTTTAGTGATAAGTTTATTTGACATTTTTCTTGATTTCGCATTTAAAGTCCATTTACTATATACATTTGACCATACATAATTCGCAATATATATTTATTTAAACACTAATCCCCCATATACACATTTATATATATAGAGTTTTGCTTACACATAATTAACAATTTAGAAATTGCTCACCTGATTAACGTTTACTTTAATATTTGCCACAGTGCTTGTTTGCTTGTATATGCATGTCTATGCGTTCTCAGTTTGCCTCTGCTCTTTAACATTTAAACGTTTTGTCTTTTTCGAGTTAACACTTGCTTTCGCCTTTGTTTCGTTTGCTCACAACTGCAACTGGATTGCACCCGATACATAGTTGAGTTTTAAAATCGTTTGCTATAATTTGGTAGTTACGTTTAGGTATTTACAATCTTTGCTTAGGAGAGTTTACTATTGTTTGGGAAGAAAGCAAGCTAGCCTAGTTTATCAGGCGGCAGCTCCCTCAGAACACGGACTCTGCAGATCGGGAGAGGTTGACGGGATGGGAGGGACTGCGCGCCAGTCGCTTCTTGGGCAGATGCTCCAGCAGCGACAGCAGTCGCGCGAATTGCGGCCGGTGCTCCTTGTCGTACGACCAGCACAGCATCAGCAGGTCCTTGACATCCCGTCCGGACTGCAGGTTGGCCAGCGATTGCTTCATCCCTCGGCCTACCTGCCAGATGATCGACTCCGCCGGCTGATCCTTGAACGTGAACTCGCCGCAAATCAGCTCGTACCACACTGTTCCAAAGGAGTAGACATCCGAGAAGGGGGTGAACTCCAGGCACTCGCCGCGCGGCTTCTCCGGCTGCAGAGCCCGGATGAGCTCCGGCGCCAGGTAGCACAACCAGTTGTGGGGCACTCCCAGGCCCATATCACAGTAGAGCAGCTTGGTGGAGCTGAACAGGCCAAAGTCCGTGATGATCACCTTGCCGTTCTCGATGAAGATGTTCTTGGTGCGCAGATCCTTGTGGATGATCTCCCTCGCGTGCAGGTAGCCCATGCCCTGAGCGATCTGCTGGGCAATCAGAAGGGTCCGGTTCATGGCGAACTTCTCCCGCCGCTGGTGGATGTACGTGTACAGGGTGTTGCCCTTGCACAGAGAAGTCACAATAGCCAAGTACGGCGGATTCATGCAGGCTCCCATGAAGAGCACCAGATTCTCGTGGCGAGTGTTCTTGAAATTGGCCACCTCGCTGCGAAACGTCTCCAGCATGTGCTCGTCCTGCAGGTAGTCCTCGTTGAGCAGCTTCACTGCCACGTCTCCGTGCCACAGGGCTCGATGCACAGTGCCAAAGCGCCCCTGACCGATCCGCTCCAGCAGGCGCAGGTCGCCGTACGGAATGTCCCATTCCTTCAGTGAAATGGAGTTCTGTCGCCACTGCCCCGAATCTCCGTCCTCCGTTGAATCCACTCGCACGGGCGTCCTGTCCGAGTCCGTGCTGGCACTTCCGGACAAAGAGACTGTCTTGTCGCTGTCATTCGACTTGTGGGTGTCCGTGTACTCGCTGGTAAAGGGCGTCCTCTTGTCCACTCCGGCTGTGCTCAGTTTGCGCGGAAAGAAACTGCTCGTACTGGTTGTGGTTGTGCTGTTGACCAGACCAGTCACGGTGGCCACGCTGGAAGCATTCGACGACTGGCTGCCGATCAGGGAACTCATGTGCCCGTTGGAGCTGCTCACCAGACTGTCCAGTCCACCGTTGGCGGTGATGGGCACCGCCTGGAATTGCTCTGGCACTGGATCGTTGGAGATGAGCGTATCGCCTCCGCTGCCGCCACTTCCCGTAACCGTCACGTTGGGAAAGTTGAACTGAGCCTGCTGGTGCTTGCCCAGCGATGGCGTGGGCACCAGATTCGCGCTGGAGCTGCTGCCAGCCTGGTCCAGCTCACGATCCCTTTGGTGGAACAGCGCCGGACTGCTCGGTGTGGAGCTGGTGCAGCTGGAGCTCGGCGAACTGCTGTCGCCGTGCTGCTGATGCATCGGCTTGCCCAGGGTGTTCTTCTTCACCAGCGGCGAGCCCTTGGCCGCGCCGTGAACATGCGGCAGGCTGGCGTAGCCCTGCTCCTTTATGTGCCGGAACTCGTCCACATACTCGCGAGGCAGTCCGCAGGAAGGCGGGACGTGTGGCTCACACGACTTGTGGCAGATGTACTTGCAGTCGGTGCACTTGAGACAGCGGGAGAACACCTGCTTCTGGCACAGCGTGCAGGTGGCCATGAAGCCAATGACCTTGGTGAAGCGATGCTTGATGGCATGGCCCATGCCCACGTGGCCGACGCCCGGGGAACATGGCACCAGGAGCACGTTGGAGCTAGCATTGGTATTTGCGTCCACAAATATGTCCGAGCTGGCGGAACTGTGGCTATCGGGGCTGGGATCAGTGGGCAAACGATTGCGTGCCGGCTGCTCTCCGTCCACCTGGCTCTGGTTCAGCAGGGTCTGGTGCTTCCTGGCGGGCGGCGGTGTGCCGCGACTCCTCTGCGGTGTTCCGTTGAGGCTGCTGCTCAGCCCACTGGAGGGCGTAAAGGGCGAGTTGGGTGGCGAGGGCGTGAGGGTCAGGGTCAGCTGGGAACCCTGTGTACTGTTTAGCTCCTCCGTCGCTGTGGGCGACTGACGGCCGCTCCTCGAGCTGGTTGAGTTGGCCAGAGCGGTGCTCTTCCCCTTGACACCATGCTGGCGATGATGGGTTCTCGGGGAGGCGCTGGAGTTCTGACCCAGTCCTATGTTTCCCACGCTGCCGCGGTGAATGTGGATGGACCTGTCCCAGGAGTCCCAGTGCCACTGCTCCGGATCGTTGTTGCTGGCCGCAGTGCCGCTCTCCAGCGACTCCATGCACCTCCGCAGGTTCTGCATGGCCCTGGTCAGGCGACGCAGCTCCTCCTCCTCCCTCTGGCTGGGGCTGTCGGCCAGCAGCTGGCGGATCTCCTCGTCGCTGAGGCGCAGGCTCTGCTCCAAAGTGGTCAGGCGCGCCAGGCAGGCGGTGAGGGTCTCCTGGCTGAGGCCCACCACGCGGAGCCACTGCCTCAGCTCATTGCCCGTTGCGTGGGGCAGCAGCCCGTTGGCCGGGATGCGCTCGTTGAGCCTCATCTTGGCCAAGAGCAGCTCGGAGAAGTAGCGCACCAGCTTGGACTCCAGGCATCGAATCTCCTGCTGCGTCAGCGTAGAACTGGTGGCGCACTGAGTGCGCAGGCCCTCCAGATGGTTGGCCGAGAGATCAATCATGTCCTGGATGATGACCAGGTTGCTGTCGGAGACAGGACCGTTGGCATTGATGGAGCCGGAGTCTGGGGCCGGGGCGTTGTTGTTGCTGCTCATCCTGCTCTTTCGCGGCGGAGTGGAGTCCGATTGATTTTTTCAGACGCCCTCACGGGAACTCGACGATTCATTCGATGGGACCTGTGGCCGGGACTCCGCTCCGCATTGTGGCCCACTTCCGGCGACCGTGACGTTCGCAGCTGCTGCTCCGGCTTTCGCACACTCACGCCCGCAACTCGAGACAGCTCAAGGAATGCGAAAAGAAGATAATTTTTACAATTTCTTCGGCTGTTGTTGAAATTTCTCTACACCAGCGCATTGAGTTAGTGTGACAGTGCGCGGAAAGACTTGGTCGCTTCTCAAAATATACTAAAAAATCTCTAGTCTGCAGCATTCAGTAGGGGCATTCACCCATTTCAACTCGCTGCCTTTTCATTATTATTATAATCCATTACAATACCAATTAAAATTAAATTTTTAAATGATTATCTAAATATTTACAGGTTCTGAATATTTCTATCAAGTGGCCAAATGATATATATGCAAATGGGAACCAGAAAATTGGCGGCCTCGTCATTAACACCACTCTACAAGGCTCTCAGGCCATCATTAATATTGGAAGTGGAATTAATTTAAACAATTCAAAACCAACTGTTTGCATCAATGATTTGATAAGGGAGCATAATGCTCGCGCCCCAAACAACAAGCTACCAATTCTTAAATATGAGATGTTTATCGCCACGATATTTAATGAAATCGAAAGACTTTTGGGCGAAGTACAAAACGGAGACTTTGATAGTTTTTATGCCTTATACTATTCGCTCTGGTTACACAGGTAATGGTAGATTAGACCCCAAATTAATATTTACTAATTATGTTTATCCACAGCGGTCAAACCGTCAAGATTTGCCTGCAAAATCAACAGGAAAAGGAAGCCGAAATTATGGGAATCGATGATGTTGGTTTTCTACAGGTAAAATTACCAACTGGATCCATAGAAACCGTGCAACCCGACGGAAATAGCTTTGATATGTTAAAAGGATTAATTGTACCCAAGTACCACTAGTTGAATGAACCAGATGAACCCAAGTCATGTTATTCCCCAGTCCTCTTATTTAATAGAGCTATTAGCAACATGTATTTTTTAGGCGCATTTAGGTCAATTTATAAAGAACTAATTACGTATATACTCATTACTGCAGTGTGTTTCTCCTAAAGTGGCTTAACTCAATTTAATCGTGCTAAAAATTGAGAGAAGTTCTTTAAAATTATATGAATTCCACTAAATTAAATACTGCCAAAGAACATAACTGAAAATCTCCAAAAATTATAATTATAAAAATTGGTCTTGAACAAACAGGTACTTACATATATACCGAATAACCCAGTGTTTTGAAAATACTTCGTAAGTTTATCCTGTTCGTTACTATTGTTATTGTCATCGATTCCTCTTCGTATGAGTGTTTTTGAAATTCGACTTTAATAAAGACGTATTTGATTATTGCGGACTTAAAATTATTGTCTTTATCTAGTTTGTACTAAGTTTTCTTAAAGGTATAATACCGTTGTTTATAATAATTATAAAAATATGATTTTCAAATTTTTAACTATGGTCTTTAGAGCTTTTTTTAATTTTTTATATTTATTTAATAAAACAACGGTATTTTTTGTGGCCCCCTGGTATTTTGTAGTTTACAGTTGTGCACACTGGTTAGAGTGAGTGTTTGGGTTACTCGACTTACATAAGTTGGTAACACTGCAGCTTCGCTGAGAAGAAAATTTGGAATAAACCGAAACCGAGGCATAGGGAATTATGTCACAGCGCAATCACCGAGTGGACCGCTTCGCCCAGATGACGAAGCAGGAGGAGATCATAGCCAAGAAGCGGCAGGAGATCCTCGAGAAGCAGAAGACGGCGCAGCTGGCGAAGGCGGTGGCTGCGGCGCAAAACTTGGCGGCGCAACTGAAAACAGAGACGCCTGCGGGAAAAACGGTTGCCAACGAGGAGCAGGAGGAGGAGGAAGCCCAACTCCAGGACTTTGCAGTCCAGGACGCATCTCTCACAGTCGGCGAGGAGGGCCATTTGCCAGAGGTGGTCCACATAGATGCCACGGCCAGCAAGGGAAAGTCGGAGGATGCGGTGGCCCCCAAGACGCTGAATAGCTTCACCGGCAAGACGGGCAAGATCACATTTGGCCAGAAGCGCCAGCAGCTGCCACAGCCCAGTGTTGAGCAGCCGCCTCCGAAGGTGAAGAACACGTTCTGCAACGATGGTTCCTTCCTGGAGAACTTCAAGAAAATACTCGAAAAGCACGAGAAGCCTCCGCAGCCCCTACTAGTTCCGCCTGTTCCAGTGACCAGGTAGGTGTATGCTTAAGATATCTTTCGAACTTCTATTCATTTCGAAACTATTTCAGCACCGAGGAGAACAATCCCCTGGATACGGACAACGCCGAGAACAGCAGTTCGCAGCTGGAGGCGGCCATCGCCATCAGCTCGGCAGCAGCCATGGCCACCTCCATCACTGTCACCAGCTCGGCGCCCACTCACCTGGCCTTTGGACTACCCGTGCAGGCAGTGCAGCCACCACCGCCGCCGCCGTTCGCCTTCAATCCCACGCTTCTGCAACAGGGACCTCCGCAAATGCAGCTGCCAGCTGCCTTCTTCCACGGCCACCTGCCTCTACACCTGCATCCGGCAGTTGCACCTCCTCCGCCGCCGCCGCCCCCACAGCTGCCCATCGCTTTGGCCAACATGGGACAGATTTACATGCAGCTTGGACCGACGCCAGTGGAGGCCATGCAGTTAAATGCCATACCGGCGCCCAAGGAGTTTGACCTAAATGCGATACCCAAGCCCCAAATAAACCTGGAGGCTATACAGATGCCCACCATCGGAGGGCATTCGGCGGAGCAGCTTGGTCTCCTGCCGGAACACATGGCAATGTCAGTCAATCCTCACCCACCGCCACCTCCGCCACCCGTCCTGGAGGAGATTGAGCAGCCACAACAGCAGCCACATTTGCCACAGGTTGTGCCTCCACAGCCTCCGCAGCCCACAGCTGCCCCTCAAGGTGTGTAACATACGCAAAGCAGTCTTCGTTGCCTGTTCTGTTCTGCCATTTGCCATGCCCCATCCATACCGCACATCTATCCTCGCCCTCATCCTTACCTACTTCCCCTACTCCCACTCATTCAATTTGTAAAGAACTTTAATCGTTGAGCACGATTTTAAAGCAATTTATGTAGTTTTTTCAGAAACGTGCATACAATTGCCAACGTGCTTAGAAAACCTAATCGCACTGGTCGCGGAAAATGGTGAAGATTATGAAGATAAAATTCGTTTGCATAGAAGCGAGTTGCATCCGGCCTTGTGGTAAATGACCTAAATATGTTTTAACAGGGACTAGGACTGGTCTAAGGACATGGGGTGGTGGGAGGCGTACGGCTTAGGGATTTATGTTTTCATTTTATTTGCATATATTGCCGAGTTTTAATTAGGGAAGTGTTGTGTCTTACTCCTGTTGTCCATAATCCATTTATTATTTGCAAGGCTAGCTATTTTTATTTTAATTTCATACTGCCAGTCCCAATAGAAGGAGTCCTTATGTTTTAAAAGTCAATCATATGCATATTTTGGTGGGCTTTCCTTAGAAAAATAGCTCCCGCTTTTGTTACATATAAATTTCTCAAGACTGCATGCCATTTCAGGTTCAATAAAAATTTAATCCCTTTTGACAATTATACTATTATTATTTTAATTTTAATTAGAAACCAACTTAACTGGACCCTTAAATTTTTGTTTGAATCTGAATCGGTTTATTTATTCCTTTGAAATACTTTAAGAAAAATGTCAACAATATAAAACCCAGATACAGGGGTGCCACAGAAATCGCTCTGCACTAAATGCGGTCTGAATTTATAGTTTTTATATTTTAATTATATGAATTCAGCTCGAATTCAGCGGAGAGCTGTTTCTGAGGCATCCGTTAATGTTGATTTCAAAGTATTGATTCTATGGGTTTACCGACCAAACGAACTAACTTGAAGGGGGTCTAATTAGGATTAGCCAGAGCAGTCGCGTGGACTCATCGAACGCACAGTGATCCGTCGTTCCTCGACCGTCGTCTTAAATCTGGAGGAGCCAGCCGGCGGATGTCGACTAAAAATCTCAAAATAAACCGCTAATGGGGCGCCTCAAACAGTTACTCATATAATGTCTTTGTACACGTGACTAGCGTCGAGCACTTTTCATTGTACGTTTCACTTCTTTTGAATTTTGATAATAGGTTTCTTTATGATAAGAGCTGCGAGCAGTATCGAAGCTATCGCTCCCAACTCCTTGACTACGAGCGCCAGCGCGTTGAGCGGCAACGGGAGCGGGAGCATCAGCAGTTAAGCCGGGACCAGCAGCCCCAGCCCAAGGAGCAGGAGGCTCAGCCACACCACGAGGAGCAGCACAGCAACTCAGCGGCCGACAAGTACGACCCTGAGTCGGCCATCAGTGCGGATTTTGACTCGGACGATGAGTACATGCGGGGCATGATGGACCGCAACCGGGACAACATAAAGCGCCGCATTGAGTGCCGCAACGAGCTGAGCGACGAGGAGAGGCGGGAACGGGAAGAGGCGGCCGCCGCCGGAGGAGCGATAGATGCTGATGACCAGGACGATCAGGAGGACAAGGAGTCACAGCGGCAGCGACGCAAGCGCGAGCGCAAGAGCCGTTGGGGCGAGAAAGAGCAACAGTTGCCCACCTCAAGTGAGTTTTGTAATAGAGCAAATCTAATAACTGATATACCTTTGCGTGCAAAGTTTAATATTTGGATTGTTAAATTTTTGTTTTTTAAAAGAAAAATTAAACAATTGGGGTTACATAGGTTTTTTGGCCCAAAAACAAGCACTTATTAGGGATTAATATTTTTATTATCTTACTTATCTTAAAATTACAAAGTTAACGTTTTCTGTTTGTTTATCTCAAAATCTTGGGCTTAAAAGAATTGAAAAAAAAGTAATTTTATTTTTTAGTAAAGATTTTAGGAAAAAAACAATATTCTATTCTTTAAATATCGAATTTTTCAAAATCCTTAAAATACTAAACAAGTACAAAAAATTAAAAAAACGGTCACAACTTTTTAAGTTATTGTGTCCACCGCCTTCCAGAAAAATATAACTTTCAAATATTTCCTAAAGTATTGATCCGGTCGAATTTAAGTTTTGGTAGTGTAATCTAGCTAATACATTTTTTGTTTTTAAAAGCCATTAAGCCCAATAAGCAGTAAGCATAACTTTTTTTAGGCACCTCGGGAAACTTTGGTAACCAAAACAAACCAGTTCTAAGTAGCATTACGCGCACGGATCCCGCGCTGTTGCAGTATGCTCGCCTCAACTACGGCTCCACTCAGCTGAGCGAGGAGCAGTGGAAGCAGTGCGAGGAGCACTACAAAGTAAACTTGCTGTATCAGGACATGATGCGCAAGCGTCAGGAGATCGATCGCCTAGCTCGAGGCGGGAAATTTAAGTACGAATACGACTCGGACGAGGACATTGAGGGCGGAACGTGGGAGCACAAGTTGCGCACGGCTGAAATGGAGGCCACATCGCTGTGGGCCAACGCCCTAACCAAGCAAAGCGAGGGGAAGCATCACATTGGCGACTTCCTGCCCCCCGAGGAGCTCAAGAAGTTCATGGAGCAGTACGAGGCGAAGAAGAACAACAGGCAGCCGGATCTGAGCGACTACAAGGAGTACAAGCTAAAAGAGGACAACATTGGATTCCAAATGCTGCAGAAACTCGGCTGGAAGGAGGGGCAAGGATTGGGTCAGGACGGAGCCGGAATTGTGGATCCTGTCAACAAGTGAGTTGCACCTTTTCTTTTGTAAAAATTTCAATAACACGAGTTACTAAGGGCCCCACAACGCGATGGAAACCAAGGACTTGGAGTGAGCAGCGCTGCCCAGCCAGAGGACTGCGATAACGAATACGATGCCTACAGGAAGCGAATGATGTTGGCGTATCGCTTTCGTCCAAATCCTTTGGTAGGTAAAATTAAAGGAAGGTTATAAATCGTAGTTATCGTTATCTTTGAAAAATTCCCATTAAATTTCAGAACAATCCCCGTCGCGCTTACTACTAGCAATACCTAATATAGTTCATTACCTAGCCACCATATTATCCCAATACCCTGAACCCGCTTATTCAACTACAGATTTTGCTGAATAAAATGTCCTTGTTTAAATTAAACAACGGCACAAAGTGTAATTTAATGGTTTTATTTATCCAGAATAGTTCGTAATTAACTTAAAACTAAAGCATGTGAAACAGATCTCCCAACTGTTCGAACCTTGTCGGTCCGAATCCGTTTCGAAAACGGGTAAGAACTATTTCACACAAAACTTCACTATGGACTATCGTCAAGCGTTTAGGAGTTCGATCATATAAAAGAGTAAGTAGTGCGAGTCTCTTGGAACTAGAGTCTGGGCTCTGGAATTCAATGTAAATTGGGTTGCAGTCCACAACTCCAACTCCACGGATGAGCTCGATTCTACGGGGAACTGGGCGAAACCCCTAAACGCTAATAATACTAAGTTGTACTCGAACTGGAAGCGAGGCCTAGTCTAGGAGTAGAGCGTCAGCACGGGCGTCTGGTTGCCGCGGGCCAATGCCACCGGACACTTCATGTCCGAAGTGAGCATCTCCAGCCAGGACATGTACAGCGGCGCCGAGATGGCCTCCTGAAAGAGACGAATATGTGAGTGGACCGCCACAAGGAGTCCAAGGCAAACTACTCACCTTGCGCGGCATGGGCAGGGACATGACCACCAGGGAAGCGTTCGATGAGTGCTTGACCACCAGCTCGTGGATGCGCAGCTGGCGATTCGTCTTCTCGGCCATGCTCTGCAGTTCCTCGTCCGTGATGCCGAACTCGTTGCGGGCTCCGCGGCGGAAGGGCTCGATCAGGCGCTTGTGCTTCAGCAGCGTGTCCGCCCGCGGCTGCTCGGAGACGCCCTTGAGCATGATGAGCTCCGAGTACTTGATGCGGAACTTGGTCAGCAAGCTGGCCATGCTGTGGGTTAGGAAAGTAAAAGGTTAATACCAAATGAAAGAGTTTTAAGAATCACTGCTGCCATCACTCACAAAAAAAAAAAGAGAAAAAGGGGCAAAAAATTTACCAATGTTTTATATATTTACTTAATTTAAACGGATTTTATATTAAATTCAATTATGTAATGATCTAATGCGCCCGACTCACAACCTTCATCGTTTGATCATTTTACCACAGTAAAATTTTTAAAATAATAAAAGCATTTTAAGTTACTTTATTGGTAATACAAAAAAATTCAACATCTGCGTCGAACCCGAATAAGAGTCTTTCAAATCTGAAATTTTTTCTGACTAAAAAGCAGAGAATACAAATTGAGATAATTTTAAAATGTTTTCCTCTTCCTTTTGCTACAGAAAAAATCGTATTATAAAGAAAATCCATCGACTGCTTCACGTCACTTTGATAACTTTAAGAATTTTAAAGAATTATTTTTTAAGTGTCGAACTTTAAGAATGATGGTTAAAAAGGAGTTTTAGCATATAAAAACAGGTTTATACACTTTCAGATAGCAAAAATAACACTCAAAACCTTATTTTTGAAAAAAGGACAGATTTCCGGATAGATGATGTTTGAAATTTTTTTCGGATAAAGTCGTTAAAAAAAGGACAGATCTATCCGGAAAAAGGAAAAAATGGCAGCACTGTTAAAAATATTATTTAAAAGTTTTAAGAGCTACCTAAAACTGTTAAGTAAATTCTATTATATTTTACAAACCTTATAAGAACGTAAATCCTAATAAGTAGGGTCTAACCCCTCTTACCTCTTTTCTTCCTGCTCCTCATCCTTGCCGTGACACATGGCGAACACCCTCAGCTTGCAATTCTGCCAGTGGGAGCGCATGGAGATGATATATGGCAAGAGAATGGTGAGTCCTGTATTTCAGAGGGACACGCGATTAGAAAGGATTGGAGAAAATAAAACCAGGCACCCACCTCCGTCGTCGTACAGCCAAAAGACATCGATTGTGCCCTTGGGCTGCTTGCGCGTGAATATGGTCATGGCTTCCAGAAGGTTCTGAGGAATGTCCGATCCGCCCTTGGTGTGATAGGTCACGGCCGGCTCATCCGAGTTGTTTACCTTGTAGCTGCGGGAGCTGCGCTGCATGTTGGGCATCGGCGCCGGCTGGGGCATTGTGAATGAGGAGTTGGGACTGTCCATTCCGGCGAGGTTCAGGTTGGAGTCGATGTGCAGCAGCTCGGAGGCGGCGTTGGCCGCCGGCATCAGCTCGTTGGTGAATCCTTGGGCATTGGCGGTGTGCAGGTGGCCCATTCCATTGGCCGGCAAAGTGACCTCGGAACTCAGCTCCGAGAAATCCAATCCGTTGGGCAGACGGAGCAGGGCCACGCCCATGCGCTGCGAGAAGGCATTGCTGTGGGCATGTTCGATATTGTAAGTGATCAACTACTTTCCTATGAGTGGGATTCACTTACTACAAAATAGAAAAGTAACTTTCCACCTCCTCCTTGCGACAGCGATTCCAGTCCGGTTTGTAGCCCACCAGCACTATGTTAGGAGACATTTTACCGAAGCCCGTGGACTTGGTCAAAGCATTTATTCCGTCCTCCAGGCTGAACCCATCGATCACATTGTAGAACGCCTTTATCTTGCGAGCATCTAGGTACTTTTGTCCATCCTTAACCAGGTGCTGCCGGTTCTTGTAGCCCACTCGCACCTGCAATGTTTTGGAATATGGTTGAGTAGTGTACAGAAATGAGCGAAGATATACCGGGTATACTTCTGATAAATCAAATATTTTTATACCCGTTACTCGTAGAGTAAAAGGGTGAGATCTCGGAAACTAAAAAAGTTAGAGGGTTGACATTTCCCACACATATTCTTGGGCTTCCTATGCAGCGCAAGTTTATTTCAGCCGAGCGCCACGCCCACAATCACCCACTAACGATTTTAAAATGTGTCTGGTGCCCACACCTTTAAAGATTTGCGAGAAGTATAAATGCCATTTTGTTGTGTATATTTATGCCTATCGAAATGTACTCGTAAGTACATGGAAAATCCCAGTTCCCCAGAATCTAACCCCTTTTACATACCGGAATAATATTGGCCACGAACATTAGGGAGTTGTTCTTGGTTAGCAGATAGCCAAAGTCCACCAGTGGAGGCCTCGTCTTTGGATCACCGGAGAGCACCAGCACCTGTGGGTGGTAGTTCTTGACGTGATCGGAGACGTTTTGCAGGCGGTGCACGGCCATCAAGGCAGCCTTGTACTGCTGCGCCTGGGTGGTGGATCCCCAGTTGGCCTCCGGCTTGCGGTACATGACCACCAGGTACAGGGCGAAGATGATGCCGAACGTGATGATGGCCGCCACGTAGTTAATCAGGAACATAATGGCCACGCACATGGCGAACCCGAAGAGACTGAGCCAGGCGTTGTAGTACTTGAAGGTGGGTCGCCATCCCAATGGCTTCACGAAGGCCGCGTGGAATGTGCAGAAGTTGATGAGGGCGTAGGAGGCCAGGTAGAAGGTGGAGATCAGGGGGGCGATCAGGTTGAGCTCTCCGATCAGCAGGAAGCCCGTGGTGATGAAGAAGGTGAGCACGTAGCCGCGGTACGGTTCCCCGTGCTTGCCGTACGGCTTGGAGAAGAATATCAGGCCCGGGTAGATCTGGTCAATGCCCAGGGCTTGGACCAATCTGGGGACGGACAGGAGGTTGGTCAGGGCCGTGCTCAGCGTGGCCGCAAAGCACCCGGCGTAGATCAGCGGACCCCACAGCGACATCTCCTGCATCATCTCGTACGAGTTGAAGAGACCCCAGGTGCAGTTCCCGGTGGCCATGCAGGGCAGTTCCGAGGCGACAATGGTTCCGTTGACCAGGTCGGCCGGGATGCCGGACGCATCCCGCACAGCAGCTCCGCCGGCGAAGAGGACGAAGAGGGCGTAGGACGTCATCGAGATGAGCAGCGACCAGAAGGTGCCCTTGGGAATAGCTGCTCCGGCATCCTTGAGATCTCCGCAGATATTCGCACCTGCCTGAATTCCCGTGACGCTGGGGAAGAAGATGGCGAACACGCTGAAGAAGTCGTGGTTCACGCCCTCCGCATACCGATAGTCCGATCCAAAGTTATCCTTGAACGTACCCCCTAAAAGGTGCGATCCGTTTTAGAATAGTTATCTTCCTTAAAAGTGTTTGACTTACATGAAAATCCCACGAAACCCTTCGAAATGCTTTCCTCATTTCCCTGTGGTCCAATGGCAGCCCCGATTAGGAAGTTGAAGATGGCCAGGACAATAGTGACAATCAGGAAGTTTTGGGCCTTCGTCTCCCACTCCATGCCCACGCAGCAGATGAGGATGAGCACCAAAACAGTCAGTGATCCAACGATTCGGATGTCATTAATGCCATTGTCGATAATCTTTAGGTCGTTGTTCTCTGAAAAATGGTAATTGAAGTATTATTATTAATCAAAAATAATTTGTAGGGAAATGTTAATGTGGTAAACTCATAGGGTAAAAGTTTGTGGCATGTAAAAGAGCTTTAATAAATAACTATTATGTTTATTTATCCTGAGCCGATACACTCTTATGCAACTTAAACTTGTCTTTAACTTTGTTACTTGAAATTACTTTACGAGCACCGGGTGTGCAAATTTAATCCTAAATAAAATGAATTGATACTCACTCAGCAAAACATTTAGCGATTCGCAGAAACCGATGGTGTTCATTGAGGCCGAAACGGCGTTGGCGAACGCAAACACCACGCCCACCGACGCCCCAAACTCGGGGCCCAGCGAACGGGATATGATGAAGTAGACCCCGCCACCCTTGACCTCGCCGTTGGTGCTAATGGCCGACAGCGAGAGCGTCGTGATGACGCAGACCACCGCGGAGATCGTAATTATAATCAGCGACTGCAAGATGCCGGACTCGGCCACCACCCAGCTGAGGCGCAGGAAGAGCATGACGCCCCAGATGTTCAGGAGACATGGTATCAGGACGCCCACAATCCATCCCAGCTTGATGTGTCCGCCAGAGGCTTCCGGCTCGGGTTCGGGAATAGTTATGCTCTGAAACGATAAAGGGATTATTTAAGTGTGATTTTTATTTTTAAAAATTATAAAACGTGATTTGGTTATATGAGCTCTGATCTACGATAACTATGATGTTTTATTACTCTTCCCCGCTAATACTTTAAACATACAGAGAAAGGCCATCAGCAGACCGCTAATTGTGGCAAGCATTATTTGCCTGATAATGGGATCTTGACATGCGTAGCATTCAATCGAAAGTGTGTTAAATATTTGATTAAATTGACTTCAGCATTTTTGTAAACTTCGTGCTACTCCAACAGCTGTTTCAGTGGGATTTCTTTCCGAATTACTCATACGACATGTGTGCAATTTAGTACTCGTATTCAATTAACGACCCGTCGACGCCAGCCGAAACAAAAGCAACACCAACCAAAAGCAGAGCAACAACCAGATTATGGGGAGCTTCATATTGCTTTTCATTCTAATTAAAGTTCGTTTTTATAACGGTACTAAAACTCGAACCATTATAAAAATGTTCAAATAAGAGCTCAAACCGAAGTGTGCTGCCTCAAAGTTAACTATTTATAATAAACCTAAACGCATTGTCTTTGTTCGGAGTTAGGGCTTGTCCAATAGGGTAGCGCACAGATATATTAACATTACTGAGGAAGTAACAGCGATGTGTCAATTGAACCTTACAATAGCGTAGTTAGTTGAGATGCTATGATACTCTCGTAGAAATTCGCTGTGAAAAAAGTTAGCTTTCTGTAAGAAGCTAAAAAATGATTTTTATTGATTTATTTTTAAACTTTTGGGATGTACGTATTTCATTATGCAGGTATTTATACCCGTTGCCCGTAGAGTAAAAGGTATGTTGTATTCGTCGGGAAGTGTGTAACAGGTAAAAGGAAGCGTTTCCGACTCTATAAAGTATATATATTCTTGTTCAGGATCACTAGCCGAGTCGAACCTCAAATAATGTTCGTATTTCATGATGCAAGTATTTATACCCGTTACCCGTAGAGTAAAAGAGTATGCTGTATTCATCGGAAAGTGTGTAAGAGGTAAAAGAAAGCGTTTCCGACCCTGTAAAGAAAATATATTCTTTATCACGCCCACTCTGACTCTAACAGTCGCGCTAAAGGACTAAACAAAGCCTGGCGCCCACATCTTTTCAAATTTAGAAACAAGTTAAACGGCATTTTGTTGTGTTCATTAATACCTATCAAAATGTAGAAGAAAATTTTAGAATCGGACATTAAGAAGTTATAAGCCCTGCAAAATTGCTGTTGTTTTAGAGGAACCTATAACACTTGTGGACGACAGTACACGTAGTGACAAAGCGCACCACACAATTTTAGTCCAGTATAAAATCATTAATCGTCATAAAAGTTGGTATTAGAGGTATTTGTTTGATTTTAGAAAACACAAAACACAATCACGATCAACTCAAATAAACCTGCAATGCTGACAAGCGTTTTTTTAAAACATACAAATTCCTTTTTAAGGGTAATAGAACTGAAATGTTTTCTTCCACTTGATGAAACCGAAATACTTTTAATTAAATTTCATATTATTTATGAACAGCAAAAAGCTTACGCTATTCGGATCACAACAAGAGAAAATATTTCCACTCGAAACGTATTTACTTATCACATGCGGTAATTTACGGAGCAGACAATTAGATCGCCCTAAAAACTTCCACTGGCCTGATCAAAGCTGGGCAGAACAATTTCTTGTGATTGTGATAATTTAATAGATTTACACAAGACATTGCTCCCTTGCCCTTGCTCGGTTATTGTTTTGCCATTTGTCGCACCGATGGAAAGGGGCTCATTTATTTTATTGTTTGCCCACATAATTGAATGTTTTTTAAAGCGCCACCAATTGAAATTGCCTCACGTGGCATGTGGCAAGTGGCGGAGACAGGGTTGGGCAGGACAACATCGATTCACGGGGGAAGTTGGAGCACGAGCACACAACCCCAGAGTGGTCGATTCGCACACGCTGCGTATACGCAATGCTGGTTAGTTAGTCTTCCTCGGTGGGTGGTTAATGTTGATTGTTTACACATTTTTGGCGGCTTCGAGCGGACGCCAACTCAGACAGACGCAAACATAAACATTTATACACTTTAATAAAGTTCCTAATTCTTTTCCCATTAGTAAACTTTAAATACCTAAGTATTGAGGGCGCTTGAGTGATAAGTTGCTCTAATTCAGATATATTAATGTTAAAGCACATTACAGTAATATTTTAAAATAAAAATCAAGTTAATAATATTGTCACTAAAATTATAAATGGGGAAAGAGGCCCCATTTCTCTCCGTGTCTCCTCCAACTCGCAGGTTTTATTAGGGGAGGACTAAGGGGTATTTGAGGTCTCACTAGTGTGGCCCTCTGGCGCTTCCTTCCTTTGTCCATTTCATTTAGCAAAATACGCATTTGGCTCTGCGCTTGTTTTCCTCGTTCAGTTGTCTTTGTTATTGTGGTCGATGCGTGGAAAATTTTCGCACCCAAAATTGGAATTGAAATTGGTATTTGTGCTTTATGACATGGGAAAGTGAGGGCAGAACTGGGGGATAAGCCACTTTCTTGGCTGGCTTGTGCCAGTGATTTGAGTTAGGTTAATAGACAAAAAGGAGCCGAATTATAACGCTGAGATGGGTTATAATCACAGCTTCCATAAATAGCTAGAAATGAATTCACTCAGAGTTATTATTAGCTGCAAGAAACTAAGTCTGTGGCTAATTGCGGCGGCGGCTGTGAAGCGAATCCGTGGATCTTAAAGTCCCTATATTTAACTTTGAGCCAATTCAAGCGGATTCGCGCAGTCTCAACTGGAAATTTTAGCGCAATTAAGCAAATGCGCAGAAAATCGATAAGGCCAAATGAGTTATCCAATAAATACGGGAAAATTGCATTTTCATCATTGAAGAGAGAGATTTTCCACCAGCTTACTGCGCCCTCGGCCATTCGAACAATGGTGGGTAAGTATCAGAAATGCAACACAAATGGGGTAAACATATTGTTATATGCGCCAATAACTTAATGGCTTGTTCGGGGCAATGGCAATGCGGTAAACAAAGATTTTCCAGCAAGACGTTTGCATTAGGAAATCGATAAAATTGTATAAAAATAGCAGCCAGCTCTTTGGCTATGAATTGTAAATTAGAATTGTAATTACAAGTGCAATACAAAAGGAATCTGAAATGGCAAACACGCCACAGGCTGCCCTCTCGATGATGTAAACAGTGCGCGGGCGAATTGCTCATACGCCGCGTTGAGCGCCGAAAGATGTTGATAATATTGTCCGATATTGCCATTCGATTTGACAAATTACTATTGTTGAGGGGCGCGATGGCAGGCGTTTTAAAACTGCCAAGAACTGGTAATGGTTTTTTCGGGGTGTCCGCCGCATCTTGAGTGGGTTTCCTGTCAGCCTAATTGATTGAAAGTGAAGAATAATCCATTGCTCAGCGCGAGCGTTTATCAAAATGACGTCCTGTCAGCAGCCGTGACAGGTTCAACACTCGTGCACTTGAGCACCCAGTGGTTCTGGAGCGGATTCGATCGGCTTTAATGCGGCATGGCACCACATCCACATGCCAACGCCCTGGAACCCTGTTTATGATAAGCAACGAATCAACTAACGTCAATGGCAACAGCCCCAGCAACATCTGCAGGCCGTCGCTGTCAATTTTAATGACACGACACACTTGTCCTGCATTATCCCCACCCTCCAGTCCTCTGTCCTCTTGTCCCCCCGTCCATCCAGTCACACATATGGATATGGCGTTGACTATAGTGAGCTGTTTACCCGCGCTGGAAGGCGCTGCGAGTCCTGCCCCGCTGCTCCTTGAAACAATGTCCATGTGGCCTGGCCCATGGCAGATGCATGGCTGCATCTTGTTGACAATTAATTTGGCCCCAGCGCTGTCATCGATATCGGCTTGCGCATTATGGGCTATGGATGGATGCGGAAAAATCCACTTAGGACTGGGGCGACAGGGAAAATCGAATGAAGCTCGCTCGTGTTGATTTTACGTATTCCCAAGGAACAAAGTTGTGCAGAAGAAAAACACAAATTAGTTTTCTTCCACGCCCCTGTACTCTTAAAGGTAGTAGTATATCTTTGGCAAGTAGGGAGCAAAACTCAAGCCGAAGTACCGAAATATAAAAACGTATACAAGATGTTGAGATATGAGATTTTCTTGACTTCATGGTAAGAAAAATCATCTCAATTTCCATGCGTTTTCTCAGCTTTAAGTCCTAGCTTAATATCAAATTAAGTGGAGTTGAAATTACGTGGATAGGTATAATTAAGTTTAACAAATATGTTATCTTGAAGTCAGAACATAATCTGAATATAATTATACCCGTATCCGTGCAAAAGTATGTAACAGGTAGAAGGAGGCGTTTCCGACGCTATAAAGTATATATGTTCTTGATCAGGATCACCAGCCGAGTCAATCTAGCCATGTCCGTCTGGCCGTCCGTATGAACGCTGAGATCTCGGAAACTATAAAAGCTAGAAGATTGGCATTAGGCATGCAGATTCTTGGGGTTCCTGTGCAGCGCATGTTTGTTTCATCTAGGTGCTGCGCCCCCTCTAACGCGCACAATTGCCCTGAACGATTTTAAAATGTGTCTGGTACCCACATCTTTAAAGGTTTTGGAAAAGTATAAATGGAATTTTGTTGTGTTTAGTAAAACAGTTTTACAAAAACCTATCAAAATGAAGAAATTTTTTTTAAAATTGGACCATTGGTAATACTCTAGTTTACGGTCCCCAAAATTCGCAAAAAAATATCCTTGAATTCTTAAGAATTTACATGAAGAAATATAGGCGCGAAGAAATGTGGCTGAAATGCATTTAATTCTTCAACACCTATCGATTGACTGAAGAGTTTACCACGCCCACGTTAACGCCCAGAAGTCGACAATTCAGCTAGTGACGTCACTATCTTTAGTGGGTTTCCGACAGTCGAGCCACTCGAAAATAGGAATTTGAATATAGAATGTAGTTTCGGGAAATCATTTTTAGGAATGTAATGTCAATTATAATTGACAATAATTATTGAGTCACTGTTGTTGATTAATTTATACTTAGATTCCAGCATAGATTACTTACTCATAAAAACTATCACTTATTAAACGCTAAAAATGCATCGTTTTAGGAGCTCTTTCCGAAATGTAGATTTTATAATTTTAATTCCTTCTTGCGTTCTAAAACTATTTTTTTGAGTGCAGAAAACCCCATTTTATCGTTAAATGGAGCGCTGCTTTCCATATTTTAGGTGCCGTCTTGGAATTGGTATTCCCCTAATGAACCGTTGCTGGCTTGTAATGCAATTTTTACGATATCTATCATACGCCGTGGTGGCCCACAGAAGCCGGGCAAAGTGAATTAATTAAACAATACAGAAAATATGTATGGGGGAGAGGCCATTCAGGAGAAAACTGCTTGACCACCGGACCCCCAGACGAGAGTTTCCTATAGACGCATCAAATTTATTACTTCGGCGATAAACATAAAAACCGTAACACTGGGAGAGCTTATAGGTCCCTCCGCCCCTTCACTATTCTCCCTGAGCGATAAGCCCAACATGGTGGTGGGTTTCGAGAAGGCTGATTTGAGAAAGTGGGCGACCTTGACTGAGGTATTGGCTGCTTATCTTAAGTGGCCACAACGTCATCGCGATAGAAGCCCTCAAATCTGTTGGCACTAAACATCAATCGATGGGATGCCCGGAAGACGTCATGGAAAACTCACAATTTGCACGTCGGAAATGTGAAAATTGTTCAAGTAAATAAATCAGAAAACGTATTAATGAAATTCAGATATAAATATATGTGCGCACGCATCTACATGGGCCTGTTTTTAAGGCTAGCCAAAGTGCGAGTACGATTTGAGAGTCGAACAAAAAGTGTTGCGATTTCTGGCTGGATCCATATTTTTTGTTTTGCTTCTGCTTCGCTTCATGTTTTCCTAGGTATTTTTGCTCTGCTTTGTTTATTTGCCGACTGACTGAAGTGCGCTGCAAGGATTATGCCATGGCGAACACAAAGCAGATCGCTGAGTTTGACACTAAAAACTAAAAAATACTCGTCTTTCTCGGCCTCTCACTAACCCCGGGGGAAAATTGATGGAATGATTAATAAATTGGTTTTCCGACTTTTTCAAGTGCATTCCATGCTTGTTGGTAGTCCGATTATTGGACAAGGTTGAATACATAGTGGCTCTAGGCTATCAACCGATTAACAAATATCTTGAGTGTTTTATTTGGAAAATGACCAACTGATTAATTTTTAGCTAGGGTTCAAACCTTGTCATCTGAAGGTTTTCACGGTGAAGTTATTTCAGAATTTATTGTATATATACAATACATATATGTATTATTGTAAGTAAGCAACATGTGAAAGAAAACGTTTCCACCCTCTAAACTATCAAATAAAAACACCTCTTAACGAGGTAAAAAACTAGTGACGATCGCACCTTCAACATACAAAAGTTCTGATATCAACATTTGTGACGAAAAATTATTACACTCGTCATTAAATAGACTTTCTAATCTTTTCTCATTCGGCCGGCCCTAGCAGACTATTCCAGCCTTTTTCCCTTCACAGGCATTTTCTATTGCAGCGTGCAACTACGAGGGGGCATTTATCCCCACCGGCCCCAACAGCTCCAAATTTCGAAATTTTCATTTTTTCACTTTCACCGCTCTCTCTCCCAAGCCAATTGATTTTCTTAAAGTCTTGGTATGCAATCCTTTAAGTTATTGCATTACCTTTCGATTGGTGTATTACTCATTACGATCGGACTATCACAGCAGATTTTCAATTTTGCGGCTATATAATAGTAGTCGCCTTCGCACACTCTCCTGGTGCGCTTCGTCACTACATGGACTGCCGTCCATAGTGATGTATATACTTTTGATCATAATTTGACTAAAGGGTATCTGATAAAGTGTACACTTTATAACACATTCCTCCTTGAACGTGAATTTGATAATGAAAGCATGGATATATACTAAGTTTTAACAGCTTTTTTCACGATGACTTTCTATATTTCCTATATGCATTTTGTATACGCACAAGATTTGAATGCTCTGTTTTCCTACTTGCTTGCTCCAGGATGTCCAGGTTTCATTCAACCGAACAGTAATTTCCCCTAGTCTCACTGATTATGCAAACTGTTATGGCAATTTTATGCGCTTACGTCATGGATTCGAATTTTGAACTGGGCAACTAGGAACTGAGAACTGAGAAGTGGGAACTCACCTGATCGACCGCCTCTCCCTGCAGTTCTCCGATGGAAGGACGCTTCAGGTTGCGCATGGAAATGCGGTAATTGTCCAGGCGCGGCAGACTCTCCCTGCAATCACACGAAAAGGAGAAATATCCGATTAGAGGAGTCACTTTCGCCGGGCGTAAAGTTGCCGTACTGATGAAACGGAAGCAGAACCATCACCGCCTCGGGCAGCATGACCGTTGCCTGCAGCGTGCCGAGCAGAAATACCCAATCCCAAATACCAAATACCCACTCCGGACTACGCGGCTCTCCAGCGGATTCCAAGTGTAAGAACCAAGTTATTTGTGTATACACATAAATAATAAGACAATAAAATCGGCCAGCCGAGTGGTAAAGGTAGCCGGGCAGAAGGTCAGGGGTTCCACGGCGAAATCGAGAAAAATCGAGTTTTATCGGAAAATTCTTCTGGCCGAAGAGAGAGTAGAATGCCCGCCCTCTTGTATGATGTATATTTACTGATCGCCAACGAAAACAGAAACAAAAACAATAACATTAGTCGAAGCGGGCGCAGAAACAGAAGCAGCCACAGCTAAAGCAATGCCAAAATATAATTTAAAATCTTAAAAAGGAAAAAACCGGAATGAGGAAGGCAATAATCGTTGAGCACAGTACGGCGCCACGAGCGGACAATGGCGCCGATTCGAAGGGATCGAGAGGGGGCAAGCTGGACAGATGACAGCCCAATCGAGGATCCGAAAGGGGGGCTAAATGTAAAGCATTCTATAGAGCACACATTACTCATGCGGAATTTCGGCGGGGTATCCACCGAATGAGTTTGAAGATGTGACTAATATGAACAAATTTCAAATTTTTATTCGGTTGTAAAAAGTATAAATAATGTATTCTAAACTTTGGACTTTAAACGTAGATACTTAATAATAAAAAATATTGTTTAAGTATTTATATACCAATTAACAAGTTTCATATTTCTTGAATTGGTCAAGAATATTTGCTAAAGTGCTTTTATCTTTGCTTGCTATCAGAATTTCGTTTCGTGTAAGCCGGCATTAACATTCAGTTGACCCACTAACCCGGTTCCTTAGTTAAGACGATCCTTTATGTATATCTTGATTAATTTTCGAAAGCCCTAATGACAATATTAAATTTTGCTCTCTACAGTTCTCTTTTCAGCTTATAGGATCGTAAATAAATCACCATAAATTACAGTCTCAACTTTCTTATTTTATGTATTTTGAGTCTCCTTTGACTTTCGATTCCCATCCCTTTTAGATCGCCGCTCAGTTGAAGAATAATTTATGAATGTTTATTAATTATAGACAGAATCTCTCGAGGGCGTTTTTCATTGTGCTACTAAATAAATTGCAAGCATTCTGTTAAGAGAACCGGCATCGTGTGGCTTTTCTTTTAATTCCATTTTCCATTTCCAATTCGTTTGCCAGACAGCAACGACTGTCCATAAGATACAGTCCCACATTCTGTGGATATATGCTTATGTACAGAGTGTAAACATGGGGCCAAGTACATACACCCATAGCATATATGTATATGGGGAGTCCCGTCCAGTCGATAGGCATTGATTGCTGGCCGGTTTCGTTGGGAATCAGCTAGTCTGAGTTAGTTGTACAATTGGAGCTGAGCAGAGTTCGGGAGGCATCGATCAATTGAATTCATTTGCGCTCGCACATCCCAAATGACCAACTGTAAATTTATTTGTTGACACGCTCATCCTCCGGCGAGAAACTCAGACTGGCAGCTCCGGAATTTGTGGAGTGCAAGTTGATCGAATTTTCCGATCCGATCGCGATCCTTGTGCCAAAAACGGCTGACTTTGGGAATGCGAAATGACTTTTACTGTTTTGCGTCGCTGTCAGTGCTCTTATTATTCATTCGACAGGCTGATGTAACGTGCCTGCCGTGTGCAAAGTTTCCCAGAAAACAAATCATCGGCTGTCTTTATTTGTACCAACAAAACTGGAGGTTTTACATTTTTTCGGACAGATCTTTGGCAGCCTTTAATTGAATTTAATTCGAGCATGTGCTTATGATATATCGAAAGTGGAACAATTGTAAAGTTAATTCGAAAAGCTTTGGGGCGGGTCATGTGTCAAAATTTGAATAATCAAAAGTGAAAAAATTCTAATTAATCCATAACCAATTTAATTTGCCAATGATCTATGACTTTTTAAGTAACCGTTTTTTTATGCTGAATAATTTAGGTTTTTTTTGAACAAATACAAATTGCAACCCCATTAAAAGAAGCTGCCATAATTTTCTACAATTACATTCTGATAGAGCACTGATCTCGATGGGATATAAAATTAACACTGCGATTCAACTTAGTGAAAGTGTACTTTAACAATCGACACTGACAATGACACATTACTCCAATTTTGGATGATGTTGCTCTTGATAAGCTTTTCAATCTGTTGTCATTTTTTGTGTTTATGTGCCAAACGTGATTACAATAAATTGGCATAATGTAACCTTCATTTCGGTTATACAAACGGAATTTTTTCGTTTTACTTTTTATTTAACAGACAATTGTGACGCGTTTTTTGTATGTTTCTCGCTCTACAGAAGTTTAGGGTAAATATTATTTTTTTTATTATTTTTATTTTTTTCGAGGTACACAACAAACAGAAGCGGGCTAAGTTTAAACATGTGTCGGCAGCTCAATTGAAACTCATTACGGAAAGTAAAATTAATGATTAATTTGCGTTGGGAAAACTCTAATTAATTGTTGTATTATTTCTTAATTGTTTTAGACGCGAGTTCAGACCCCACGTGCGCCATAATGAATGGAAATAATATATCTCAAGCACCTAAAACGTATCAACTGAATCGCAGCGAAGCTTATCTTTGCGAATAAATCACACTAATCGAAGCAATTATCAAAAATTCAACAACTTGTGTGGATTACAAACAAATGTTTTCAAAAATTAATTTAACAGCGACACAACGGAAATTCATTTTTCGACACGCTCATCGTTGGGAGAACGCCAATAATTGTGTCGTATATTTTTTTAAATTCCAAAAATGTAAGTGTAAAATTTTGATTTTAGACGGATTTATAAATAACACCAACCAGATAATAAATAAATAAGAAAGAAGACAAACTTTAAATTATACCTACTTTTAGTTGAAAACTAATCTGACCTAGTAGTTGTTCAAAAAATAAGTTGAAGAAACGTCTCTTATAACTAAGTCTTCGTCATACTTAGCTCAGAAAAAAAAAACAACATCATCCGTTTCAAATTTCCAACTTTAAATTCTTTGTTCCGCTACAGCATCAACAGTCAAAATACATTTTAAAAAATATTCAAAGCAAATCGTTGATAGTTATTATATTTACTTAAATAGTCAAAATAAGTTTTAAAAAATATTTAAAGCAAATCTTTAATAGTTATTAAAACTGTAACAATAATTTTTGTTTAGATTTTAATTCTATTTTTATAATTAATATCTTCGCTTTTGTTTTAGTCGATATTCGAATTCAAAAACTACAATTATAAAAAAAAATGTACATAGAGGTTAGTGGATGCCTAGCCTTTGTGGATAACTACCCTTTTTTTGGGCACTTTTTCCCCTGTGCTAACCCATTTTAAAATGAATCGTTGTCACTACCAGGGAATGCGTGAAAATTGAATTAAACTTACTTTGTGAGCTGGGCGAGACTGAATTTGCGCTCGGCGTCCGATTTCCGCAGGAAGTGTCCGAATCCGCGGAAGGACAGGCGCGAGCTCCGGCGATTCTCCCCGCTTTCTCCCGGAGCCTTCGGCTGCAGGTGATTCTCGTTGCTGGAAGGCGGATGTGGATGGGCTGCATCCGACTGATCGGCGGGAGCAGATCCCGTCTCGCCATCGTATCCGGCGTTCGCGGTGCCGTTCACCTTTGAGATCTGGAAGCGATCGGCCATGTTGCGGTAGGGGGAAATCCTTGCACTTTAGTGTCAACTGGATACTGGATAGGGTTTGTTATCGATTGCACAAGCACCTTGAAGGAAAGTTAACGAACTGAGCACATTTGCATTTTACACACTCGGCAGGACAAGGAAAAGCGCACCCAACAGGGAGTGGATGATATCACAAGGAGCGCGAATCGAAAGGACGCCGTGTTCTACGTCCGACTGCGATTAACCCTCAACGCCGATTGTCCGAATATTTTGAAAGCATCTACCACGTCGGGTTTGTTTTGGGTTTTCGGTTTCTGTTTCGGTTTTGTTTCGGTTTCGGGTTTGTTTTTATATTTATGCGTTTCGCGGATGATTTATCCGTGGCGGCAATTTCAACTTATCGCGACGACTGTCGCACGGCGTTTGAGCGTTGTCAAGTGTTTACCGCTTGATTATTATGGCTTTTTGCGCCAGTCAGCTGCTCTGCTGCTCCGCTGCTTCCGCTGTGCCTCGGATTTGGCAGCGGCTGGCTTCAGTACCAAAGTACCAACCCAGCGCTCGTGTGGTGAGTTCTCAACAAGTGTTCGGTGCCGAATTCAACTCGGGAGCGCTCTCTTTGCGGAGCGCCGAGGAAAACACAGCGAAACGGGGAAGAACGATTGGCCAGGAGGTCCGGACTAGGGGATACCCGCTCCTCGAAGCGTCTAACGCGAGCGTATACGTAATATTAGAACGCACGGGTGCATATTGCGCATACGTAGTAAGTTGTTTGCGGCAAAAGAACAGGGAAAAGAATATTTAATTTTATTTAAATAGCCTTAATATAAACCAGTTAGATGCCCACATGATATTAATTCCAAGTATATAGGTAATACTTTTTCTTTTTTAAATAAAATGAGCTTTCGATGCTACAGCTTTTTCTTTTTTAATTAATACAAATACTAACAGTGGCAACCTAGTATTAAGAAACACTGAAAAACTTGTCTTCAGTGAGTCAAATAGATCGAATTCAAATGTGTTCGATCTTATAAGATAAATATATTTATGTAAACAAAATTGGAAAATCAAATAAACGAACGTGTTTTTGTGTATTTATTTTCCTAATTGAATTGTATTATATTAGAATCACCGAAACAAGTTTAAATCAGAATCGATCGAAAAATTAAAATTCCTCATAACCTGTATTAACTGTATATTCTTGATTAGTATCAACGAAAATAATGTTGCCCTATATTAATGTTTTTGTTGTCGCCAACGCAAACGAGATTAGCAAGCTCATTCTTATTATAGCCCTTGTACCGTATCTGAGGAATCTGCTTAAAGGCAGTGCTTAAACATAGGTGAGGCAGAGCAGAAGGTTCCGTTTATTTTTTAATAAATTATTTTTCTTAACAGTCCTATGATGTTTACTTTGACACGGCTAATCAGTACATACTAACTCTTTTTTAAATGCAAGCTTTAACATCTTTTAAATGAATAAATTAAATAACTTTGTTTAATTTGGTTTTGGCTTTATTTAATTTAACGTCAATATCAATTTAATTTGTGAAAATTTTAGTTAACGTCTGATTTACATTATGAATTCAAATTCGACGCGTTGAATAAAACATGGAGATCTTATTGGGGTCACCGATGAAATCAAAGTTTGCGCTCGAGCAGCGAAATCGCTTCAAAGGACCTTCGTTTTGCCCGGCCCAATAGAAGTTTTGTCACTCGATATAACACCATTTTGTCGCATCGAAAAAAGAATTTAGCACCTTAACACGGTCTTTGTGGGTAAGATTCGTTTGCGATTGCCGCAATTAGCTCGTTTCGTTTGTTTACCCAATTCATAACAATTCTCCGACTCTCCACGCTCATTCACAATCATTCGCACACTAAAACTTAGACACTCTCGTAACATCTTTACTATCGGCCAAGTCAAGTCAAGCCAAGACGCGAGCAGTAACAACAATCGGGCAAGAGCACGCGAATAAACCCCCTTAATCGAATTAAATTCGGTTTTATCTGGTTTGATTGGCCGGCTGGCTGGATGGTCGGATGGCTGGATGGTTGACTGGCTGGTCGGGCTGCTTTTAGCTCTGCGTCACAGAGTCACCCGAGGAGGTTTTAATAAAGAGCGGAACGCGGCGAAAAGAGTTATTTTATTAAGCCACATGAAGGTGCCCTGCTCTGAACCTTCCTCCATCATCCGAAGAACGGGAGAGCCAACCGGATGGTGTACTCTCTCCAGCATCGGGTTCTTCCATCAGTCGGATCTTTCTAGGGCCCATCTCGTTCCTATCGGTTTTATGGGGATATGAATATTTATTTTGATCTCTGGGAATTTTTAGCTTCAAGTAATCTCTTGTGAAAGACAATTGGTAACTAGTTTAAGACTAGAACTAGGAATCCTCAAGTGATCTTAGCCCTTTAGACCAGTGATTTCGGCAGTTCAGTATATACTACAATCTTGATTATCTTCATTATAAAATTTACAGCTGGAAATGTGACTCGGTAATTTAGAACCTTGAATCTTGATAAGCCAAATTTTCTGACTCATTGTAGCAGGGAGAACCCCAAAATATTTAAATTACTGAGTTGAATTGAATAAACATTTTTAAATTCACCACGCTTGGTTGTGGGTTTAAAATATTATTTAGACGTAACCATCAGAGTTGTATAATGGAAAATACACAATAGTATGGGTAAATTAGTTGATTACCCTTTATGACTGCCTCGATATCACTTTTATTTTTTTCATATATTACGTAAGTGATTAACGAGTTCTTAATTATCAAATATTTTTTATTACTTTGCAAGCCATAACTGCCACAAATAGCCATATATATTTTTCAGCGAAACTGATTTTTATTCCTTTACGATACATTTTTCACACGTCTTCCAATTCCGTTCGCCTCGTTTATTTCGGATCTTCAGTACTTTGTGATAGGGAATTTGTTTACTGCGTCCAATGATATAAATTGAATTTCTTGTTATTCGTTTTTATATTTGAAGCCCAATAAAAATTTGCTGCCGAAAATGAAATGTATACAAAAATCCAGAGCGGGAAATTATATAAAACACATCAACAAAAGACTTTACCCAGAAAATTCTTATGTGGCTTGGTTGTCAAAGTCATAGTTTTTTTTTACAGTCATATTCGCAAGGTGTTTATCTAACAATCCCTCAATATCTATCTTGTAAAGCTTAATTTCTGTCTAGGGGATCTTTCTAAAATTAGTTTTTATTTGTTTATATTTGCGAATATAAAACAGTAATTGGCGGTTAATCTTGAATGTGTTTTCGTTTGTTTTTATAGTACTGGCAATCAAACAGGCAAATTAAACGCAAATTATACTCAAATTGTTTTCGAGATTTGGTATATATGTTTTTGGTTGACTATTATTCGTTGTAAATTAAGTAAGTACTTCATTGTTCAAGGAAATGGTTGATTGTTAAAATATAGTTTTATTACAATTTCCCTAAAAAGTGTTATAGGTATTTATAAATTTTGTTCTATTTTACAAGAACAATATATACAACTTTAGTAGAAGTCAGGTTATTGTCATGGCTGACATCCGCACCTAACCAGTTACAAGCGGTTTTGGTTAACCCTCAACTGCACTTTTTAACACCTCCCCAGTCCGCTTGTATTTGGACTACGGACGAATTCTGCCTAATTGATCGAATAAACATTGTGAAGCACAGATAAATTAATTGTTTTACAGCTAAAATGAAATATTTAAGACTTGACAACCATGTTGTATAACCATAGCACGCCGCTAATTAATTCCAGCCTAATAGGCGTCATATACAACCGATTACATCGATAATGACGATAATGTCTCCCCAATGACAATGGAACTAGTCTTGGGTTCTTATTAGGTGGAAGACAAATTGACCATGCGCTATCGCGTCGTGGCCAGTGACATTATTTGACACTCGATTATTAATTGAATTAACTGCTTTATACCACTTTAAAAAGGTCTCACTCGAGCCGCGTGAAGGAAGTTCCACACAAATCGACAATAATCTAGATTTGATCGCTTGTTACTGGGTTTTCAAATACCTGTCCTTGGCGTCAATTGTTTTTCATCGCCTTACAATATTTGACTGGTGTCGATAAAGCCACTCGTATCTGGCTTGGTGTTAAGTGTTTGGATCAATACTCATATCACTTTCCGTATTGGTGGTATAATTTTCGGCTAGAATTGCACACGGAAAATCCTGAGTAAACCTTAAAAATACTTTTACATACTTCATACATAATGCATCCAGTCCTTATTTACAAATTACCTTTGAGCGCTCCCCATCAGCATTTTGAACAAAATGAAATCCTTTCCGTCTCTCAATCACCCAAATGAAATCCCAACTCATGTCTCATATTCTATATCTGCTATAGGGACACCAAGTCCCTAATGCGAAATTGTTTATGTGTTAGCTTAACAATAATAATAGCATTGAGGGTCAGGAAGTCTACAGCGTGCGGCTTTAAATGAAAGACTAAGGCTACAAAATTATTACGCTGATATTGTGATCGCAAAGGTCTTTTGGTGAAATATCTGCCCTTACTAAACATAACTACCAAAATAAGATTCTCCGGTAAATATAGATTTATATATTAAGATTTCGTCAAATCAACTTTAAAACTAAAAGAAAGCAGACAGCTTCCGCCGCCTAGACACCAATCTTAAAATGACGCATTACACAGGCCGACAAAATGTGACATGGGTCGGTGTCCAGGCCTGCCACCATTTTATTTCGATAAATGAGGCTTTTCTAAGCATAAGTTGCCACTACGCCTATAGTCCATCAGCTCTGGTATTTGCGGTATCTTTAATTTAAGAAAATCACAAATTTTTTTCGTCTTTTGGGATATATCTTCAAGAGTGGTCAACCAATTTTGGAAATCTTTTCGGAATTAAATAGTTACATGTCTGTTTTATACGGTCGTTTTGGAAAATTCAATTTAACTCAACCACAAGAGGAGGTGGGCGCATTCAAAATTTTAAAGTCACAGCAAAGTTTAAAAATCTTCATTTGTGAACAGCGTTTAAAAATTAAATAAAAATATTTTCTTCAACAATGCATTTTTGATCCAAAGACACCTTGTGTCCTTACTGTTTAGGACACTCATCAGGTTTTTGTGAATTGTTTTGAAATTTTTAAAATTGTTTTTCTTCCTTCCTTCACAGTGACCATTCACAAACAGTGCCCAAACCTGTCACAATTTTAAATCACATATTTCTAAACGATCTAAGTAGTTTTGCTTTGAATATAAGCACATGAGCGTAGCCTACTAATCTTTGGGGGCTGAAATGCCTGAAGTGTTATCCCCCTCCAGCTTTTAACTTACGCCCATGTATAAATATTTTTAAAGCAAGGGTCACTTGTGCTCAAAAATAGTTATGAGTTACGTAAAATAGTGAAAGGTTTGGGCACTGTTTATGAATCGTCACTGTGAAGGAAGTAAGAAAAACAATAGGAATTAGGTAAAGTCAGGAGATAAAGTTGAGAGACACATTCTCAGAATTGTTTGGAGTGCATTATGAACGTGATCTCACATCCATTAAACAATTTAAAAATGATTCGCTACTCAACTCTACCAAAAATATCAATTAAGTGCTGTCAATCGCGATGAATACTCGTACTTGTTGTTACAGGGGTCACTGCCGGTCACTCCTCCTCAGTGGAGCGCTACTCCTGGCATCTCCTATTTAAACATACATATATACAAATTGCAGTTGAGGCGTCGATTGGGGGCTTTCATTCGAATTCCGATCGCCGGAGCGTAGTCATCATCGCCACCAACCAACCCGGCTCTGTCATGCCAAGGCAGTTATAGGAATAAGAGGCAAAACTGAACCGCTTCGTGGCAGAAACAACTTGTTCAGCGCCAGCCAGTCTCATGGTATCGTGCTCTTAGAAGTGAGTCCGAGCGATCGCCCAAGTTGTTCGCGGTCGGGGTGTCGCGACAAGTGCGACAATTGATGGTGAGCACACAAACACACATGCCCACTCCGATAGAAAATCATTTGCAGTCAAATTTTTAATTGTAATAATTATGCGAATTTAATCTCATCAGGCAGCACTGTGTTTGGCGACAGTTAGGCCTGCCCAGATTGAATGGGCTGCGGCAGCGACAATATCTGGCTACCTTTCCAAGAACCAGGACAAAACCTGTCCTGAGTGTGCTTTGTCTTTTTGGATTCAGTAAACCGAAAGTTAATTTAAAGTCTTCGAATAGGGGTCACCTGCATAACGGAACTCAGAGAGTCGATTTAATTACTTAAGTTGGCGTTTTAAGTGTCAATATTTGTCCTCATTGGATGATAACAAATTATTATAATTTATACATACTTCCTTGTACTTTTTAAGAGTGGGGGGTGATCAAAACCAAATCACTAACTTCCTCTTTCCACTCAGTGGATCAGTGTGGTCTAATCCATTTATCGAATAACAGATTGAATATTCAAGGCTTGATAAAAGTGAATGCATTTAAAAGATACATGCCCTTTGAATTATATTTGTCAGTCTTATGAAATGCAATACGACGCATTTTCCTAAAGAACTTAGTTAACAAAAGTTGAGTAGAGTTCTAGACTGTATACATATGTATGAATTTTGTGTACTCAAAGAAAATTGCACAGAAAGCCGAATCCAACTGGTAAGAAGAGGTTCTGCTTGGAACTGGTTTGTTTACAACATCAGTATTTGCCAATAAGTTTATTAATTTATATTATCTTTGACTTTTTGCTATCAATGTAAGAGGTATACATAAGTAAACAAAGTAACACGATTGAACTTTGCGAGGGAAGTTTATAAAAGCGATTAAAATTTATAGCGCTGTAATATTACGTTTTTTTTTTTAGTATAACATAAAATTTTATTTAGACGTTGATCAACCAAATAAATGGTTATAAAACGCATAATTTAGAACAAAGAAACAAATAACCGGAAACATAACATGAGTGTGGAAATAACAAATTTGATGACATTGACAATTCTACATTATTGTCTCAGGACGCGGGTCTGATGCCGTCCTCTAGCCCAGAGATCGCCAGGGTGTCGACGCTTCTGTCTTCTTCTGGTTAATGGATTCGCCAGGGATGCAGCTAGGTGGTTGGAGTGAGCCGGTAGTCGGTCGTTGTAGCGACTTGAGTGCATGTTAATTTGCTCTCTCACTGAGGGAATGTCAGGCCACTGGCCAGGACATCATTTCTCACATACCACGGTGCATTCGCTATGGTGCGCAGGGCCTTGTTTTGCAGTCTTTGAATCCGCATGATATTGGAATCCGAAGCAGTGCCCCATATTTGGATGCAGTAGGTTAACGAAGGAACTACAATTGACCTGTACAGTAGAACCTTGTTGCTAAGGCTGAGTGCACTTCGTCCTCTAAGCAATAATACGAATTATATCTAAGTTGTTGGTGGAGCGTTTAAATTGTCACATTAATATTTACATTAGATAAGCTGCCTAATTCACAAGCTCATCTTTTAAGTTCAAAGTTATCTTATCAACCAATTAGGGGTTACATTTACTGTGTGTACCCGGTAATTGTCTAGCACAAAGAACTCATAAATGATTTTAGAAGGACTTTTCGATACTCTTTTTTGATAAAGCCAAAGTACAAGCAAAAACCATAAGGAAGTTGAAGAATACACATATTTATAAAAGGAACAGATCCCATAAAAAACAGTATTTAAATTAACTTTGTTTCAAATATTTATTTTAGTTGCATAAACGGTTTACACATTAAAAACATTTAAAATTCAAATTCCACTACTAAATATTGTTTTTTCTTGAATTTTGTTTTTTATGCTTCACATTTATGCTGTTAACTTTCACACTGAATCTTATCAATAAAAGATGTATACATATATCATATATATATTTTTTGTTTTTAAAAATTTCATTTAAGCTTCTTTGGGTGTAGTTTATTTTTGTTTAATTAATTGCTTTTCTTGGTTTTACCCTCTTTTAGTTTTACGGGTCCACTATTGCAATTGATCAACTCTATCATCTTTAAGCTTTCTGTTCAAGAGAAAATATAAGTTGTATAAGTTGTACAGGCAATCGGAGCTTTCAGTTGAGGCAAACTTATGGCCAGATCCAAAATCGGGTTTAAGATTAGATTAGATGAGAATAGTTTAGTATACAATTTGTAACAATGGGTGGGTTTTGTGGTGAATTAGGTGATTTCAAGAACAACGTGAGGAAATCGCTGCTTTAAATGTTTCTTATCATGTAGAGATCGATTTGCGTTTGTATTCAGAGATGGTTAATTCTATTTCTTTCCATACTTCTATTAAAAAGCCGTGAAAAGCAAAAGCGGAGATATAGTAGTAAGGAGGAACAGTAAGCACATTGAAAGCGTTAAATCAGAATCAAATTAAACTACTTCCAGCACCTCTCATGAGTTCATCGAAAACTACAAAAACTTAATAGGCTATCCAATAGTTTCGCAAATACACCTAGACTCTGACATAACAGACTATTGCTGGCACAGGACTATCGATCTACGCGAATGCTGAGTAGAATGATATGAATACTACTTTCGATCCTGGCCACTTCATCCGGCGATAACAAACAATTTCTGCGCCCCTCTCGAGGGCCTACAATCAAAATATCCCTGGCTAGCAAATCGCTTTGTGTTGAGCAATGATAATACTGTCTTCTATGTTCTAGCTGCTTTGGCAAAATGTTAACTTAAACTCAAACGACCAGATGCGACACATCGCTGGTGTATCCGGGCGAATATCGAGGTGGCAGCACACTTTGCTGGGGCCGTGTCTTGCCCAGCATGGGCATGGGCATTCCCGGCTGGTTGGCGGCCATCACCTTCGGACTCTGGCCAGGTTTGCCCAGTTCGTAGGGCCGCCGGATGCGGAGCACGTCGGCAGCGTCTCCTGGCCAGGCTCGTTCCGGTCCCAGTCGCTGACCCAGGCGAGGATACCGGCGCTTGTCCACTGCCAGACTGATGGTGCCCGGGGCATGCGTCGCGTTCAGGCCCACGTTGTACTGGCGCTGCATCGCCAGGGAGGCACGGATAGTCTTTCGTTTCTGTGGGGAAAATATATAAATTGGGCATTTTTAACTTAAATGTCTCAAAAAAAAATATTCCAACTTTCTGCAACTCTATCACAATGAAGAATTTAAATAGGCGGATTTGGATTCAGAATTTCGAAATATATACATTCCCGTCGTCAAGAAACCGTATAATCGTGGCATTGAAGAAAATAAGATGGAATAGGTACATATATACGGACTAGGAGGATCCACCTGATTGTACACACAAAAAAAAAAACTATGTAAAATAAACTAAAAACTGCCCCAACCCATAAAAAATAGAAAATGTTTCAAAAAATAGTAGATTACCTATAAAATAGTAGATGACCTACAAAATAGTATTTAACCCGAAAAAATTGTTGTTTTATTTAATTATGTTTTTAACTTTTTTTTATTTTTAATTTAATTTGTTATATTAATTTATATGGAAGTTATTTATAGACACTTACATTTCACAGATACTTAAACTTACAAATCAGGTTTTTTGCCTCCGCTGGGAATCGAACCGGGGCCGCAACCATCAGAGTCGAGCACTCTAACCACTAGGCCACAGAAGAATGCTTTTTTTAGAGGAAAATCTATAGACTTGAAATCAACATTTAACAAAAAAAAAAAAAAAAATATTATCTGCAAAAGCGGGATTTGAACTCACGACCCAGAGATTATGAGTCGGATACTCTAACCACCCTAAGTCCAGAAAAATAGTTGACATACAATTTATAATCGTATTTTTAAAACAACAAAATATATGAAGGAAAAAAATAGTTGTGTTACGATATTAATTGTGGTGTTACTATTTAATACCCCAAAAAATAAAACAACAAAATACACGCAAACAAATAAAATAGTTTTGCTACGATATTAATTGAGACGTTACTATTAACTTGCCAAATGAATAAAACAACAAAATACATGCAAATTTCGTAAATAGGTTTCCTACTATTTTAATTGTTAAATACTATTCAATGACCAAAAAAATAAAACAACAAAATACATGAAAAATTCAGAAAATAGTGAAATACTATTTTTCTATGTTAATTTTACATAGTTTTTTTTTTGTGTGTAGTTGCATATGTTGCACATCTCGAATATTTCTTCTTCACTTTGAAAAATAGTCAGATTTGGGAATTTGCACTCCCTGCTCTCACCTCTATAGTGCCCCGCCACTTGTCCGCCGCATGTCGGGCAATGTCCAGGCGCTTCTGCTTCTTCACCTGGTGCTTCTTGTAGATGACCTCGATGATGATCAGACCCACGCCGCCGGCAATGCCCACACCCACCAGTATGAACACCCCCGCCATGTTCTTCAGCCCCAGAGTGTTGGGCGTCTTCTCGAAGAGCTCGCAGTTCTGCTGCACATGCCCGTGGAAGATCCACTGTTTGTCCAGTTTCTCCATGAACCCGCCTGTGAGGAGAGTGATTATTATACAGTCTTTGGGTTCCTATCAATACTTCATACTTTCGTGGAACTCCAAGATGGCCAGCGTGACTGCGTCCGTCCAGGGCGAGCCCTTCTGCAGTCCAATCCCGTAGCCACTCCGTCCGAACAGCTCTCCGGCAGTAACCAGTTCGCAATCCTTGGAGGCCTCGTACTCCAGACGAGAAGAGTCCCAGATAAAGGCCATGAGCTTGCTGCGGACATAATCGCAGATTGAGAGAATGAAATGTTTAAATGGCGCTTAAATATCTTTGAGTAGGATAGGGGTACAACAAGTAGGAAGAAACGTTCAAGTAACAAGAAATATTTGATAGCTTCGATGGACCGAAGCTTCCCTCATCCTTGCAGATTCTTCGGAAGGTTCAGGCAATACAATTAATTCATAGTATAAAACAAATAGGTGATGATTGTATTCATTAAAAGATAATTTGATAATGGAATTATATTTAATTGGTGTGTGTTTTCGTACTATCAGACTATTAGAGCTCGAATGAAGTCATAACCTACAACAAAGAACCTCTGCAAGGACTTAAGACATGAGGATGCTAAGATATGGGAAAATAAAATGGCATAGGGGCGGATAATACGGGGGCAAGACCAACACGAACACGATACGATACCGCTAACGATTACAAAACATATCTAATAGATCGAAACAGAGGAAGAGCAAGATATATAGAGAGACAGAGACAGAGACAGATTGAAGGTGGTATTAGAGAGTGGAGAGTGAATAGTAGTAGTAGTATAGTTGTAGTCTGGATCTGGATCTGGATCTGGATCTGGACAGTATCTGGTGCCATGACATGCGATGCTACGCTCAGCTACGGAAAAGATCGCGGGCCTGAAGCAATCGTTACCCCTTCTTCACGTCCTGGATGGCCTGCTCGGCGGTGGCGTAGTTGTTGGCCTCCATGGTGCGGTACATGTTGGACAGCTCCACCTGGCGGCGGAAGTACATGTCCACGGAGGAGCCCTTGACGGTGGCGCAGGTCAGGTTCTCCATGGTGTTCCTCAGCCGGGCATCGTTGATGCCGCTCAGCTTCGTCTTGGGCCGCTCGAGCACGAGGAAGGCGGCCAGGTTGGCGGTGTACGAGGCGACGATTATCATCGCGAATCCTGCCCAGACCATGCCCAGCACCCGGGCGGAGAAGCTGCGGGGCGTGCCCTCGCCGATGCCGCTGTTCAGCAGGACTCCCCAGGCGAACCACACCGCGGAGCTGAGGTTCAGCGCCTTCTCCTCGTTACTGTCCGAGTGCGAGAGCTTGAAGCGTCCGAACGGCGAGAATCTGAGTTCGGAAATCGGAAAGGGGTTAGGTGGTTAATAGGGTCCGCAACTGTCGGCCTCTCCAGGCGGGGATTGGCTGAGTTGGGTGAGGGGTGCCATTCAACCGTCCAATGCAGCAACCCTTCTTCATCGCCCTACTTTCGCTTGGGTGGGTTTTCTTAGGGAGATTCCAGGGATTCACTCACCTGTCCAGTAGGTAGAGCACGAGCGCCACAACATGGACCGACACCATTACCAAGATCCATAGCGTGTTACTAAACGGCTGCAAGAAAGACACGAGAGTACTCGATCGTGACGGTTTCTTCTCGAGTATTGTAATGCCTTGGTATTTGAATGGTTTTGAGAATTCTATGTACTCGGCACGCTCCGGATTGATGGTTAGTGGTGCCACGATCATGCTAAATGGAAGTCCCCGGTTAGAAGGTATATGTTAGAAGGTATATGTTCCATTCCCATTCCCATTCGCTTACTCGGCACGTTCGTTGACCAGCTCTCCGATGAGGCCCGTCCACTCCTTGCGCAGCGTCATGGCCCCCGAGCTGTTCCGCAGGATGTAGTGACCGAACTGGCCGTCGGGGGACAGGGCCAGGTCGTAGGTGAAGTTGATCCGCTTGGACAGCTCGATCAGCAGGTCGATGCAGTACCCGCGGCAGCAGAATTCGTTGGCTGGAGGAGGAGAAAGGCAAGGTCAGTCAAGCATTACTTTGATTTAGGATAGGTAACTTCAAAATAAGTTATGAAATGATTAGCATAAAACAAATCAAAAAACAAGAAAGGAAGCTAACTTCGGCCAGCCGAAGCTTATATACCCTTGCAGATAAAGTAATGCTCACTCGGTGCAGTTCCAGGGATTCCAGATTCAGCGTTTCTATTTTAATTTTGTTTATACATAAGCAGTAAAGAATCAAAACGCCTACTTCCTACAAAGTTACAATGAATTTTCTTATATTTGTTTAAATATTCCTATGGAAGCCTTAAGATATAGTGGTCCGATCCGGCTCGCTTCGACATATGTACTACCTGCAATAGAAAGAAGACTTTTGGGAAAGTTTCACCGCGATAGCTTTCAAACTGAGAGACTAGTTCGCATAGAAACGGACAGACGGACAGACGGACAGACAGACAGACGGACAGACGGACAGACGGACAGACGGACATGGCTAGATAGACTCGGCTATTGGTCCTGATCAAGAATATATATACTTTATGTGGTCGGAAACGTCTCCTTCACAGCGTTGCAAACATCCGACTGAAATTATAATACCCTCTACAAGGGTATAACAAGAGAGAACGCTATAGTCGGGTTGGTGTCCCGATTATCTAATACCCGTCACTCAGCTAAAGAAAGTGCGAACGCTGTACAAGGGTTGGTGTCCCGACTAATAATCGTAACTCAGCTAAAGGGAAAGCGAGGGAGATAGATATATAAGCAATTTTAATTCCGTATAACTTTTAAATGAATGGTCCGATTTGAAAAATGTCTTCTACATTTCGATAGGTATAATTATACACAACAAAATTGCATTTATACTTCTTGGAAATCTTTAAAGATGTGTGTTACTCTACGAGTAACGGGTATAATTAAAAAAGAAACCTGATATTAATTGAAAGTAAATGGATTACCAGTGGCATCCGAGTTGTTGAAAAGTGGACAGGGACGCTCGTCCGGTTCGCAGCGGAACTCGTCGTCGCCCATGCGTCGCACGTAGACAAAAGGCTTCTCCTCGATGGTCAGCAACTTCAGGTGGGTTGGGATCATGATGCCCTCCGGCTTTCGACGCTGCTTTCCTGGCCAAATGATCTCGCTATCGTTGATCCTCATCCGCATCTTCGCCCGCATCTGAAATTAGGATTTATTAGCTGTGATATTTTAACATTTCTCCATATAAACAATCTATTTTAATTAAGAACAAAACTAAATAAATATATTCATAAGAGGGGAAACCTACGCTGTCGTAACTGAACTTTCCAACCACGTGCTTTTTCTGCTGCTCCCGAATGTTTATCACATCATAGCCGGCGTAGATTCGATCTCCATTGTCATCGAAGGCCACCTGTCCCGTTTCGCCCGTGATATTTCGGTTCTTGAGGTACTGGAACAGCCTCTTGCCTGCCATAAAGTTTATTTTGGCGTGTGTCCTTAGGAAAGCCTGGCATAGAACTCACCCGATTCCCAGTTAACAGCAGAGTCGCCGCAATCCTTTGGAGCCTCGGCGATGGTCTCGTTGGAAATCATCTCCTTGATGGCCGAGGCCAAAACATAAACGCTGTCCTGTTGGGGAGGCAACAAATCACGTCATCATCATGCATATTCTAGATTCCAGGCGGAGGACTCGCACTCACCCTAATGTGCCCCTTGTCGCTGTGGGCGTGCTCCAGCTGGAGGCCCAGCACTCCGTCCGGAGTATTGTTGGAGAACAGCGCCTGCTCCGTCACAATCCACACGTGGCCCTCCCCGGTCATGTTGTACTCCCCAGCATCGCGGAAGATTACTTGGGCGTCCTCGGTGCTGCGGGCGGAATTATGTATGAATTTATATGCATAAAAAGCCAGTTTTAAGCCAGTTAAGGAATTTTAAATCACTGATGTACATGTATATATGATATAGATATTTACTAATAAACGTCATACAAATAATTTTCGCTCATCAGCGATATTAAGCGCTGCCCATTGAACGAGCCCACATAAAAAAGTATCTTAATAATAGTAATAATTTGCATACATATGTAGAACATCGTTGCCTCAATTTGATCAAAAGCAGAAACGACCAGTTGCTGAGTCAAAGCCACGCCCATGGTGGAATTCAATCTCAGTAATCTGGTGTACGACGCTTTTCCATTGAAATTAATTTACGAAGTACAACATAAAATCACTTTATTCAAAATTGACAACAATTGACAGACGCGCTTGAGAATTCCAATTTAACCGTCACCCGGAGGAAGAACAATTTATACATGCAGCTCTGTAATTGTCAACTGACAGACTATAAAGATGTCTAGAAAAAAATCCAGGTTAATTTTGCTTAAAAAAAATATTTATGAAAGTAAGAAAATATTTCATACATCATATCTCACTGCCCAAAACCAAACAAATTTATTGTATTGATGGTCGACGTCTGTCACTGCCGTTAACCCCCAAACGAATCTCCAGCCTGCTCAGGCTGACCCCATTACGAATGCATTACTTACGCGAATTCGGGGCACTCACCTGGCGTACATCAGGTACACCCTGGACTGGGCCGTCTTCATGTCGATGAGGTGCTCCGTGAAGCTCTCCAGCTTGGGCTCGAATTCGACAATCAGTTCCACGGTGGCGCGCACATCCACGTCGTCGTAGTAGGTCTGGGATGTGGTCTGGAATCGGCCCAGAATGGCCCTGCCATCCGTGTCGGAGCTATGGATGATGATTACCTGTCGCCAGCGGAGCAGATAACGGAACAACTCAATAAGTCAATAAGTCAAATTTGGGTGCGATGCCAGTGCCACATGGGTGGCCATCAAACCTACCTTCGTGTAGGCGAAGTGGCTGAGCATCTCCAGCCAGACATCCGCTTGGTGGTAGTACGGGGGCACCGTCCTCAGGAAGGAGACGTGGATGTTCTTGTCGGAGAAGGCCGCATCCCGCGAGGATATGCCAATGACAGGAATTGAATAGAATCCGCTTGTATAACTCACGGCCGCCGGCGACAAATCACCTGAGGTTTGCTCATGCGAAACGACTACGGCGTACACCTGCGGAGGGAGAGGAAAAAGGGTGCCGGGGGTAACAAACCAAATCAGTGGAAATGAGCAATGCAAGAAAGATGCCACAGGGAAGGATCCCTGGCGATGGGTGGGTGGGAATGGGTAAGGTCGGAAGTGTAAATGGCGCCGAGAGGACGTTCAATTGGCTGAGCAAAAAGAGCGACCGTCATTTATATAGTGCGATTTGTACCTCAAAGGCTGATGGAAAAGGTAATTTCAAATATTAGTGTTAAGTATGATATTTCCGAAACATAAACTCATATATGTTAAGTTTAAAAATTTTCAAATCTCACAAAAAATTATGCACGGAATTAATTTGGTTTCAGCAAGACAATATATTACAGAAACTTACACTAGCGAAACGCACCGTTCAGGAACTGACATCCAAGGGAGTCAATGACAGTTGATTTGTTTCCTTTGGGTAATGAAAGGTTCGGAATGGACGCGCATTTTGGGACCTGACATGATAAATTCGCCCAAACATTAATGATGACAAATGCCGCCCAAAACAGTCATAGAATTGATTTGGACCTGGTCTAGTGGGTGTGAACTTCTGTTCCGGACTGCCACCCACAGCTCGTAAGAAATATGAAATACCGCACGGAATGGGATTGATGGAATCCAACGATAATTTAAGTGGTTTGTATACCAATTCAGCGGATGTGGGTTGGAAAAAGTGTTTCGGCTTTAAGTTAAATGTTAACGATGTCCCAAATCGACGGGTGCATTGCACTTTGGAGCGCTGAAAGGCTCTTCGTCATTAGGATTTTTTGTACATTTTTTGTTTGTGCATGACAGCGTTAATTTATAGCATGAGAATCCAGTTTGATTCTCAAAAGACCTGGATGATGATCCCATTGGTTGTAAGTACAGTGCGTTACATAAACGTTATTTCATGACCGCTAAACCTTTTATTTTTTTAAAACACGTTCAATAAGCTGCAAACCAATTTCTTTTTTAAATTTTTAAACAGCCTTTAAACTTGATGTTAGAAAAAAAAAAATTCTAAAAAGTAAGATTGAGATTTTCTACAAAAGATTAAAAAATGTCAAATGCCTTGACCGTGACTTAACACAATAGGTAAGAAAAAATTCCATCAACACTGTACTGCAAATACAAACTTGTACATACATATGTATGTTTAAGGAGAAAAAAAAGCCTAGAGTTAACCAACTGGAAGGCTGTGGATATTGGAAACTGCTGGCGCATTACCGTTACCAATCAAGTCATTTCCGAATAATTTCCCTTTGAATTATCGAAATGTAGCGAACCAGGTCGGGATAAATGGAAATGAAGAGGCAATTGCATTTGGCCAACGACTTACCCGGTTTTCGATGAGCTTGTCGCATACATTAAAAACCGTCTTGATGGGGTTCTTGTCCATCCTTATTGTCTTATCATAGTAGGTGACCTTGCGGGGTACATATTGCTGATCGAAATTGAGGTGCTGAAAAAGAAAAGAAAAAGGGTAATGATTGACTTGGATAAAAGGCAAATCTAGTTAGCTAACGCGCTTGCCTTTATTGTTGTGCTGAAGTGCTCCTCGCTGTCGGAATTGCTCAGTACGCCGCCAATATTGTATGTTGAGGGATTATCCGAGGCAGTATGCCTCTGGGCGGCGTCAATCGGCGTCGCCAGTACCGTCAGCAGAATAATGGCAAGCCCGAACAAAGGCCAACAATAAACAAAACCAGCCACAGCCATATTGCGGAGCTCTATAGTTTTTGGGGGAGGATAAACGATGTGCTTTGTGCGATGATTTCAATGGTTTCCCGGGCAAACATTCAACATTTTCTGCAAATCCAAAGAACAGGACATTAACATTTTCAACATTTAAGGCAGTTAAACTATTGTTTAATAAATTAATACATTATTATTCTTTTAGTTTGGAAGAAACAAAAATTAGGTATTTTGTTTATAGATACTCTCATTTTACTTCTTTAAATACAAATGTTAAATACAAAATTAAGTTAAAAATAGTGGTTATCTTAAATCTGTAAATAATTTTTTGTACTGTTTATTGTTTAAAAAGTTCAAAATCTGCCTTCTGGTTAGAGTTTTTTATTTTTTCTTTAATTAAAAAATTTAAAATTTAATTTAAATTCCCAGGGGATGCGGTTTTAAATTTTCCAACGCAATGTAAGCACCAAATAAAAATCCGATCATTTTTGACACAAAAGACACTACCTAGTTATATTGAGATACTTTTGGTACCAATTTAATAAAACGTTATTACTTAGGATAAATCTTTAATCAAAAGTAAAAGTGCTCCGTCTGAATTTTGAATGCGCGCTCAATTATCATAACTACAATGATGCCAGATCGAGCGAAATAAAGCATTTTATAACAGCTAGATCTTCAGGGTGACCATTCCGTTTACATTAAAAAGTATTTTTAAGAATGCTTCATACCTGAGATATGTTTTTACTTAAAATCTTTTCGGATATTAAATGAAATTAATATTTAACTAATTGTAATTATTAGAAACTCAAAGGCTGATCTGTTCGGGGTCTTGCTAACGGTGGTTTTAGTATTTTTGCTGCGGTCACACTAATCGATCATATGGCGCAGCTGCTTTCTAACACTTGTTGCCCGGCCGCGCTTTCAGTCAGACGTGTTTTCGCTGGTTTTTCCGCGTCGGTCCGCCTTATCTGCGCTGCGCTGGCACTTCGGTGGATAGAGGGAGACGGAGGAGCGGTACACGACTTCGTGCATGACGCGGCGCCCTGGAAAATTGCATTTTCATACGGTTCGAGTGGATAATTTATCGCCGAAATGATGGCCAATTTATTGGCCTGAATGCGGTGGGCGTGGGGAAAAAGTGAAAAAAGTGTCTGGAAAAGTGCGAAGAAATCGACAATCGTGTTGTGCGTTTTGTTTGCCTTTCGCTGTCGCTGCGCTGCGACTGCGCTGCCAGGGGGCGGTTAACGGGATCGCGGGGGCGGGAAAGCCAATTGTTGACGTTGTTTCGCGTCTTCCCTCTCTTTCTCTTAACCGGAATTGTTTGTCGCGTGTTTTTTACTCTGTCTTATTGACAAGCCAGGCTCTGCCTCAGCCTCTGCCGGCGTCGCTGCCCCGGCATTGTTATTGTTATTGTTATCGTGTGCGGTTTCTGCCTCCCTCTTCTGCTTCTGCTTCTTTCTCGCCGTATCCCCCACTTATTGTTATTCTCTTTTCTGCGGCTAAGTGCGCGCACTCAAGGTGAAAATATATTAAGTTCTTTCGAGTGCCCCCGAGTGTTTGCATTTGAATAAAATAAATATAAAGTCAAATTCGATTTACGATCGTCGTCTATCGGCGGATGATTCAATACCCCGGCCAGTCCAGCGGCAGTTTTTCGGATACGTAACCGAATTCCCAGCTACTCTCTGCGGTAAGTACCCAGCGGATCAACCTGTTGCCATTCGCGCACTTTACTGGTTTTTCTGGTTTCCCAAAGGGCTTGCCGCCGATTTAAGTAGGTCATAAGGCAATAAGCCTATCGCCTGGGCCTCGGCTAATTACCCAGATAGCTATTATCTAGCAGTCACGCCCTCGCTCGGTGTCGGTTCGTTTTGCTTTTGCTGAATAATTGAAAGTAAATCAAAGCGAAAACGCCAGAAAACCTCTCTGATTCAATTACAATGCATTGGCAGCGGCAAAACGAACCACTCTGCAATCATTTGTATCTTACACAAAAAGAAAAGACATGGATTGCAATTGGGATATTTGACATTACAACTAAATTTCATCGAATTGAACATCTGCTTGGCGTGGCATAGTCTCTATGTGCGCACACAGAAATTTGCAAGTGAATTTTTGGGACAACTTTTGAGTAGATACTTTGCTTTATACTTGAAAACACTGACAAGCCAAACTAAATAAATTCTATTAAAATCATTATTCACAATATTTACCCACGAACTGTTGTAGCTTAGAAGCTAAGAAAGTGTATAGGTTAAGTTATTTTGATTCTACATCCATATATTGTCATGGATGTAGTTATCAACGTCATTAGTAATTCTCTAAAGCTTTGCTTGTGGAAAAAATAAATTTGTTTTTATATATATTCCGTTTTGGTTGCATATTTTTTCAATTTGGATCATTATGTAATTTGCACAGTTATTTTCTTAGTCTCTATGCCCTTTATTTTGTTTATGTTATTATTTGGTTTCATAAGCAACAAAAATAAATAAATTAAAGTCGTATTCCCTAAACACAAAATAGTTTTCGAGTTCGAAATGCAGTCAAATTAGTTGAAAATACCACCTTAGACGACTTTCTCTCAGTGCACAAATCTTGATTGCAGACAGAGAGAAAGAGATGCTGACAGGGCCGACGCGTGCTTAATTAAGCGCCACATTGTTGACTGGCCAGGTGCTGTGGGACAGAGCGAGACACAAGACTTGGGATCCCGAGTGAGGAGAAGGAGAGGCAGCTTTCTCGCCTGCAGTCACTTTTTTCAGAGAGTTGTGCTCAGTTTGGGGGAAAATAGGTCTACAAAAAATGGACGTGTTGAGTCTGCTGCACGCGATGATTTCCATTTAATTGCTTGGAATAAAGATGACCTTTCATCGCGAAATTGCACTTTTTGCAACGAAATTTTTTACCTAAATACCTCTTAATATCCAGCTAATAATGATCAAGTTAATAGGCGCGTAATCTCAAAAATTACCAATCACAATTAAAAAGTTTAATGGATTGCTAAATAGTTGAATTGGATAGGTAACAAGTACAGTGACTATATTATTTTTAGAAGATGACTAGTTTAAAAAATATTTTATTACGTTATTAGTTTGATTAAAAATTTGGAAAACATTCAAAATATTGTTTAACGCGAATATATTTATGCGTAAACGGATAGCAGTAAGTAGTAAAATATTTAACATTTACTTATAATTGGTTTCGCATTTTGTTGCTATTGACATTTTTTTAAAGCATTCTGTTCATTTGAATCAATTTAAATAATGTTTAATGATGTGAAATGTCTTGTAAAGGCTCTTTTTTATTTTTATCGTAACCCAAATTCGTTTTCTCAATGTGACGAACGACAAAAATTAACAGAATCTTACTCCTCTTGTGTTTTATCTGGAAACATTCAATTTTTATACCCGTTACTCGTAGAGTAAAAGGGTATACTAGATTCGTGCAAAAGTATGTAACAGCTAGAAGGAAGCGTTTCCGACCCCATAAAGTATATATATTCTTGATCAGGGTCACTAGCCGAGTCGATCTAGCCATGTCCGTCTGTCCGTCTGTCTGTCTGTCCGTCTGTATGAACGCTGAGATCTCAGAAACTACAAAAGCTAGAAGGTTGAGATTTCCCACACATATTCTTTGGCTTCCTACGCAGCGCAAGTTTATTTTAGCCGAGCGCCACGCCCCCTCTAACGCCCACAATCGCCCACTAACGATTTTAAAATGGGTCCTGCGCCCACATCTTTAAAGATTTTCGAGAAGTATAAATGCAATTTTGTTGTGTATATTTATACCTATCGAAATGTATAAGACATTTTTCAAATCGGACCATTCATTAAAAATTTATACGCAATGAAAAATTATATATCTATCTCCCTCGCACTCCCTTTAGCTGAGTTACGATTATTAGTCGGGACACCAACCCGACACAGCGTTCGCACTCCCATTAGCTGAGTGACGGGTATTAGATAGTCGGGACAACAACCCGACTATAGCGTTCTCTCTTGTTTTACTTAACAACTACTAACAACTAATGCGACACATTTCTCCTCGATTGTTCATTAATAGCTAAATCGAGTTCATTAACAGTGCACTATACATACAGATAAAAACATTCAGCTGTGGCTATAAATATCCCAAAGATGCACATTAAAATGATAACACAATTTCACTTTCTGATAAGAAGGTAGGGGAGTGTAGGGTAATTTGACGAGTAGGGTAATGTGACGAACTCGTCGAATCTCATATATGACGTCACGACAAAAATTCCAAATAAATGTAGTTGTCTCCCCTTATCGTGTCGACAATGTATTTACAGTAATATTAATAAGAAGTCCCGTAATTTGTTCGTGAGGTAATTTTCGCTAAAAATGTGGTGCGCAAACTAGCAAACCCATTCAATTTACTTGTGTTTCAGCAGTGCCAGAGCAAAGATGAGTGAAAAATAAAATCAGGCAAATATATGCACGTATACATGAGATCTTTATCAACAGTTTTTGGTACCTCGCGTTTTTTTCTTTTGCGCCGTTTGAGAGTGACACCGTTTTTGCTCCAAGTCTACCTTGTAGGGTATCGTGACGAACTTTTTGTAGGGTATTGTGACGAACTTTTTTTATTCAAGAATTTTAACTGTTATCGTTGATTATTTGTAAAAAAAATATAATAATACCAGATAACATTTACTGCTGCAGTTTTATTGTTGTTTTTAATAGTGACGTCAGTTTAATTTAATTTAAAAAAAAATTTGCACTTTGACCATTTTTTTTTGTAAGTTTGGGTATTACTTTTTTCTTTTCCGTATCGAAAATAACCTTCCCGTAAATAATATAAAAAAAAGTGTATTTTTTTGTTTGTAAAAAGGATGGTTTACACCAAACACTGTGGGATTTGGCTACGTTGAAATTTCGAATCCAAATTTTTTTAGAAATATGCTCAGTAAACGTAAGCAACTTTCTGCTTTTACACTTTTAAAAAATATTGATTTTTGGAGAAGTTACATTAAAGAACAAATCGTTCGTCACATTACCCTACAACTTTTAAAGTGCAAAAAAAGTAGGGTTAACGCCAAACGCTGTGGGACTTAGCTGCATTGGAATTTCGAATTTCGAATTTTACAGGGATATGCTCAGTAAATGTAAGCAACTTTCTGCGTTTACACTTTTGAAAAATATTGATTTTAACAAAAGTTACATTCAAAAAACGAATCGTTCGTCACCTTACCCTACACTCCCCTACTTATTTTCAATTTAGAGAGGGCCACAAGTTTGCATATTAGTTTATTTTGAAAATCAAAAAAGTTATCAAATGTTTTTTAGTTATTATATTTATCCAAACGGATTGTTTATCCATGAAAACAGCAATTTCAACAAAACGACCACAAAACCAATTACAATGATAATAAATTAGACATGTCTGGAATTATCAGCAATACATTTTTGACCGCAATCGTATGTTCATACATTTTTACATGCTGCCCATGAGCATGTGCATAATTTGCAGCTGAATTGAGCAGCTGGAGTGGAGTTTGAAAGGGGAAACGATAGGGGGATGGCGCCTGGGGGCGCCAGCAATTTACATAAATAGGCAAATTGTGTAAGCGACGTTCTCATGTTGTAAATAAAATATAAACCCCACCACACTCGTGCGATGTGCAAGTACCAAACCCAAGCCCACTTGACTGCAATTAATAAGAGTGTGTGTGCCGGAGGTCGGGTGTTATCAATGAAGCGGACTGAATGAGGAAAGAGTGCTCTCATCGGCTGTCAGTGTCTGCGTGAGAATTTGAGTGCTGGCGTGTTTTTTTGCTCAGGTGGACCGAGATCTCTTTAGCTTTTCAATAGCCGTGAGGGACCAGACAGGGCCCAGACCTTACTAAGTAGTCAAATTACTGAAAAGGCCGTAAAGCACGTGTGGCTCCCTAATGGCTCATGCGAAATGTTTTTAAAATGATTTTCACTCTATTTCTCATTCGCCATCTGCACTCATTTTCTATTAATCCCTATAAATAGTTGATTAGACTTCAACAGCTTCTAAGCCCCCAGCATCCTTCGAGTTCAGCTGACTGAGCAGCGCACAGAATTTCCCCAAGGAAAGCCGTTACTCTCTCTGTTTAGTGAGGCTACCACAATTCCCAGTTGAAATGCATAATTTTGTGTATATAGAAAAGCACGTTCATCGAATCGAATAAACAATTGATATACAATGACAACTACATACAACTGAATCGGACATGGCTCATACTTTCGACGAGGTTTCTTATGAATTTCACACTTTGACTGCTTGCTATTCGAATTTTTGCATGTACATTTATGAGCCAGTTAATGAACTTTAAGTGAAATAGAAAAAAGTATCTTTGTTTATACGCTTATAGTGACAAATTGGAAAACTATTTTACTTTAGTTTAGTATTAAAAAATTTATTTTAATGCACATGATTACATTTTAAATCATGTTTTATAAATAAGATTGACCACTTTGAACTGTTCTAAGCTATCCATCGATTAGTAATTAGTAAGCAACCAAAGAAAGCGTATCTCAACTTCAGGGAAGCTCTTAAAGAATTTCCCTCGACAGTTTTTGTTCAACTATTTAACATAGCGAACGTGCCATGGCTAGCATTTTATTCAATTTCGTTGTTGGTGCAGCGTGTGCGGGGATTGCAGATTGAGGGCTCCATTGAATGTGGCAGTGTATGCTGATAGTGGGCGAAAAAGGGGTGGAAGACTGGGCGGAAGAGGGCGGGATAGTTTCGACGGTCGGGGGCCTCAGTGAAATTCAAACTGACAGGCTGACAACAATGAGAACATCGCGTTCGACGGCGGCTCGCATTTGATGATGCTTTATTGAAATATTTGCAGGGGTTTTCGAACTTGAGCTGGGTTCCACCGACATACAGGTACTAGCAGCCATAGTTTTCAATGAATATGCAACCGCAGGAGGGGTTCAGATTGTTTGACTCTGCCGTAAAGCGGTTAGAGCTCAATTGGGACAATATCGATCAGGTCGTTGGGCGGATGCCTGACTAACTTCTCCCCCTGGCCAATTTGAGATAATTTAATTTGCCCTCTGTAAAGGGGAATTGTTTTATGTGCGATCCAGCAGCCAGGACAACTCCCCAAGGAACCGACCGCAGACAAAAGCTTCAATAAAAAGCCCCGAAACTTTGAACCGAACTTTGTCGCCTCAGTCGTTCACATCCACGCCCTGTTGCGTTAACCTTTTACCCCCCGCCACTTTCCACTGCCCCTTTTTCCCTTTTCATTCAATGTAGTCCAGCCTTAAGTGTGCGGCTTAGCCGGGAAACCCATCTAAGCCAATAACCAAGTCAAGGATGTCCGTCCTCCGCCCGGCAGCTGCCGAATTTGCTAAAGTGCTGCGACTTCCCTGGCCCATTGTTGGCAACTCACATTTTATATTTCTGTGTACTTTGCAGCATCTCTTCGTAGGCAATTTTCGTGAGCATTTTTCACATTTTTCACACACGAATTGCCAAACAGATGTACCTATTCCGATTCGCTTCACTGGGTCCCAATCCGTCGGATTGATGACAGTCGGACTTGCTCCGGAGATTGGGAAAAGTGGGGGCAGGGCGGGATTGAGCCATTCTGTGCATGATTTCAAGCATTGCACACTGACGTGCCTCACTGAGTCGAATTTCCCCATTCGGTCCATTGTTGCTAAAGTGCCTAATGCCCAACAATTCGATGGGCTTGAGCAACTATTTGGGTTGGACGAACAAAGGGAAAGGGTTTACTCAAAAGATTCCCGTTTTCTCATTGGATTTTGGGAGAACTCTTTGGGGACGTGTGCAGGAACTTGCGTTCGAGGATGAGAGATCGCCAATTAATGCGTACACTTTTATAGCGTCTTAGTACAAATAAAAAGTTACGAAAATATATTTACAACCAGTTTATTATTAAATATTAATATTTTGTTTACTTTGGAAGAAGGGGAACCATTATGGGCCCTTATAGCACATGTGGATTGGTTGTCTTGAACGATAGTTTTTCATTACATAAATTCTTCAAAAATTGAACCACGAATTCTTCAGAAAAAGAGGAAATTGCATTGAAACATATGTAAATTTATATCGAAATGAAAAATTTCAAATTTTGTGGCGGTTTTACGATGCTACTCCTACAATTATACGATGCCGAGTATTCGCTTCCTTTTACCTGTTACATATATTTGCACGAATACAATGTGCCATTTTACTTTATGAGTAACGGGTATTAATATTTTGTTTTTGTCAACGCCCCTGGACTTTTTAGACTGTAACTTTTACCTATAAAGGAGGTATTAAAAAGTATAAGAATCTTGAAATCTTTTTATAAATACACTACAATTTTCATCGCTTTTAGAATAATTTTGAGAAAAGGGTTTCTTCTAGTTCATTGGTTGTCATAGTCATGATCCGGATCCATGGCTGCCGCAGTGGTCCCGTTAAACTCTATAAGGCGTAGTTCCATTTCATCGACAGCTGGGCCCAAGACATATACATTCACGATGAAAATAAGGAATCCCACGATTAGGAGCAGGACACAAACGACGACCGAGTACAAGATACACTGGGCTGTCTGGGCGGAGTCCATAGAGGTTTGGATTAGCGCGACCACGCCTCTATCACAAAACGGCACACTGCAAACTATCTGGAGTGATTTTGGGAATTTTCACGCACTTGGCTTGAACTCATTGCTTTACATCACCACCGAGGATATCCCTTCCGCATATCCATTTCTTTAGCGCTCGACTTTGACTTTATTACGGGGCATTTAATCAAGTTATTGGCTATTCGGCGGGGGATGGTGGGTGGATATCGCGAGTTAAGTTATGCAAACACTTTGTGGGCCACTCCTTCGGGATGCTTTGCTTTCTCTATTCTTTTTGCGCGCACACACACTCTCACAGCCGCACGCACACAGAGGGAACTTTTATCACACGCACACAGGACGAACTTTTATCCCCTTTGTTCTTCTGTTTTCACTGGAAATTTTAGGTGTTTTGAACTGGTTAGAATGTGTAATTTCTGCTATTCCTGTTAATTTGGATTCTTTGCCAATAGATGCCTGACATTTTTCGCCCAGACTGAGCTTTCCGTATCGGATTTCACTGCAGCCCAGCATCACATCACCCATACGCACCGTGGCCAGGCAGCAGGAGCAAGTGTTGCCTACTTTTCGACGCCCGCTCAACACGACGCCTGGCTTTTCCACTTTTCCTTTCTTTTCCGGGGCTGCGAAGGACAACGTGGCGCTTTGCGCGATGCTCGACAACTGAAAAGTCATCTCGGTTCCTCCGAAATCCCTTAACTTTGGGGCTTTAAGCTTCGCCGCGAAGCTTTATAAGCTGGCCCCAAGCTGAGCCACGCCTGCGCCCCGGCATGTAAACAAATTCGGTTCGCAGGGTCGTGTTTTCCCGCTCTCAGTCGCTCGTGTTTCTCTTTTTGTATGCCCCTCAGCTGTTTGGCGCCGCACGCGATTCCGGTCAGCTGACTGGCGCCTCTGCCGCTGCGCTGCTGCGACGCCGTCGACGTCGACGTCTGCATCTGTTTGCATGCCAACCACTTGTGGCTCTTTGTTGTTTGTTTGGCTTTTCCCACGCATGTGATCCGACCGACTTGGCCCAAAGCTTTCTCGTTGGCTTGACCGACGAACGATAAGTTACACACCGGTTGGTCTGTTTAAGTGATTGCTTTTTAAGCGCTCTGTAATCGGTTGACTAGTTTAAACCGCCGAACTTGACAGGCCGATAGCGCAAAGTCCTCGCTGAGTCATGAGACGTTCGTAATGCAAGAAATGTGACTGTGCCAGTGGTGAGCTAGGTCAGTCCACGAGTTGGCGAAGAAAAGATGTTACAGAAATTACGACGGCATTAGGAAAACTAGTAACATCAAAGTGATATTCTTTTGACTCCAAGACTAGATGTCTACGGTATCAACAATTGGTAATCAAATTATGGAGTTATTCATAATAGCTGTTAAGTAAGAAATGTATGTACTGTATAAACTCAATAAATTTGACTTTAAAATTACTTTTCAAATTTACAAACTACGAAAACGATAAACATCTTTCAGTGCAATTTAATTTGTTAAGATAAACCTATTTCAAAGAAGCTGAGGTAAACATATAAATAAGTTACATTAGCTTTAGAAGAGCAGAAACAAGATTTCGAAATTCTAAAGAACATTTGATTATACATTGTATGTATCAGGGATGCCACAGAAACAGCTCTCCGCTTAATTCGCAATGAATTCATATGAATAAAAATACAAATCGTATGAGTTCAGACCGATTTGAACGCAGAGCTGTTGCTGTGTTGCCATTGATTTATAACCCAACTGAGTGGAATAATTTTTAGTCTTCTGTGCTCTTTATCACATTTGTATCTATTTTCTTAGGCATTAGCATTTTAAAATTCTGAAATGTAAAGGAAGTTAAAGAGTGAATATTAACTTTATTGGGTAGGCAAAATTACATGCATCATTTCGCTTTATTTTAAGGCAATCTTCTTTGTAACAGACGATAACCGTGCTCTTACCAGAAGCTTTGTTTACTGTTTTCCTTTAGTCCTAACAACGCATTAGTCTCAGCAGAACGGCTCTTCATGCTGCCAAGCCAAACTAATCTAGCTAAGACGAATTTTAAAGAATGTTCCCATTCACAGCCCAACAAACGCTTATCGAGGGGACACACCTTCGTAGAAGCTGCATGCAAAAGTCGCATCGGCGACCTTGACCCGGTGTGCGAAATCGCATTAAGCCGACGACCCGTCGAGGGGCGGGGGGCGGAAAGAGAAATCAAATCTGCACATGCTCAGGCTGAAAGCCAAAGGCAGAACCACTCGGGCGGAGGCACAAAGCAAGGTCTGACTAATGTCCCATTCGCAACGCCAGTGGCACTACTAACCCAGCTAATTCGCAGCGCTGATGCGTAAAGCATGTCGAGTGGGTGGGAAGGGTCGGGCTTGGCAGAAACTGCATATGAATGAAAAGAAAAGTGGTGCTGCCTTGAGCGAAAGTGGTCCGGATTCCACTCAAAGGCGGAGCGGAAAAGCGGAAAAGCTTCTGTAAGCTCGTGCCCCAGCTTTTCGGGCCGATTGCGGCGAACTTTGGCCAACATTTTCGCTCCAGCGCTCGGTGTTTGTGGACCGTTCTATTTCGTCGGGCTGCTGCAAATGAAACTTCAAAGAGCTGGCCACAAAATCCCCACATTAATCATCCCAGTTTGCTATTTATTAAAGTTTCGCGGCCGCGTGCAATGATATTTTGTGTTTACACAGCGCCCAAACAACAGAAAAGCGAGTGTAAGTGCTGGCTGGCCACTTGGTCGACGGGATGAAAATGTACACCTGGAAAAACAGATCCCAGGGAAGTCTTCGTGGGGCTCTGGCAGTGCCAGCTTCCGCCACAATGAAACGAAACGAAAGTGAAAAATAGGCAAAATATCTGAGCTCCCACTCGTAGATACTGAGGGCCCTGTGTGTGTATCCACATTTCGCGTGTGATTTTGTTTAAGGCAGCTAACTGCTGGATTATTGTTATTCGACTGCCTAATTTGATTAAACCGCTTGTTAGCCAAATTTATATTCGAATAAATTCCGCTTTAATTGCCCATCAGCGGTGGGTCGATGGCGAGCCATAGATTAGGCAACATCGCCACGGTTTATTGTGATAAAAAAATAATTGCTATGTTGGCAAACAGATTTAATCGTCATCCGGAAAACGTGAAAATTCTCCGCACACCAAGAACCAATTGGTTGGAGGGAGTGGGATGGCACGGGTTGATGGCACAGCTGCCCCACTGTGCTCTCCGAATTCCATGGTCCTAGTCGGGGGAAGAGGTCCCCGTTTCCGGCCTTCACTCATCTGCTTCCTTCCATCACTGCTAACAAGATGAACATATTTGAGCAGATGGGTGTTGCCATGCCGCTCTGCTGAGCCGGATTTCGCTGAATTCCCGACCCGCAAAGTGGCTTGGCCTCGAGGGGAGTTATGAATTTCTCATTTCCTCCTCTGAACTGAACTGATTTTGGCGGAATTCTTGAGCTTATAAGCCCTGTCTCAGCTGAAGTTTGGGGGCGCAAGGAAACATTTTCGGTAATTGTTATGTCAATCAATCTGATTAACTGGAGCTGTACATCCATCGAATGGGGTCTACCCCTAAGCTCTGTTTCACTCAACTCATTAGTATGCCCATGACGTATCGCCCTAAGCTTAACTAATCACCAGAAAAAAAACATTTGAATAACAATAAATAACGAAAAAATAAATCACGTTGCATGCCAAAAACAAGTCTGGATGAGCCAAACATTTAATAAATAAATAAACAGCACTTGTGAAGCGGCATTTAAAACAAAACTAATTGAATAATTTTAAACGATTTATGCCTAATATCTATCAGCTTGTAAATTAAAATTGCGAAAATCAAATATTTCCTATAAGTTCAATCAGATTTCATTGTTAAATATGCCAAGTTCTTGGGCTGTATCCCAACCAATCTTATTTAAGCCAAGAAAGTTTGAAATCAAAAGTCAACTTGGAACTTCTTTAAGAAAACTTTCAAGAATCCTTCAAACAAAAGCCCCCTTTTAAACTTTTTCTTTTCGCCTCCATGAAACTTGTCAAACAATGGAAGCATTTGCCTCATTCCTTTGTGATCTAATGTGCAAATGTTGGAATGGGTTCTTTTCATTTCCAATGCAGCCATTATGAACAGATATTAGAGAAAGATATCATAAAAAGCATAAAAGCGTCGACTACAAAAATCGTTAAAAGTGACAACTTGAGTTGGTACATTTAGAATGCGGACACCAGGGAGAAATGTTTATTGGAAGTATTAAACAGACGACTTGCTATCTCGCCAAGGGGTGGAAATATTAAGTATACGCCAAGGCACGATACAGAGTAATGTGGGGTAGTCGACCGACTTTTCATGAATATTTTATAACCAGCTAACCGCTGCCTTGATAGTTCTGACGATACATTTTTGTATCTTACTGAAAGCATGGTTCATTGTGAGCAATTAGGGAATTAAACGAATATGTGTACACTGCACATTGTACACCAAAAAATAATATTAAAAAAAAAACCTCCAAATTTGTACTTACTGAAAATGGCTGTCCCAATAATCTGCAGTTTAGGAGAATACTAAGGAAATATTAAAAAAATGTCTTAGCAATCTGCAAGAACAACAATCTGCCATTAAATTAAAACCAATATTAATTATGGGCATTTTCACAAAAATTTCAACCAATTCAAACAATTTTAAACTTGATTAAAACATATTTCTACATGATTTTTTCCCGATATTAGTTTCTAGTTAGTTTGATTCTCAGCTAAAGTAAGATGTTAATAACAAATCCTGCCGATATAAGTTTTTGGTTATTTAATTGTTATTTTTTTGGAACTGTCTTTTGGTGTTAATCATCCAAACCTCTTACAAAACTATATAAATTCTGCGACACCGACGCGTCGGTTAGATTTGTTAGAATGGAGCTGGATTATCTTTATTGCAAAGAGGGTTTTAACTGAAACTGCAGACTTTCAAAACTATTTTGTTACACACTAGCTTACAAAATAATATTCTTGAAGCGCTTTACAGCAATTGATGGCAAATTCTGTTATACAGCCGACTTACAGTCGACAAAAAAAAACATATTTTTCATCTTTGATCATATTGATCTTTATGGCAAAGTTAAGCTCTGATCTATTGACTTTAAACGAAGCGAAAACAGGACCAATTGGGTGGATACGTGCCGAGATATAGGAAAAAATTCGAAAAAAAGTCCGCAATTAAACATTTTGAACTTTAAAAAATCTTTAAAAAAAAACTTTGCTATCGAAAAAAAAGTTAGTGATATTTTCGTGATCTAGGGCTTCAACTATACCAGAATGCTGTAGAACATTTTGGCTGTAAACTAGTGTATATCAATTGTATATCAAAATAGTCCACTTGCTTATAAAATGTGAAGCAGTTATCTCTTAAAATCAAAAACAGTTGGAATCTTTATTGTTCAATTTCAACTGAACTTGTTTGCTAGAGATGTTTGTGCCACTCCAGATTACTCGAAAGATAGCACGGCAAAACAATTTCGTGGGTGTCACAGAAATTATTTCCAACCGAAATCCGTTACAGTTCTTATATACATCAATGCACAAACCCAACCGTCTGTGGTTGGAAGAGATTTATGTGACAACCCCGTGTGTAAGAATCATCTTTAAGAGCATTCTCAATGTGCCCCTCGAGATAAAAGCCAACTCACGTTTTTCCTCTTTGCTAAAACCCGCAGGACATAACGACAAATCATTGCAATTAACTCGCGTAACCGACTGCGCCCCCCGAACAATAGCTCCCAGCTCAGAAACAGCAACAGGAGCAGCCACGAGGGAAGCATCGGGCGGAGGCCCATTGTTGCGCCACCCGGCGGCAGCCACTCTACACACTCGGCACCCCCGACTCAGATCCAATCCTCACCTCGAGCCCTAACCCCCACAAGGCCACAGACATGGGCGACAACATAATTGGCTCGGCAAGCTTCCTGCACTTGGGGGACATTGTGTCCCTGTATGCGGAGGGCAGCGTTTGTGGTTTCTTGAGCACACTCGGGTAAGTACCATTGTCCAACTGAACGAGGTTTTAACGAGCGTAGCACCCGGAGCCGGAGGATCCTCCGGTGCCACCTGTTGTTGAGTGTTCCACCAAATAACCTGTTTATTTCCGCAGCCTGGTGGATGATCGCACAGTAGTGTGCCCCGAGGCTGGAGACCTGAGCTGTCCGCCCAAAAAGTTCAGGGGTAAGTCCAGAGTAATGATAATATTTATATTTGCTAATTTACCAATATATTGTCAGACTGCCTCATCAAAATATGTCCCATGAACCGATATTCCGCACAGAAGCAATTTTGGAAAGCAGCCAAACAATCGGCCAGCTCCAATACAGATCCCAATCTGCTAAAACGTTTGCATGTAAGTCCAAGAATAGTTTTCTTCCTTTATTAGAAAAATTAGAAAAATGTTTATCGGTATTCAAAAAGTAATCTGCATTTTTTAGTTTTAATATACTATTTATATATTTTATTCAGCACGCTGCGGAGATCGAGAAGAAACAGAATGAGACGGAGAACAAAAAACTGCTGGGAACGTCAATCCAATATGGACGGGCTGTGGTGCAGCTTCTGCATCTGAAGTCCAACAAGTATCTGACGGTCAACAAGCGGCTGCCGTCGCTGCTGGAGAAGAATGCCATGCGCGTTTACCTGGATGCCAATGGAAACGAAGGCTCCTGGTTCTACATAAAGCCGTTCTACAAGCTCCGCTCGATTGGAGACTATGTGGTGGTAGGCGACAAGGTGATCCTCAGTCCGGTGAACGCCGATCAGCAGAACCTCCATGTTGCGGCCAACTACGAGCTGCCCGACAATCCCGGCTGCAAGGAGGTCAACGTCCTCAACTCATCCACCTCGTGGAAGATCTCTCTGTTCATGGAGCACAAGGAGAACCAGGAGCACATCCTCAAGGGTGGCGACGTGGTGCGCCTCTTCCACGCCGAGCAGGAGAAGTTCCTCACCATGGACGAGTACAAGAAGCAGTACCACGTCTTCCTCCGCACCACAGGACGCACCAGTGCCACGGCTGCCACCAGCAGCAAGGCTCTCTGGGAGATCGAGGTGGTCCAGCACGACTCTTGCCGTGGCGGTGCCGGCGACTGGAACTCCCTATACCGGTTCAAGCACCTGGCCACGGGCCACTACCTGGCAGCCGAGGCGGAGGTCGATCTGTCGACCGGAGCTATTTCTGCCGCTTCGGGACACGAACTGCATTTGGGCGACTGTAGTAAGGACTCGGGCCTCAGCTGCTCCACCATGAACTCCACCATAAATGGTAAGTGGTCTCCAAACCAAAACAAAAATATGTTTATACCCGTTACTCGTAGAGTAAAAGAGTATAGATTATAATAGAGTATAGCGCAGAATATAGAGTACGCAGCGCAAGTTTGTTTCACCGAGGTGCCTAGCCCCCTCTAACGCCCACAATCGCCATAAACGATTTTAAAATGTGTCTAGCGGTCACATCTTTTAAGATTTAAAAAATTTATAAGTGCAATTTAAAAATTTAAAAAATAACTATCGAAATGTAGAAGAAAATTTTCAAATCGAACCATTCATTAAATGCGCAATCCAAGTTTTATATCTCCATCTCCCTCGCACTGCTATCTGAGTGACGGGTATCAGATAGTCGGGACACCCACCCGACTATAGCGTTCTCTCTTTTTAAGAAATATAAATAGGAAATACTCCGTTCACGTTAAAATCTTCACGATAAATATGTTGAAAACGAAATATTGCCAGACTTGTACGGGTAATTATTGCTAGTCACGAGCTGCAATTTCAGACCTTTGCCAAAAAAATACCTGGAAAATGTTTTACTCCTTGAATGCGTAAAATTTGCCATACATTTGTTCCTACATATGTATCTACTTAAGACAATATTTATTTTAAGCATTTTAATTTAAATACCTTTTTGCTCGACCTTTCAGACAAGCCCAAGGGCAAGCAGTACCGACTCGTGTCCGTTCCGTACTCTGCGGACATTGCCTCTGTGTTCGTCCTGGATGCCACCACGATGGCTCGGCCTGACAGCCTGGTGCCGCAGTCGAGCTACGTGCGCCTGCAGCACATCTGCTCCAACACTTGGGTCCACGCCACCTCGATACCCATCGATGCGGACGACGACAAGCCGGTGATGTCCATGGTCTGCTGCTCGCCCATCAAGGAGGACAAGGAGGCCTTTGCTCTGATTCCGGTGTCTCCGGTGGAGGTGCGCGACCTGGACTTTGCCAACGATGCGTGCAAAGTGCTGGCCACGGTCACCAGCAAGCTGGACAACGGCAGTATCTCCATAAACGAGCGGCGCGCGCTGATCTCGCTGCTGCAGGACATAGTCTACTTTATAGCCGGAATGGAGAACGAGCAAAACAAGACGAAGGCACTGGAGTTCACCATAAAGAATCCTATCAGGGATCGGCAGAAGCTGCTGCGCGAGCAGTACATCCTCAAGCAGCTGTTCAAGATCCTGCAAGGACCTTTTCAGGAGCACACGGCCGGCGACGGTCCGTTTCTGCGGTTGGACGAGCTCAGTGACCCGAAGAACAGTCCGTATAAGAACATCTTTCGACTGTGCTACCGAATTCTCAGGCTGTCGCAGCAGGACTACCGGAAGAACCAGGAGTACATCGCCAAGCACTTTGGCCTGATGCAGAAGCAGATTGGGTACGACATCCTGGCCGAGGACACCATTACGGCCCTGCTGCACAACAACCGCAAGCTGCTGGAGAAGCACATCACCGCCGCCGAGATCGAGACCTTCGTTGGTCTGGTGCGGAAGAACATGCACAACTGGGACTCGCGCTTCCTCGACTACCTCTCCGATTTGTGCGTGTCCAATCGCAAGGCTATCGCCGTCACCCAGGAGCTGATCTGCAAGAGCGTGCTGAGCGACAAGAACAAGGACATACTCATCGAGACGCAGGTGAGGGCTTTGCGGAGCGGGTCCACCTCCGCTCGCTGCTACAAGGGAGCCTCCGAGGACGTGTGTCTGGCCACTCTCGCCGAGGTGACCGGCGACGATGAGGATCGCTCGGATGTGCAATCCACGTCCACCACAACCACCTGGGACAGCGCGAGCCTGAACGAGGACGATCTCAGTCTCTCGACGGTGGATAAGTACGAAATACACCTGAAGTGGACAGGACAGCCGGTGGGTATTTCATTTGCCTGGTTAAGTTTATTATGCTTATACCTTGTTGCCTTTCAGACTTCCCGGTCCATGGCTGATTTGGCCAACAGCGATGGCGGCGAACAAGAGGCAGCCATACTGAACTACTATCGCCACCAGCTGAATCTGTTCTCCAACATGTGCCTCAACCGGCAGTACTTGGCCCTAAACGAGCTCTCGCCTCGTCTGGATATTGATTTAATTCTCAAGTAGGTCTTCTCCTTGGAATTCGAGGGAGAATCGCAATAATAACCACCTCTTTTGCAGATGCATGTCGGATGAGACGATGCCCTACGAGCTGAGAGCTTCCTTCTGTCGGCTCATGTTGCATCTCCACGTGGATCGCGATCCCCAGGAGCCAGTAACTCCCGTGAAGTATGCGCGCCTCTGGAGCGAAATACCCTCAAAAATGTCAATAATGGAGTAAGTGGAAGCGGGAATATACTCGATCAGATTAGATTAGTACCAACTATCTCCTCTTGCAGCTATGACGGTAAGAACCAGCAGCCCGACCAAAACAAGCAAGCCTGCCGGGCCAAGTTCAACACTACCATCGCCTTTGTGGAGAACTATCTGTGCAATGTGGCCACCAAAGTGTGGCTCTTCACAGATCAGGAGCAAAACAAGCTCACATTCGAGGTGATTTCGGTAACAGCCATTCCGCATTAGAGATAATTAAAATGTTTTTAATCCACTTCAGGTTGTTAAACTGGCTAGGGACCTTATCTATTTCGGATTCTACAGCTTTAGTGATCTTTTGAGGCTCACCAAGACGCTTCTGTCCATCCTGGACTGTGTATCCGATACCTCATCGGGGGCCTTTGCCAGCACGGATATTGATTGTGAGTACTGAAGAAATTTAAAACTTTCAGAAAATGTTAACATTTTGAGCTCCGCGCTATTCTCCTAACAAGCTGTCGAAGAGGAGACAAGCACAGAGGGTAAGACGGTTAATATTCTTCAACTAAAATATATTCTCCGTTTTCAAGACCAAGCCAGCATTCATACTAAATATTTTATAAACCCTATTTGCACTCTCATCTAATTAACACTACAAATTTCAGCCGAGGGCGGAGTTCTGCGCTCCATTGGGGACATTAACACAGTGATGACTTCGCTGGCCCTGGGATCTGTGGGTCAGGCCATAGCTGCTCCCAACATCTCGCTGCAGCAGCGAAAGTCCGTCTCCCAGCTGATGAAGGAGTATCCCTTGGTGATGGACACCAAGCTGAAGATAATCGAGATACTCCAGTTCATTTTGGACGTACGCCTGGACTATCGGATCAGTTGTCTGCTCTCCATCTTCAAGCGGGAGTTTGACGAGTCCGAGGTGGCTGCTTCGGCCGCCAACAATGAGGCGGCTCAGCAGCAAACCCAGCCGCAGTCGCAGACGCCCGGAAGTTCCCATGAGACCGATCCCCTGGAAAGTTCAGAGTCCGTGGCCGCTGCCGCGGCAGCAGCAGCCGCCGCCACAGCTGCCCGCCAGAAGAACATCGATCTGGAGTCCATCGGTGTGCAGGCGGAGTGCATCTTCGACTGCGAACGCAGCGATGCAGCTAATCTAGACCTGGATGGCCAGGGAGGACGCACCTTCCTGCGTGTCCTGCTCCACTTGATCATGCACGACTACGCGCCACTGGTTTCTGGTGCCCTGCACCTCCTCTTCCGGCACTTCAGCCAGCGCCAGGAGGTCCTCCAGGCCTTTCGACAGGTAGGTTGCAAGGGATAGGGAGCCGATATTCGTAGTTTTATCAGCTAAGAAATTAACGTGTGGAAGTTTCATTTATTAGATATATTTAAAGTACTAACGTATTCATGAGCTGCTTTAAGAAATTACTTCATTTACATACTTTGATGCATACTATTATTAATTTTTAACTCAATCATTAAATAATTTATTAAAATATACGGTCGTTATAAGTGATAAAATAAGAATCACAATTATAATAATTGCACTAGTTTACACGAATAAAACCAATATCTCATTTAAAACGATCGTTGATCTCGTGAATTCTTGTAAACTTTGCTTGCAGAGTTATACTGCAAGACTGAAATAATTATTATTATTGCTAGCAAAAGAAAATATTTATTTTAATCGTTTTTACCAGTCCTTAATTGTAACTAAGGCTGGTTAATTTCAAAAACTACGGCAAGCCGAGGATATCACTTATAATTATTCGCACATATCACACTGATTGATCTAATGCTCATATTCTCTCTTGTGTTTGCATGCGCTAACTTTCTATCTCTTTCTCTAAATCGAGACTCCACCTTACTAATCCGATACCATATATATACTAATATAATCGTATATTCACGCAATTGAACTCATGAACTAGTTTAAAAAAACACAACTAACAAAGTGGACTAACACCGCATACCGAACCGACCGATCTTTTGATTTTGTATGTACCCATGATTTTGAGAAACTTCGGGCCAAGCCATCAGTTCTAGACTAATCAAGATCTGATCTCCATCTCCGTTTTCAGGTGCAACTGCTGGTATCGGACAGCGACGTGGAGTCGTATAAGCAGATCAAATCCGACCTTGACATCCTGCGACAAAGCGTAGAGAAATCCGAGCTGTGGGTGTACAAGGCCAAGGCCACGGATGAACTGGACGCCGGAGGTGACGCCATCAACGTGGAGTACAATGCCGCCTTGTCCCAGGAGCAGCGGAACGAGTATCGCAAGGTTAAGGAGATCCTCATCCGCATGAACAAGTTCTGCGTAACTGCCTCCGGTCCGGGTTCTGTGGTAAAGCCGCGGAAGCACGAACAGCGCCTGCTTCGCAATGTCGGCGTCCACACCGTCGTCCTGGATCTCCTCCAGAATCCCTACGACGAGAAGGATGACGAATTGATGAAAGAACTAATGTGCCTGGCGCACGAGTTCCTGCAGAACTTCTGTCTCGGAAATCAGCAGAACCAAGTCCTGCTGCACAACCACCTCGATCTGTTTCTTAATCCGGGAGTAAGTACTCCAATTTGTTGTTCATGTCATCCCTTTAATATTGGGAAGATTACCCAGTTTTTAGCGTTCGCACGGTTAGACAATCACACTTTGGTAGAGGGCTTTTATTTCAATTTGGGAATTCCCCATAACTAACGAATGAACCCCTAGATCACAAAAGGAAATCAAAAATGTGTTTTTTGTTTTAATTTTAATAGTCAAAAAAGTTTACAACTTTCCCAACTCATTTCTTCGACAAATTTAACGGCTGAAATTTAAAATAAATATTACCTAAATTGATTAGGCGCAACTCTAGATATACCAACAAAAATGTCTTTAAAAAATCTGTATCCTTAAAAATATTTTTCTACTTCTATTTGATGATCTACTACCACCATCCTTCTTTGTATATTTTGTAATTTTTTCATATACAATTAAAGTCTTTGAAGTAATACAAGTTTAAACGACGAATACAGTACTTAATGTTAAAACGTCCTTTCAATTCTCAGACTGGAAATCGAGCTGTATCAAAGAGTAAAGCATGGCACTGGAGAAAGGTTAACTCTTCTATTTGTCAATTTTATATTTTTATTACAACTAAGAAATACGTGCTTCCGCTAGGACAAAACCCTTAAAAAATATTACTGTAGGCCATTGTAAAACAGAATTAGTCATTAGCTTATGCTCGAAAAATGTAGTCAATAATTTAGATCCATTCCCAGGCCTATAAATGTATGTACAATGTACATATCAAAATATATGCATTTACTTTTTATTATGCTAAATATTTTTTGAATTTTTCCAGACAAAATTAAACTAAATTAACACAATTCTTTATGGATCTTTTAGATATTGGAGGCGAAGACCGTGTGTGCCATCTTCAAGGACAACCTGGCGTTGTGCAACGAGGTGACGGACAAGGTGGTGCAGCACTTCGTGCATTGCATCGAGATCCATGGCCGCCATGTGGCCTACTTGCAGTTCCTGCAGACAATTGTGCGGGCAGAGAATCAGTTTATCCGCCGCTGCCAGGACATGGTGATGCAGGAACTGATCAACTCTGGCGAGGATGTCCTGGTCTTCTACAACGACAAGGGCTCCTTCAACCACTTTGTGCAGATGATGCAGCAGCAGATGCTGCGCATGGAGAAGCTGAGCGACGACAGCCCCCTGAAGTACCATGTGGAGCTGGTGAAGCTCCTGGCCTGCTGCACCATGGGCAAGAACGTCTACACGGAGATCAAGTGCAACAACCTGCTCTCGCTGGACGACATAGTGACCATCATCTGCCACCCGCTCTGCATGCCGGAGGTGAAGGAGGCCTACGTGGACTTCCTGAACCACTGCTACATCGACACGGAGGTGGAAATGAAGGAGATCTACGCCTCGGGTCACATGTGGAACCTGTTCGAGAAGAGCTTTCTGGTGGACATCAATCAGCTCATCACAAATCCGGCCGCCGCCAGCAACAAAACACTGCAGGCCTACGTTCTGAATGGAGTAACAAATCTCCTGGGCAGCTTCTTCGCCAGCCCCTTCTCCGATCAGAGTGCCATCGTGCAGTCCCGCCAGTTGATCTTCGTGCAGCTGCTCCAGGCTGCCCACAGGCTCACCCAGTGCCGCTGGCTATCGCTGGGCGATCGCTTCAACGTGGAGAACTGCATTCGCACGTTGACCGACTCGGCCAAGATGCGTAGCATCTCGTTGCCTCCCGAGCTGGAACAGCAGGTGGCCACCATGTCCAGCAAGACGGCTATGCTGACGCGACAGACCACCAAGTGGCTGCTGGCCTCCAAGCAGCCCAAGTACGAGGCTCAGCAGTCGGCCAGTTTGATGCGCTGGGACCGCTCAATAATCGAAGGACTGCAGGACATCGTGTCCCTCTTGGAGGACCAGCTCAAGCCGGTGGTAGAGGCGGAACTCTCGCTGCTGGTGGACATCCTATACCGCTCGGAGCTGCTCTTTCCCGCCGGAACAGAAGCCCGGAAGCGCTGCGAAAGCGGCGGCTTCATCCGAAAGCTGATCAAGCACACCGAGAAGCTGCTGGAGGAGAAGGAGGAGCGTATGTGCGTCAAGGTTCTGCGCACGCTGCGCGAAATGATGGCCATCGATGTGAACTACGGCGAGAAGGGCGATGCTCTGCGTCAAACGCTCCTGCTGCGCTACTTCCAAAGCAAGAGCTCGCCTAGGTTGCCGGAGGAGGAGATACCCCTGCTAGCCGCTCCCCTGGCCGATCCTGCCAAGCAGCACCACCTGGTGACCCATGGACCGGGCGCTAAGTATCTACAGCGAGCGGGCAAAACGCTGCATGAGATGCAGAACCATTTGGACAGAGAAGGAGCCTCCGATCTGGTGGTCGAACTAGTTATCAAGTCCGTCCACTCGCCAAACATATTCGTTGAGGCTGTGGAATTGGGCATTGCTCTGCTGGAGGGCGGCAATCCCATAATACAGAAGGGCATGTTCCAAAAGTTCCTGAGCGACGACCTCAACCAGGCCTTCTTCAAGGTTTTCTTCGAGAAGATGAAGGATGCTCAGCAGGAGATCAAGTCCACCGTGACGGTGAACACCACCGATATTGCCGCCAAGGCGCACGAGCACAAACAGGACGCCAGTCTGGAGCTGGACAAGATCTCTCGCAAGCATGGCCTCAAGAGCAACGGAGTGGTTATCACCGAGGAACTAAAGCGGGAACTGCACAATGCCGGCCTGGCAACTGCCCGGGCCTACGGAAATGCGCGGAACATCCACTCCGGCGAGGAGAGCTCCGCGATCAGCGTGAACAGTCCGCTGGAGGATATACTGGCCGAGAAGCTCGAGAAGCACAAGGACAGCCGGGAGCAGCGCAACCAGTTGTCCAACAAGGTGCTAGTGATGCAGCCCATTCTCCGCTTCCTCCAGCTGCTCTGCGAGAACCACAATCCGGACATGCAGAACCTGTTGAGGAACCAGAACAACAAGACGAACAACAACCTGGTCTCGGAGACGCTGATGTTCTTGGACTGCATATGTGGCTCGACGACGGGAGGCCTAGGGCTACTGGGCCTGTACATTAACGAGCACAACGTGGCCCTGATCAATCAGACCTTGGAGGCCCTCACCGAGTACTGCCAAGGACCGTGTCACGAGAACCAGAACTGCATAGCCACCCACGAGTCGAATGGATTGGACATTATCACGGCACTCATACTAAACAACATCAATCCGCTGGGCGAGAACCGCATGGACTTGGTACTGGAGCTAAAGAACAATGCCTCCAAGCTGCTCCTCGCCATTATGGAAAGCCGTGGCGACAGCGAGAATGCGGAGCGCATTCTGTACAACATGAATCCCAAGCAACTGGTGGAGGTGGCCTGCAAGGCCTACCATCAGGAGGAGCTGATTGACGAGCAGGACGATGGAGATGATCCGGATGCCGGGTCGGATGACGACGATGCCACCGTGAGTCCGCGGGAGGTGGGCCACAACATATACATCCTGTGCCACCAGCTGGCGCAGCACAATAAGGAGTTGGCCGGCCTGCTCAAGGCCTCCGAGGATCCGCAGTCCGCCAGCTTTGACGCCAAGACGAGTCAGGCCCTGATGTACTACGCCACGCACACTGCGCAGATTGAGGTGAAATCAAGCGTCCTATTATCCTAACCATACTGACTAACCATATGTAACGCACATTTGTAGATTGTACGAAATGATCGAACTCTGGAGCAGATCGTCTTTCCCATTCCCGAGATCTGTGAGTACCTGACCACAGACACCAAAATCAAAATCCTCAACACAGCCGAACGGGACGACCAGGGATCCAAAGTGGCAGACTTCTTTGACAAGGCAGAGGAAATGTTCAACGAGATGAAGTGGCAAAAGAAGCTAAGAAGTATAAAGATGTTGTATTTAAAAGGAACTTGTAATTGAATTTTTTTATTCGATACAAGGTCAACCGTTGCTATTTTGGATTAGCAGTTACATGTCGCTGTGGAGTAATATTCTTTTCAATTGTGTGGTTGTTATCAACATGATTGTGGCGTTTTTCTATCCCTTTGATAATACTGTGCCAGGTAAGACGAACGGTAAGACTGATTTGAAATGGATATAGAAGTATAATTTAGTGATTAACCGATAATATTATTTGGTTTTTCGTTTTATCTCAGTAGCAACTTAAGGTCGATAATTGATTTATTTGACCTTCACATTGAGATAAACATTTCTAGTAGAAATAAAATTTGCATGCTATACTGAATTATTCAACTTATTATTATTCTTTGTGGATCTTTTCAGAGCTGAGTTCTCACATTTCCTTGCTATTCTGGATTATAACTATATTCTCGCTTGTGATTGTGATAACGCTGCCCCGTGAGTCTGGGATTAGAACTTTTATCGGTTCCGTAATTCTTCGCTTTATCTTTTTACTGGGACCGGAGTCAACCCTTTGCTTACTGGGCGTAGTCACGGTATGTTAAACTCAACACACATAATATTAAATCTCTCTAAACGGTTTCTACCCGAATAGGTCACTCTTAAAAGCGTTCACATAGTGAGCATAATGGGCAATAAGGGAACTCTGGAGAAGCAACTAATCAAAATTATAACTGACTTTCAGTTACTCTATCACTGCATTTATATCGCATTTTGCTTTTGCGGCCTAATCTTTCATCCCTTTTTCTACTCATTGCTGGTGAGTTTAAAACAATATCGCGATGGGAAAAAAATATTTATGCACTTAACGATTTCGCAGCTCTTTGATGTGGTCTATCGTGAGGAGACGCTGGTCAATGTAATTCGATCCGTCACCCGAAATGGACGCTCCATTGTTTTGACAGCGGTTCTGGCTCTGATCCTAGTCTACTTGTTCTCCATCATTGGCTACATGTTTTTCAAGGACGATTTCCTGGTCAGCGTGGACTTTGAGGAGCAGGACAATGCGTCGCCTCCGGCAGTTCCTTTGACTATATCAGTGCCAGTACCAGGAGATGCATGTGCTGCGCCAGATGAATTGGGCAATTGTCCGGCAGCGAAAGATGTGGCACCACCGAATGCTGGGGGCGGTGATGTGAAGGAGCGGTCCTGCGACTCGCTTGTCATGTGCATAGTCACCACTCTCAACCAGGGCTTACGAAATGGTGGCGGCATTGGCGACATACTTAGGGCGCCTTCCAGCAAGGTACCATCCATTTTCCAAACTCAAACATCACGACTCACTTTTCTATTTTTCAGGAGGGTTTGTTCGTGGCTCGTGTAATTTACGACCTCCTTTTCTTCTTCATTGTCATTATTATTGTCTTGAACCTAATTTTTGGTGTCATTATCGATACATTCGCCGATCTGAGATCGGAAAAGCAGCAGAAAGAGGCCATCCTGAAGACAACCTGCTTTATCTGTTCCCTAAATCGATCTGCCTTCGACAACAAGACGGTCAGCTTTGAGGAGCACATCAAGAGCGAGCACAACATGTGGCACTATCTGTACTTCATCGTCCTTGTGAAGGTCAAGGACCCCACTGAGTTTACCGGCCCCGAAAGCTATGTGTATGCGATGGTGAAGGCCGGAATCCTAGAGTGGTTCCCCCGCCTGCGCGCCATGTCGCTGGCAGCCGTAGATGCTGATGGAGAGCAGATTGAGTTGCGCAGCATGCAGGCGCAGCTTCTTGACACGCAGCTACTCATAAAGAACCTGTCAACCCAACTACACGAGCTTAAGGATCATATGACGGAGCAACGGAAACAGAAGCAGCGCTTGGGATTGCTCAACACAACAGCACACAGCCTCCTCCCGTTTCAGTGAGGCTGCTAGGAATATACAATTAGTTTGTCACTTGATTTTGGTTAACATTCCCTATGCATCCGCATAAATGTAAACCCAAAAGTATTGGCACCTTTCGTAACTCATTCTCAATGTATTCACTGCGGGGTCAAACAGATCGCACGTAAACAAAAATCTCCAATAATGGTTGAATACCCCGAGTAAATACCAAAAATCTTTCTGTATTAGATTCGAATTCCAAAACAATATATATTGCTCAAATATATCCAGCAAAAGAAATTCTAAAATTGTAACCAATTGAGTACATTAATAAGTAGTAAACTCACTCAGAGAACTTAGGGCTGTTAACATGTTAGTTAGTGAGCGTGTTAAGCATTTTTCACAACCTGAAATGTTTTCACCTTACCTCTCCTTGATGACTTTGTAATAATACCTGAAGCTAGACTCTAGACATATGTAGTTAACCTTATAAAGTTCGCAGAGCGACCTCAACACAATTTTCGAAAATGTTCTACGCTGTCTTATAAATAAATATATTATTTAATTGTTAATACTGTATGAATATATTTTTATAAGTTGCACTACAAGCAGAACCCTACTTGAAAAAACTTATTATTGTGATTACCCTTTTTTATATTGATTCTGTTTTTATTTCTGAATGGTTTACTTAGTGCTCGAAACGAGTTGTGTTGGTTAAATTCATTCTAAGCTAACAGTTAGACTATATATCCTAAGCGAAACTACACTAAGTTTAAGTGAAACTTTATATCTTTACATGTAAAAGGAAGTATATCTTTTAAATAAATACTATCAAATTCACGTGTTGTTTATTTATTTGTAGGTATCCCTTGGGCAACGATATCAATAGAATAAACAAAATCTCTGTATTATTTTTAGCCAACATTTTTTTATTACATTTTAAACTACAATTGCGCAAGCAACTTTATAAGTATTGTAAGTTACAAAATTTTCAAAGTTTTTGCAACTAAACTTTACTTAAAAAGCAGCCAGCACACATTCATTCATAATTTATTGTTACATTTTTGTTTAATATTAAGAAAACATTTTACATAAAATTGTTCAATGCATTTTCATGAGATTTCCCGTTCTCGGTTTTTCTTCTTCGTTTAATTTGTATAACTACATATTCATGTAAATGTTTGTATATTTTGTATGTAAAGATTCATTCCATTGCTGGTGTTTGTATTTCGACATTAAAATAATAAAAAGTTTAAAAAATCAGTTGAAGGGCTTAAACATAACACTGGAAGCTGCCAAAGCGATATAAAAAGTTGAATTGTTAGTGAGCAGTGTGCGGATTGAAGAAAAACGTAATACTTCGATTTGTGGCAGTTCAACATATTTTTAAAATAATTCTGTATGAAAAATACTTGGAGGGCACATTGCTCTGGGGATGGACTCGAATTGGAATTGAGCTTATTAGCCAGTTTGGAAAATGTTAGATACAAAAGGCATCAACAGTTATAGTTTACGAGTATGTGATCTAAACGTGTATATATATATAAATGTAAAAATGTTTTATTTTCTGTCCTATTTTATTTTTGTAAAAGTTCTTTACGCTGCCATTGGTTAGTGCTGTTATTTATGAATTCGATTGGTGTTTTTCTAACACCGCTGCAATGCAATAAGTTTAACTCACTTTAATTAATATTTTACTTTTCGTATTTTGGAAGAAAAAGTACTGGAGTAGATAAAACATTAGTAGTTTGAAAGTTTAGGGGCCGCTTTCTCGTCCGCCTGTTAAATTTAAAGGAAGCTTTAAACTCTGATTTCCCATACGATTTCAAGGTTTTATACCTACTCTAAATTTAAAAAACGGACGAAAAAATGGCTCTAAGTGTATATAAATAAATTAGTTATTAATCAACAATATTTGCTTAACTGCTCATGGTACAATTCGTGGCATATTTATAATATTATGTTTTCCTTAAATGTGTTAAACTTAAACATTGATTGTTGGTTAGGTACAAAGAAAAATCTCATGGCTTATATTGTATACCTAATCAATAAGTATTTTTTGTATCAGATTTTTGAACGGAAATCAGAATAAACTAAACATTGATGTAAATCTGTCATGAAGCTGCGTTTAGTATAATTCTATAAATTGCATAAGAAATCGAATTGGATTGCTGCATAAAATTTGCTTGCGACTAGATTAAAGTTTGTTGCTTTCCGACTTGCCTATGCGGTGTATATTATCGAATCATATATGTATATCATATACGCATATGTAAATATAGTTAGATGGATAAATTTGTTCTTATTACACTTTAACTATCGCGGCTGCCTTGGGTATCATATTGAGAAGGGAAGAAAGACTCAAATATTTACGATTGTTCCCTGGTTTGCAAATAAATGTGGCATTTCATTCACAAATGAACCACTCTAAACTTTAAAATTCGTTTCAAACTACTTTTGAACAATCGATTCCCTCCCAAAATATCGCGTTACTATTACTTCATTGGGTAAAACGGGTTACGCATTCTTTTCTTAAAAGCGAGCAGCCACGAATAAATCTACATGTGTTGATAGGTTAATATATACTTCTGTGCCCAAACCACTGAAAGCCTGTTAGACAGTTGTGCCGTAGGCGTTATTAAAAACGGCACGAGAACTATCCGTATCTAGCGATATATCTTCAGGACTAGCCAGGTCCACGCGAACGTTCGAATTAGTCCGACGTCGGGCAGTTTGCGCAGCGCCCCAATTACTGAGAGTCCAATGGAAACCGGACGAGCTGGCAGCCGGTTCAGCGTCTACCTTGACCTGCGTGCACACCTGCGGATTAAGTGGAATAATTAGCGTTTTTTTTAAATTCTTCATATGGATTATGGGTATAAACTTCCAACTAGGAAGCATTAAATTAAATAATAAATTAAATTTAAAATAAATGTTGGAAAACCAATGGATTGATTTTATAGAATGGAGATAATAATAAGGGAATAATTCGATTCGTATATATACATACGTAGCTTAGAATGTAACTCACCTCACGATTGCCGCACGGTAATGTTTCAGTGCCGTTGCCCAAGGCAGAGCCCGACACAGATCCTGAGCCAGAGTCGCGCGTGCTGCCAATGCTGCTGCTGCTAGCCAGCGAATCATTGCTGGATTCGATGACCGCTCCTCGATACCGCGCCACAGCCTGGACAGCCTGAACCAAGACAAGGGGCAGATTTGTTATATTTGTATAGTTTTACCAAAAAACAAAAGCTTACCATGGCATCACCGCCTTGACAATCTTCGATCGATTTGAGGATCTCCCAAACGAGCTCTGAGTCCAAGGGGATGGGCTGTTCGGTGTCGCGATTGTAAATGGCAATGGCAATGTGAACGGGATGTGGCACGGGCAACGGAATTAGCAGCTTTTCCGTGACGCTCTTCTCTATACATTTCTGCTTCCAAGGTCTCCAGACCTTCTGGGCATCTTGTGGCGTCTTCGGCACATGTTGGGCACGGTGGGCACGCACCCGCGGTGTGGTTAATCCCACAGACATATCCCTGTTAAAAACACCTTTAGCATCAAATAAATTTGTTTTGAAAAAAGATTCACCTTTTTTCAGGCTTGCGGAAGGTGAGCGTGATGCGAGAACGAGGATTAAATGCGGTGACTTCTAGGAAGGGCAAATGCACCTGGACGTTGCCACGGGGCGCGTACACATTGCCGAGCAGATCCAGGCCCTTGGAGCCAATCACATCGTTCGCATTCTTCACCATCTCCGTATAGCGCATCAGATCGAGCGAGGCATGTGGTTCTAGTTTAAAATGTGTATCATGTTCAGTCAATGGCGTTAGAAAATCTAAACTAAATATGTCGGTGTATATAAGACCAGCCAATCCCGGCCAGTCGTTCACCGTGAGACCCTGAAAATAGGCAAACGAAATTGTCATTGTTATCTGCACATTTTGATGCTAGCTCCTTACCTTATTATCCCAGAATTCTTCTTCGCTAATCGACAATCTTCCGATGACATGTGACGGATAATACTTCTCTAAAATATGGGCGGCCAGTTGTATAGCAATCTAAATAAAAAAAATTAATTTGATGTCAAAATAATGCTTGGAGCACTCGAACCTTTAATTCTTTGGTATTCAACTTGATGCGCGATTTGACCTGAGTGGTCAGCGCCGTCTGCAGTTCCCTCCGCCGCTTCTCCAGCTTCTCGTGTAGCGTGCTCATCAGATCCTGCGCCTCACGGTCCAGCGACAAGTACGGACCGGTTTTACTGATTTGGGCAGAGAACGGTCCAAAGCAAGCCTCGACAAACTGGAGAAAATCCTGCTGCGGCTGTAAAACCACTCGCTCTGTGGCATGCTGATAGGCCTGCAGTTCATCGAGCTCCATTTTAGCCTCTAGAGCAGCCAAAGCCTGCTCTGGCCTGATGATAAAGTAATAGTCCAGGGCCAGTCCGGGTCCAGCTATTCGTTTTACAGCAATGCTATCCGAGGCTGGAACTCGTCCACACTTCTTGATGAACAAATGGTATGTGAGCGAGTCCCAGACAAGGCGAAGGGAATATCGGACGACTCCAACTAAGTGGGGATAGAAACGTTAACACATTTAATATTCTAATTCAAACACGCACGTACCTATAAAAACGACTCCCGCTGCCAGTGGACAGATCAACGTGGCCATTAGAACCGCCGCTACTGGCTGCAGCACTCCTTGTACGAGAAGATTCCAAACTATGGCTTCCAGCAAAATGCAGTAACGATTTTTCGTATTATCAGGCGCATCTAAATCATATATGAGGATCATGTAGATGTGAAGCAGTAAGACAAATACGGGAATCCAAAGAGGTGCAGTCACAGCCAAACCAATGCTCAACAAGCTGGCGGCCAAACAGATGAGCGGAAATGCGAATAAAATGACGATCGTGCCCAGGAATCCTTTCACAAAATAGTTCCAAGTTCGATTTAGGTTGCGCGTCAGTCCCTTACCAATAAATCCTAAGGAGAGTAATATATTATATTATATATTAATACAAATACAACTTGAATCTAACCCGTGTCCGGTTCTGTCTCAAAGTGCGTACGTGACTTCGATATATGACGCCACAACTCGATTAAGCGTGAAGCCAGCGTCTGCGTGATGCTCGTCTTCCTCGGAAACAGTGTGCCGTTGATCTGAGACAACTCCAGGTCGGGCATGAAAGGCTTTACACAGCAGAGAGCGCGCAAGCCCAGTGGACTGCACCAGGGTACGAGTATGCCCAGCAGAAACATCATGTTCCAGGACCAGCACCAGATGCGCTGGATCATGTTCAGCAGACGCCAGAAAGGCCAACGCGTGCTTGTTGTGCGGATTATCTCCTTTTCCACGAGAAACACCGGCTGGCTGGGATCCGAGCGGGGCGTGACAATACTAGTGGCATGCTGGCTGATCACAGTGGGAATTACGTCCGACTGGCCCTGAAAGTTGCGACGGATGATCCACGACTGCGGCGACCAGATGCGACACGCCCACTGAAAGCTGCGCGTGGGCGTCTTGGCGTTTTTCAGCTCCTTAAGCAACACTGGCTCTCGTTCCTTCATAAAGGCCAGGTCGCGGGACAGGAAGTAGGCTGTCTGGTGCAGGTTGTGCTGGGTGCACATCTTTAGCGCCTCCTCGTGGGCCGACCAGGCGCTCTTGTGCAGACGGTTCTCCTCGGCGTGACGCAGCTTGGAGCGCAACCAGGGGGCAACCCGCGACAGAACGGAATGGTCATTAGCAAGACACTTCTTGTGGTCCTCACGGGTGCGCTTGATATTCTGCTCCACCTTGTCCACAGCCTTGTACATTATTACCACCGACTGGGCCTGCTGCACCAGGAGTTCCGGCACTCCAGCGCCCAGCTCTGTTAGCTTGGCATTGGAGACTATGGAGCTGTAAACACGCTGCAGATACTCCTTCATAACAGCCTCGTTCACCTCCTCCTCGATCTCCTTGTCGTTCAGCTTTTTGGCCCGCAGCTCGGCAATCAGACGCTCGCGGAAGTGCAGGAACCAGCCCCGCGTCTCCCTTTCCAGAATCCCAATCAGAATCGGAAGCGCCTTGCGCATGATGTCGCGACAGAACAGGCGCAAGTCGATCTCCTGTCCCTTGGGCGTGAGGAACAAGTAGGGAACGGGCTGGCTGACCTCACAGCTGTTAAAGTCGAACTTTTCCATTGTGGCGCGGCGCAACATCTTCCGGACATAGGAGCACAGGCCGTCAAGGCAGTCCTCGAACTCGGGCTGCAAATAAATTGTACTTATTAAATGACGGGTTTATTGTAGATGCGGTAAATGTTTCTGAACAAATTTTCTTTTGCTTTTTTAAAATATTAATTGTCTTTCATACTTCAGTTATCGCTAAATATAAAATAAAGTTAAGATATGCTTACCCGACAAACCAACTCGGCTATGAGAAATCGACAGCGCTCCTCCTTGATTTTGTAGTCCAGGTTATGGGCCAATAAAGCCGGTACCCCGATAAACATGTCCGCCAGCTTTGTGAACGAACCCAAAAGGCCGTGCATCGCCTGCACTACGGAGAAAAAGTGCGAAAAGATCCGTGCGCGGGCTGTGACCACCACAAATCGGGCGGCCAGGGCTAGGTCGCTCAAAAATGAATCCTGGGCCCGCAACTTTCCCTTCTGAAGCAGTTGAGACAGACGCCACTTGTGCACCTGACCAGGAAAATGAAGACTGGGCACATCGAACTCGCTGTGGAGGAGTGAGGTTGCTAATTAGCTTTTGACGATGAAGCTCTTAAAAGATCGAGGCAACATAAAACACATAAATGAACTAGATTAATGACAAATTGTTGGCATGCACAAGTGTGTTCCAGATTCAGAATTATAGTTTGCCCGATTCTAAGTGGTTATTATATGTTTACATGTTTGTGAAAATATGTGAGTGTGAATTGGGGAGAGTATCTTGATATCTTGGGGTCTGTGGAGAACTCGATCTTTAAAAATACACACAGGATTACCTTAAAATGGTAGGGAAACACAGCGCTTTCAGAAAATAATAAAACACAGTTAGAAGAGGTTACATACTACATATGCAGAACTTTTTTTGTTTTCGGAGTATCTTGGCTTTCTTTAACATTTTTATACATATGTATATAACACAGGCCTTCAACATGCAGATTCGCTTTTCAACTTTCAGTTTGACCAGCATGCAAATTTATAGAGCGGCTTTGGATAATGACTTAACTTCTAAACAAATAACATTGAGTAAATAATGGCAATGTATGTACAAACGGAAGAACACCGACTAAACAAATTTTAATGCAGTGGCAGAACTTTGCCTAGGCTTTTGTTGATCGCCTGGTTAATAATGTTTATTTACCCATTTTTACGTATAGTTTCCAATTGTTCCAAAGTTAATTTCTTCGGCTTTCCATATTTATCCTTTTGCAAGCTTTACAGAAATATGTCACACACAAATTGTTGTTTACCGTTTCATGTTTCATTGGCAAGTGATACACAGAAATAAAAATCACAATAGAATTGTGGCATGCGTTTAGTTTAGGTAAGAAACAAATAAACAGACTACGATAGCTGATATCGTATTCATTTTTATAAAGATTTGGAGCATGCCTTAATTTGATTTTTGCGTTTGCTGGGTGCAAAGTGTCGCATAATGATTGGCAATGGTTAAGGAACTCAAGAAACGAAAGAAATCACTATCAGGTGTGGGGGGATGTGGCAAAAGCACTGTTAATCAGCTAGCTGTTAACTGCTGCACAATAGCTCTTTTTGCTTATTTAGCTGGCAATTGCAAGCTGCTCCATCCATCATCCGTCATCCACCATCCACTCATCCATCAATCTATCCATCATCGTACTGAGCAGCTCTGTCTCGTGACCGCAAACTCACCCAGTTTCCCGCAGAGTCTTTAGCTGGGCGCTCGTCAGCCGGCGGGGCTCTCCACTCCCGTCCGAGGCCACGGCGTCCAGCTCATCAAAGGGCGGCGCTATGAAGAGGTCGCGCAGATTAATGGGACGCGTTTTGCGACTGCTCACGCTGTTGGTAGCGTTCCTGGCCGTTAGATTCAGCCCACTGGTGGCCAGCGCCTGTGGCAGAACTGGGAAAATTAAATGGGATCCGATTAGCATTGTGCATCGCAGAAACCTATATAGACACTCACCAATGGGAAAGCTCTTCCAGTGGTAAAGGAACTGCTCGGCCACGCTCTTGATCTGCTCCACCAGCTGCTCCACCTCGGGCGGAGCTCCCACCAGGTTGATGTTGAATTCGATGGGCTCCCGCTCGGGAGCGGCCAGCGTCTGGGGGCGCAGCATCTGGGTGCCGGAAGCACTGACCGACAGAGTGGCCGGCACAGCAGCCGGCACCGGAACCGAGGCGGCCTGCAGGGACGTGGGCATGGTAACTGGACGCAGCCGTTCACTCTAGTATGGCGTCCATTCCTGATTGGAATGAAAAAATGCTGTGGAGTAAATAAAAGGTAGCTTATGAAGGGATTATCTTTCTTTGAACATAGATATTTTTATAACCGGGAAAAAAATATTTAAATAATGGTGTGCGTCCAAGATTCTTGGTATAGCTGTCTATGTGACTTTTTTTAATCTTTTAAGCAAAACTTAAGGGGATACAAAAAATAAAAATAGATTGTAAGTATGCGATATTTATTATATCCTTTTAAAACTATTCTGAGTCAAGAGAACGGATATGTATCAAATAAACCGTATTAATTTTGTAACTCATAAATTGTATACTATTGATTAACATTTAAAATCTAGATAGATAACCGCTATTGACTAGAACTTTGATGATTTCGAAGAGTATCCAGAGAATCGGCAGTCAAGATGCCTCTACTTCATTTCTGTTATTTTGATGGCTGACCAAGCTAATTGAAATCGCACAAGCGCGCGCAATATTAAAATTAATGATCTAATTGAAAATTCACTGGCGCATGTGTAATGGTGAGAATAGTTCGGATTCCATGGGATTCGGAGAGAGGAAGATGGTCCAGATGTAAACAAATATTCATTGCTTTAACTTGGTCAGCTCTCCGCACTGAGCATACAAGTTAATAAGTATTCCAAATTACCAACTGTGTAGCTTCGGAAGGGTCGAAACGGGTTTGCCGTACTGGCTGAAAACCGTAGTTTCACCTGCCGCAGGGGAACCTGCAGACAGCAGACTGCAGACTTCAGCCACCTACCACAACTTACACCCAATTTCGCGCTTCGCTTGCGTTAATGGGGTCCCCAAATGTGCCGTTCCACGCCCATGAGTAGACACTGTACTGAAGAGCCCCCGCCAGTTAACCAGCCCCACGTCCCTGCCCCAACGATTCTTATTGTTTAATTGCCGCACACATACACTCGCTCGCGCGACGAGACGCACACGCACACCTATACTGCGCACACAAGGCGTTCTGTGTTGTCGTTGTCGGTTTTGAGTTACAACTGCCTTTTACCTCGCTTCCAATATCAAATTGCTGGAGCTCCGGACCCTGCAGGCATCGTAGTAACGATTCGCGAGATCACAAAGCTGCGTTTTTCCGATTTTAGACTTTATTGAGCGAGCAGACAAACAATACACATACGCTCTTTTCAACTGGAGATGGCCAAGTCAACTGATTGCGACTATCGATGGCTCAGAAAGATATCGATGGTTCGACTGACCAGGGCTGCGTTGGCAGGGGTAACGTTAACAATTCAAATCGAATTCTTAATGAAAAACAACAAGATTTAGTACTTTCATATTTAACATAAACTAACCGTAAAATATTCCACTATTTTTAAAAAAGAACTTTTTGATCCAACCATACCTGCACTGCTTTTCGAAAATGGAAGTCACAAAAGGCTCATTATTATTGCAGTTGTTAATATGTGACATATATTTAGCATGTTAAAACTAAAATGTTCATTTAAGTTTGCACATACAATCATTATTTAAGTAAATGGTTAATGGGCTTTTTGCCATTATTGCACTGTATGGGAACAAATCCATTTTTTAGCTTCAAAAGCATTCCATTACTGGATGGCAAAAAGGAGCGCATGGGCGCGGGCGCATCTAAAACGTTTCTGAATTGAGGCACCTGAGCCTGTGCCGATTTACCAGCCCCGAAATCCGAGGCTTTGGTAACGATAATCGGCTTTTGACCTTGAACTTTTGGATAGCACGATATCCGCGGAGGGATCTTGACAGTCTGTCCTTTCATTGGGAGCATTTGAGAACCAGATTGGGGTACACAGTTGGTGCGATAAACTCCGTTGGTAGGCAGCTGCTTGATAGGCATTGGAAATTTCGAGCCGCCACATCCAGCTCCTTCAACCTTACATTTATTTGGTCGGTCGGCAGCCAATTGGCCTGGGCACATTCTTTTCGCCTCTCCTGCCTCCTTCTTGGCTTCAGCATTAATTTCTTTCTTTATACGAGTTACGATAACGGCGTCGCACAGCGGCGGACCCAAAAAGCCGTAATCGACCACATACTGCTCCAGAAGATCAGGAGCTTGGCGGATAATTTTCAACACCGGGGTGCACAGCTTCATCAGACGATGACGAATGTACTTGGCAGCCTGTCTGTCCAAGCTGGAGGTGGAGCTGGAGATCCCGTTACCAGCAGTCAGGGTCAGATGAGGCTCGATCCGCTTAGATAGGTATGCTATTTGGGGCACAATGCAGGCTCGCACCGCGTGATGACCCATCTTTCCCAGGCCGATAACAGCCCCAAAGACCGTCGTCAGTGGCTGCATTAGGAGAGCATTTTTGTAAATCCTGCAATATATTAATAATATTAATAAGTATTAGACAAACAGTTGACTATTTCTAGGTGTCTCAAAATAACTCTCACTTTGGGACCCTTTGAGCACATAGTCACATAGAAACTGTTTATTTCCTTTCAAAGGGTTTTCGGTCTTTGCTCAACCAGTAACCGATTTTTATGTTTCAAAACGGTTTCGGTTGATCAAAGACCGTTTGAACTGAACGGAGAACAAAAACGGTCTAGTACTATTAGGGTTTTTTATAATTAATAATATCATTCCAAATATATGGTTTAATAGTATAATTAAGGTGCAAGAAGAGCTCGGCAGTGGCAATTGCAGAGGAATTTAGAATTCAAACTATCCAAGGAACAATAAAATCCGACTTTAGGTTTACAATTTTTTTTAATCTTTGAAATAAATATTCTTTACTTTTTTTGAAAAAAGAAATAAGAAATAACAGCTACATACATATATGATAATAAAGTCCTATTTCTAAATAAACTCAAAATTATTACATAGCGATTACACAAATTTAACATTTAAACAAAAACATTATAGAGGTTTTCGTATTGTTTTGAAATTAACTTTCCGATATAATAGCAGATATTTTTTAAATATTTAAAAAAAATAAACCAAAGAGATTGGAAGATAAAATACCCAAGCCATACATTTTTTTTCATTACTTTTCGGATTGTTCTAATAGGAAGGCATAAGATATAATTGTGAGATCCTGCCCATCCTAAATTATATAATACCTGCAGTAGAACGATTATTTGGGAAAGTCTTATCCCTTTATAACTGAGAGACCAGTTTGTACTCAAACGGACATCCAGTCATGGCTAGATCGCCTCTTCTATAGATGCTGATCAAAAATATATTTTTATCCACTGCAAGGTTATACCAATTAACCCATACAGGTGTCTCTACAATCTCTATCCTTGGTATAACTGGTTGGACAATGCCTTTTGGGCAGCAACTTAGGTACTACAACTACCATTATCCCTAGACTGTCAAACTTGATCAGTAACATGAACAACTTTTAAAAGGCAGAATAAATTCTAAAGAGAAGCTTCAAAAGAGTATGTAAAGATAAGGACAGAATAAAGTTTCCGTCTTGAGGAGTGGCTAGCTGCATTTTCTGTACTTGCCCAATAACTCTAGGTAGGATACTGCTGTCGGCGGCGTTAAAGTGGCGCACTATGTGGACTATTATGTTGCCAGAGTACTCCCTCAATGCCCATTGATCGGCTAGGTCGGAGGATGAGCAGGCCTGTTTGGTCAGCAGGCAGGATAGAACGGCCGGCAGGATCAGGTGGAGCTAAAATGCAGCAGATGCATTTTCAGCCTTTGCCATTCCTCAGTGCCAAATACTCACATATTGTAGCAAGCTCAATCTGGGGTTGGCCAAAACGGCTCTGACCATACGCAGCAGGTACAGAAGCAGCGGCATGTTCTGCTGGGCCACGTTGACGACCACTGCGTCCGAGATGAACGCGCTCAACGTGGGCAGCAGCACCTCCAGCGACGGATCGGTGGACAGCGTTTGGAGCGCCCGCTGGCGGCGGGACTCCGAGGGGCCCACGCAGGCCTCGGTGATCAGCTCGTAGAAGGACTGCTGCTCCCTGGTCAGCGGATAGCGCTTGCAGGGCTTAAGCAGCACCTGCTCCGCCTTCAGCCAGCCTGAGTGGCAGGGAGCCGGTTCAATAGGAATCTCGGGTTCGGATACCTGACTGAAACCGGTGGGGACGGGAGCAGAGTCTGCGAATGGGGCTCCGCCCACGCCCACACCGGGCTCCTCTTCGACCAGAGGCCTAGGGCAATCTCCGCGAACGACCAGCCTGAAGAAAATATCCAGGCGAAGGTCGTCGTCCATGCGGGCAGCTTGCTGGATGTGCGACAAACGCAGCCTGCGCTCCCGGATGCGCCGCATGTATTTGCCCGCCTCGTTCAGCAGGTTGGAAATGTCTTCCCTGAGATTGAGCGACAGCCAATGGCACACTTCGTCCTCCAGCTGCTGACCCGTGCTGTGCAAGGAGATTGCGGCCAAAGAACGCGGCGACAAGGACTTTTTGCGGAAGCCCTCGTCTTTGTCGGAGGCTTTCATTTCAGTTGTCTTTTTGTTTTCAAACTGCCACATTCCGGCACTAGAGATGGCACCGGTCGATAGGCGATAACAGACTGATTACCGGTCGGACAGGGTCGTCACTCGACTCCCGCCAATAGGATTTTCAAATATATCACAAACAATTGAAACACGCAGATAAAAAGTTACTGAAGCACCCTTTTAATATTTTTGAATGTCAGTTTAACGTTGGCACGGCATGCCACAACTTACCAGAGGAGTAAAGAAATAACCTGGGTTCCAGATACCATTCTTATAAGCAATTCTCGACGGACGATAGCTTATTCGAAAGGTCTTAAGATTATTACATCGACTGGTTGAGGGCGCCATGAATCCAAGCTTTTGAATTGATTGTCGCGTAGTGAATCGATGAGGATATACTGCGGTAATACAACGGCTCTACAACAGTAGGAACGTCTCTACTCGCGGACAGACTGGCCGTTAAATGCAATTCCGGGGCCAGCGACAATTATGTTTACGTATACCTAGCAAAATAGAATACCTAGTAAGCTAATTATTCCGTATACATAATATATACATAAATAATTTTATACTAAGTCATATTGATAAAGTCCTTTTAAAAGCAAACACCAACCTTATCCTGGAGGATAATCCCGAAAGCTTATCGCCATAGTTATTTTAATTTAGTTCAGTTTTACAACTCGGAATTTAAATTAAATGTTTATTTTTTAGGTCGCGTTTTCACCATTTTTTGTTATTATTATTAGGCCGCTGGGAGAACCTACGATCAACTCCGGTCGAGCTCCTTTTGAATACTGCCCCTTTACAATTTCCACAACCGACATGAACTTGACTTTGACATTAATGTCAAGTCAAATGGAGAAATACGCCTAGTACAAATGGTTTTAGGAAAAATATATAGAAAAGATAGGAGTAATATGCAAAATTTAAAACGTATTGTTTGTTGACTTGTACTTATTGCTTACCATAAGGTCACGCTTTAAAATGTGTTATAGCTTAAATTTTATTTAAAATCATTTCAAATTTTTTTAATTATATAAGGTCCTGCTTCGAAAATTTCTTCCAACCACTTTTGAATGGAATTTAGCTCAAACAACAAAACCTACATATATTCTAACCGAATCCATATAAATAGGCTCTAAAATCGTTTGCTCAGGAAACATATTTAATTGGAAACAAGCATTTTAATTTCGTTTGGATGATTAATACTATCGAAAATAAGCCCAAATTTGGTAGATAGTAAAGCCGAGCAGCAGCACCACAACCAGCATTCTTCCCACTCGGTGCAGTCAGGAGCGTAGATCCGTGAGAGGCACGTACATCACGCCCATGAGCCGTGTCATCTCCACCTTCCCATCGGCGCCCTTGTCGTACTAAAGAGAAATTTAAATTAGTTACTAGAGTGGCTAATTGATAGCTATGATTCGCCCACCTGTTGCATGTACTGAGAGCCGCCGTCAGGGCCGACGGGCACTATTAGGCGTCCCCCGTTGGCCAGTTGGTTTATCAGTTCGGTGGGCGTGTCCGGAGCAGCAGCTCCCACATGGATGGCGTTGTAGGGGGCACTGCCTGGGTATCCCTTGCGTCCGTCGCCCTCGACGATCACCAACTGACCCGAGTCGAGCATGCTACGGTCATCTGAGTTTAGGTTGGCCTTGCTAATCCTTACCAGATCCGCCTGATGCTCTATGCCCACGATACGGGTCTCCGCATCGGCGCCCTTGGCCTTGATATATCGATAAAAGCAGGCCGTAAGGTATCCCGATCCAGAGCCCACGTCCAGCACACGAGCTCCAGGCTTCAGGTGGTCGCGCAGATACTCCAAGGCGAACGCATGCTGGGAGGTCAAATAAAAAGAAGCTAATGAGCAGGGGATCAAGTTATACATGAGCTCCTCCCCTGGAAGATTTTCACAACGACCTCTAACCAATGACCCCTGATTTGGATTTCTATTTTGAAAACAGATTCTAGGGATTAATATATAAGTCGTTTCGATTTACACGATTTAGTAGTCGGAATATGGAATGTTCACGAAAAAAGAAATTAAATTGAACGACAAATGCTAACCTGACACTGTAAAATCGGCCCTTAATCAGTTAATATAATCAAAATACCTTAATTTTAAATAGTAACTAAATCTCAAAGTAAAGAATACATGGTCAAAATCGACAAATTTATACGATTTTTTGCTAAATTATTGCAATGTCACCGACTACCTGCAATATAAAGAAGACTTTTGAGAATGTTATGACCAGATACTTTTAAATCTAAATTACATGTTTGCATAGAAATAGGAAGATGGACAGATAGACGTAGATAAATTCTATCCACTGTCAAATCTGATCAAGAATATCTATACTTTCTTGGGTCGGAAACGACTTCTTCTTTGCGTTGCAAGTCTTTTGCAAGGGTATAAATACACTTGAAAATTTGTTTGTAACTGATGAGCGTTTTAAGTTACCATATGAGGAGCACTGATGGTGACACCACCTCCGATGGGTTGCGGGGCGTCCATGTAGGGGTTGCGCGGAGAGTAATGCTTGCGGTCGGTCTCCGCCATCGCCTTGGCCACCGCATCACTTGCTATGACGCCGTGATCTTGGGGTTTCGGTTCTATTATTAACTCTTCCTGATTGGCAAAGCGGATAGAACGGCTCACCCTTCAGTTGACGAATGAGGTCCTCATTATTGGCTCCCACGGAACGCCACGCCATGCTGAAGGCGCGGGCAAACAGGCCCAGCTTTATAATTCCCAAAATGAATTGCCGTTTTTCCAACGTTTTGGCTTTGTTTTGTTTTAAAATAAAACAAAAAGCGAAGGAGCAGCGTGTGACCGTGGCGGTAAAAATACCGGAATTGTAAAAAACTACTACCACTATATACCAAATATTTTTATTTTTATACTCTGTGCATTGCCCAAACATTTCAGCTGCAGAACTGCTGAAATTTCAGAAAGTTTACTTATTTTGGACACCTGACCAAAATTCATCAATTCAAAAGTTTAGGCAATAAGCGGAGTGTAAAATGCATACCTTTTTGTAAGTTAAATATCTAAGTATACTCTTGAAGTGTTACAAATGTCAGCAATAGAGGGAACGATCCTAAATGGTTCCTGTTGAATTTACAAACAGCTGTTATTTGGTACTGAAATTTTTTAAAAAAGACCTTCAGATTTGGATGTATGTCACTGCATATGTCACTCTGTTCATATAGTCACTGCTTTTGCGAAATCAGCCGATAGCAAACTCCAAACTTATGTCCAACGTTTTTTTTTTGCGTCCATGGGTTACAATTCGTATGGAATAACATGGCGCTGTTGCGGAATTTGGTCGCAGTAGCATGTCTAGTGTGAACGGAATATTTATAATTACTTTTTAAAGTTATCATTCACATCTTTTCTAATTTAAAGTTCGCGCTCGATCTTGCTCAGTTTAATGGGACCATGTGTGCATAAACGGTCCTACTGTTCTTCGATATCAGGAAGCACAATTGGTAATCGGAACTTGCCGATCCTTGCGTGGAGTTGTTTGTAAACAAGATGTCCAACGTGGGAAAGATAAAGATAAAATCCTTCGCAGAACTGCAGGCCACCACTGGCATAAATGTGGAACCGGACCCACCGCCCCAAATGAACAGCAGCACGCCCGAGAAGAAAAGAGCGGGAAAAGCCCGCGCGGCTACTACGACGAAGAAAGTGCAGGCGAAAACGGAACCACTCGGCGGTGTTATCATAGCCAGCACTGTGATCAAGCGTTCGAGCAAGAAGACGCCGCTGCCGGGCCAAATGCGCATCGATTCCTTCTTCAAAAGCGCCACCAAGAACTACAAAGTCAATATGGTGCCCAAGTCATCCGCCAAGGCAGTGGATCCGCCAGTAGCCAAACGCAAGGGAACATCAAGGGGACGCAAGCGCCTGTTCGACGAGTCCACCACCACATCTACCGCGTCCGCAGATACTCTGGATCTCAAGCCTCCCGAAAAACGAGTTCAGCCTGGTCGCCGGGCGAAGGGCAAGGAGAACGCGAGCCTCTCCGAAGCGGAGGTGATTGACCTGTGCTCTGAGGACGAGCAAACCATCGAGGAGGAGCCTTTTGCGGAAGGCTCCCCCAGAGTAGAAAGGAGTCCAGAAAAGGCTTCCATCCCAAAAGCGAAGCTTAGCAGCGTAGAAGTCAAAGTCCCAGAAGCAAGGCCTAGTAGCCCAGCCAGCATGAAGACCTCCCCTGGCCTCCTACAACCACTACCTACAACCTCTTCCAACCCATCGCTGGATACAAACCCAAGGAACAGCCCCAAGCCCAGAAATTCCAAAAAAGGAATAAAAGGTTCTGGACGCAGACAAAAAAAACCAAAGCCATGCCCGCCCTACAAAGTCGTAGAGGGAACATCTTTCTGCGTAGACGGCTTTCAATTTGGCGAAGTAGATGGGGTCACACATTATTTCCTCACCCATTACCATGCGGATCACTACATCGGCCTTACCCAAAAGTTCTGCTATCCCCTCTACATGAGTCCCACAACTGCCCGCCTGGTGCGAACCTTTATCAAAGTAAACGAGATGTGCATCCATGAAATTGATGTGGACCAGACGGTGACGGTGGAAGATGTCCAAGTGACCGCCCTAGAAGCTAACCAGTAAGACCAAATGCATATTCTTTTTCCACTTAGCCATATTTCTGTTAATCCCTTTCAGCTGTCCCGGAGCTCTGATGTTTTTCTTCAAACTGAGCTCTGGCGAATGCATTCTCCACACTGGAGATTTTCGGGCTAGCGCTGAAATGGAATCCCTGCCAATCTTTTGGAACCACGCTAACATCGATCTGCTCTATCTGGACACAACCTACATGAACAAAAACTATGACTTTTGCCACCAAACAGAAAGCGTCGACCGAGCGATTGATTTGGTGCGCGCCTTTATAGAGAAAAATCCAGCCAAACGAATCCTTATCGTCTGCGGATCCTATGTGATAGGCAAGGAGAAGATCTGGCTGGCGCTGGCAAAAGAATTCGCAATGAGAGTCTGGACAGAGGCGCATCGCAGCATGGCAGCCAAGTGCCTGAATTGGCCGGATTTGGAATTGGTCCTAACTGACGATCCCCGTAAAGCAAGCTTGCACGTTGTCACCATGGGGAAAGTTAGCTATCCGGTAGGCCTCTGCATGTTTACTCTATAATTAGGTGATGTCTAGTCATCTGTAATGTCTGAATATTTAACATCTTAATTAGTTTACTATTAAAAACGTTTCCACAGTGTATTAAATCCTAATTGTTCGCCTTTTCGTTTCAGAGTCTGGTTGAGTACTTCAGTCTATTCGAGGACCAATACGACATGTTGCTGGGCATAAGGCCCAGCGGGTGGGAAAAGAACAGCAAGCCTTCGTACGGAAAGCGAATCAGCACTATCGGCATTGAGTACTCGGAACACTCTAGCTACAAGGAGTTGGAGCGGTTTGTTCGCTTCCTTAAGCCAAAGCGAGTCATTAGCACCGTTCCCGTTGGTCGTGATCTGTTTGTCACTGGAGAAGTGCCTACACAGTGGTATAAGTTTAAAGGCCCGGCATCTATGCTGAGTACAGGGTATCAGCCATCAATATCTACCTTTTTAGCCACGCCACATCGCGTTGTTCCACAAATGAGTTCAGAGACTACAATGTTCCTTAGCCCTCTGGAGGAGAAAGCTTCCAGTGGGGACGGGGGAGAAGATGACTGGAAAACGGCCGTGGCAGCGGATCATGTAACTATTTTATCCAGTACCTTGGAGCAGGACTTTCCCAATGGTTCTGAAATAGTTGTTAAAAATGAAGCTCTGCTACCAGACACGTGCCCGGATTCTCAAATAACTATTAGAAACGAAGCCCTGGAAACAGAAATGTCATATGATATTGCAATAGATGTAAAAGACGAAGCCCTAGAACCAAATCCTGCTAGTGAACCGGCTTTACTAGACATCTCTGACGAGAATGAATCCCATACTCTTGGGATAGCAAAAGAAAAAAGCGAGGAGCAAGTTCAAGCCGATGGCAGCCCCTGTAAAGCAGTTGTTAGTAGACTGACGTCCGATGCCTCCGACGATTGGCTTGTATAGTGATTTCCTTGATGCTCACCCGTTGTTTCATTGTTTAAGTTCTTAAAATTTAAGTACATCTGCTAGTTTTACGGTTTTTTGTTATTAAATAATAAGTTCAGGAAAGTATATGTTTCTTAAAGATCTGAAGTTTCTGTTCAACTGTTATAATAATAATAATTCTTTGATGTTAATATAAGGCTTGCCTTTGACATAAAAATAATATTATATTTACTATAAGTATGTTTGCTTGATATTTATATTTCCACAATATTTGGCTGCCCTCCTCGTTAAACTCAACTAGTTTGTTGTGCAGGAAAATCCGTACATTATAAAATAAATTAAGTTTTAGTTAAGGTAAGGAAACCATTAAAAATATGTTAATGCGAATAACAATAGGCATGTTTGATTTGAGTAATTCCGAATGCTAACGAATGTATATGAGTTTTGATTATTTCACTGATATGCGTTATGTAGAATAATAATTAAATAATAAAGAAAATAATCCGCTCGAGCGTTTGATTTGGAAATGACCTCACAGAACTCTTCATAATCTTTTTTCGATTTCATCTTATTTTATGCGTAAACAATTGACTATACAAACACTTGACAAACAAAAGATATTTTCTACATATACATAACCATGGTAAGTGTAAGCTAATCCATAAACACGTAAATAAAATAATTAAATAATTGCATATGACATTTGGGTCTTTTGGCCAAAAGAAAACTAAGATATACAACAGAATACATTTCTGGCTCCTCGCCGACAGCAACTGATTACGATTTGGAAATACACTAGACAACAACGAAGCGCATATACATGATGACGATGAGGCGGCAGGACCGGACTGCACGATTTGGTTTTTGGTGGGGTTAGCAGGGAATCCTCCATGGCTTAGCTGAAAGTAGAAAGGAGTTGATAAGTAAAGTAGCTATGGTATCGTTAACTATTTAATTTACCACCAAGAGAAGAAGGGGCTCTTGTTTTGGAAGCGCTGCGTAAATGAAAAGAATCGACTGCCGCTTGATCTGTAAAAGAAAGTTAACGTTTGAATAACTGCTCTTTGTTCTCTCTTTTACATGCTAATGCTTTTAGTTTTCAAAACAAAAAAAAAGTGTACATTTAATGGTAGATCAGAAGAAGTTAATAAGGATTTAGGCATTTCTGGCATAATAATAGTAGTAGATCACATGTGAACGAAAGAAAAACACCAAGTTTAAATTCACGGATCACTTACCTCTCTACAATCACGGCTGGCATCTGAACCAGTTGTACGGGCGACTTGCCATCCCTTAGGGCTTGGGTAAGATTGAGGATCTGACCTCGCATCACAGACATCTGGCGCTCAAACAGACGCTTGTCAAAGCCGCGATCCTGCTGGAACAGGTACAAAAGGTCCGTGCAGATCTCCTCGACAAAGTTCATGTCTGACAGCTGCGGCAGCACGTGTTCCTTGATTTCTTCGCTAAATGGAATTTTCGCCTGTGGCAACCAGGCCCAATGGTAGGGATAGGCTCGCCAAGAGTCCGGGTGCTTGAAGGGAAAAGCGAGGCCGTTGTCGATGGCAGCAATTCGAATAAAGGCCGAATTCACCACATTCCATTCGGGTTCAGAGGAAGGGGATCTCGAGGAGGGTTCATCCTCGCTGCTGGGCAGACTGCTGCTGTCATGCAGTCCATTCGTGGCTGCCCCACCATCGGTCTTTGGATGCCGACTTCCCTGCGGCTCATTTAGATTAACGAATTCCGAAACCCCTAAGGCATTGGGCAATTTGGGACGCACGACACCTTGCATAGTCCTGCCACCGGTGCCGCTCACCTGGCCCTTGATCTTGGGGGCAACGTACTTTATCAGCCAGTTGTCGTTCCCCCGGTCAGTGTTGCGAATGATGTAATCTAGGACGACAAGGCGCTCGAACTGCAGCTGAAAGGACTTGGCCACAGACGGCGGCAAAGGCTCGCTGTCAAAGCGCCGCAGCCAGTAGTCAGCATCCTTGTAGCCCTCCACGAAAAGCTGAAAGGAGCCAGTCTGCAGAAGAATCGTAGTTTTATTAATAAACACTGGATTTATATTCCAAGCTTGTTCACCTTTAGAGGAAGGCTCATTCGGTTAAAATGGGCCGATGGATAGTGCTCCTTGATGCGCTTCTTCAGTTTGGCCTTCTGGCGATCGATACGGGCATAATTAAAGCTCTCGGCCACCAGCCTGACCACTCGCGTCTTTGGAACCAAATTGAGATTAAGCTTTCGATCAACCAAGCTGGCGCCGGACTCGGACAGGTACCTGAAATGAAGACATTAGTATGGAAATAATAAATAGGTACACTTTAACTTACCCCTGATTGGGAATTAAACAAGCGCGGCCAAAACAACAAGGACAGCACAGCTTGTGCATCCATTTGGTCCACTTTGGATTCAGTCTGCCATAGGGTTCCTCATCCTTAGGCTTGAACACAGCCAGGCATTGCTTAAGAAAGAAAAAAATTACTTAAATCCAGCATAATACGTAAATGATATAAAACATTGTAGTTAGACTGTTTCAGGGATAAACCAAAAGTTCTGCAAAAACAACATAATTGTAGAACTTCCCCGAATTCCTGATTTATTTATCTTTGCGCAAATTGGTGAAAATAATATGAAATTTAGGTCTACAACTTCAAATCAAAACTTCTACCGTGCGCAAGAAGGCTAGAAGAAGTAGGCCATCGTAATCTACTTACATGGGAGGCATCCTTGACGAAATAGGAACCACTGCTACCCTGGTAAATGCGCTCGGGCAGCACACCATGTTCGATGGCTCCCTCTGCCTTCGCCACAATCTCCGAGAAAAGTGGATCATCTGTAAGAAAAGAATATAATATTCATTGAAATAAAAATGATTGGCGGAAAGGGTTAAAATTACTTATAAAGTTAGTGCGAAGGACAAAGATTCGCATGCCTCAAACAGCGCACTAGGACAGACTGTGAGTTTCTCAACCAAATTGGATAATTTCCTTTGGAACAGTAGACTTAATAATTTATTAATACACCAGTGGCAGTGCCTTTAATGAGTCGGCAGTGCTTGGCCAGCTGTCAGATAAAAATAACTATAACGAGCCTACACGAAAAGGGGCAAAAGACAGGCATACCTTACTTAAAGAAAAGAATGTTAAAAAAGCCATTAGTTCTATAACAGGTGTATCCCTAATATCAAATACTTTAAGTAATGCACATATGAATACACAATGTATTCTCATCTATGCCCCCTAAAACCGTATATCAACTCATCCTACTTTCTTATTCACTTTCAAAGCACAAAGATAACCCGAAACATATCCACGCTACCTATGAAGTCAAAGTTTTCGTTAAAATCGCCTTGCGAGTCCTGGCAAATGGTGAACACTTGCTGTATAAAGTTTTCGCGACTGCTGCTCGACAAGCGCGACATGGAGCCACAATTAAAGTGAGTGCCTCGGCGGCAGTCAAGAATCGTCGAGTCGGTTGGCAGTTGATAAAGGAGAAGCAGGTCACAATTAGCATAGCCAAAGCGTTTCGATAAGGGCCAACCACACTTACAGAAGTTCCTCAGCGGACAGTTGGCACAGTTGCAGGGCGGAGCCACAATTTTGACGGTGACTGTGTCTTTTGAATCGCGCGCCATCGATGGTGAGTTGACCAGGACAGGAGGATCGCCCTCCAACTCCGACTGGGTCTCCAGGTAGTCCTTGTCCAACTGGCACTTGCCCTCGCAGCAGATGCAGGCATAAGGCGCCGAGGCGGAAGCCACCGAGGACCTGCTTTCTAACGCATCCTTGCTCGTCGTGGGCTGCTCATCGTCATTCGGTTTGGAAGGAGTTGATTCTGCACTTGGTCCTGGGAATTGCTCTTCGCTGAGAACTATCTTGATGTTGGTTTTCGCCATGGGGCTATGTCCAATTGGCGACAGTTGCCAACAGAACAAGTTCCATCTTTGACCACACCTGCCTTGGAATTATGAAAACGCTCCAGCACCAAATTCAAACCAGGGCAACAAGGGACCACGATCACATCCAAGTGCACCAACATTTACAACACAAAATTTTTTGTTTTCGGTCGAAAGATACTGGGACTAATAGAAACCGCACAGCTATACACAATATTTTGAGTTTTGGGGCAATGACGATAAGAGTAGCGCACAACGGGGAATTTGTTTAGCTTTTAAAATGGGTACTCACACGACTAATCTAAACTTTTTGCATTTATCTAATTCCAAATTCCCACAAGAGTTCAAAGCTGCTCTTTAGAAACCACATTTTGAAATGCTTGCAAATAAATGAGATGCTCTTACTCATCACATGATGAAATGCAGTAGTGCGAATCATTTTAGTACACAGGTCACCGAGAATGAGTCTAACACGCGAGTCGAGTAACAGATTTAGTAATGCAAATTGCGTCAGCAAAACTTTAAACATCCTGTCCTGTCCGTCCTGTCATTCCCTGAACATTAAGACTTATAAATTAATTAATTGAAAAATGTACATATATAGATTTAAGATCTTGGCGTGGAAGTTTTTTTCTTAGTTTAATTTATATAAAATTGTCTTAAAATGCCTTTGGGGTATATTCATCTGATCGGAATGATTTTACAAATTAACTGTTACTTCAACGTGTTTGCTTAGACGTTACTAATTGCCAAATCCGTAATCTTTAGCCTTTGTATGTAATTTTTTGAGATAATTACGTTTAGAAAGCTGATGATGTATACTTTCTTCCACTTTTCCCCATCTTTTTAAAGGACACAATATACCCTCCATACTCTGTGGGTAACGGATATAAATTGTGTGTTGATTCAAACTTTATAAATAGGTATGGTTCCTAATATAACAAGAAAATTGAGTCAATTATGATCATTTATCTAAACTTTTGATTTTCTGATCTAGGCAAACATTCAGAGTGCAGACATAATGATTAAGCATAAGCTTCTGCTTCCAACTTGCTCTACTATTTTCATTGGGGGCCGTAAAAGTGATAAGCACATGAGTAAAGCCTCAAAGCAAACAAAGGAGCAATCTAGTTTTAGTATACAGGCTACACACTGTGTACCAGAAGGGATGGGGAACCCAGAGTTTGAAGCCGCACATATGGCCACTTGTATGACTTCGTTAGTCTGCTGCGCACTCACCGCCAAATGTGTTCGACACGAATTCCACATGATCGTGCCCGCGTCCAAGTCCGCCAAGCAGATCGCTGATGCGGCTTCCGTGGCTGGCACTGCCTCCTCCGAGGAGCGGCTGTGACTCCCGGTTGTCGCTGCCCGCGTCCGTGGACATGCCCTCGAAGTCGATTTCTGGCACCAGGCAGATGTCGTCGGCCTCGTCATGCGGGTGACGGGCGAGGGCGATGTGCGAAGTGGCTTTCAGCGGAGATGCCGATGTCGATGCAGATGTGGCTACCTTCGCGGATGCGATGTGACTAATGATCTGTGGCTGTTGGCCGTTGCTTTCGATGCTCTCGTCAGCGCGACCTTTGAATCTCTGGTTGCGCAAGTTCGAGCTCCTCCTGAGCAGCACTTCTTCCTCGCCATCTTCATCTTCGTCGTCGTCTGTTTGGTCGTCGTGGAGCATGACCAACTTATCCAGTTGCGGTTTCTGAGCTGCGGCATCGCCCCCGGCACTCTCCTCGCCTGGAGGCAGGCCGTTTGTGTGGTTCCTCTCCTCTGGCACCTCCTCCTCGTCCTCGTCGTCGTCGTCCACCGACAGTAGCATGGGTTCCCGTTCCCTTCTGCCTCGTCTCCGAGTCTTGCGTTTGCCCATGCCAATGGTATTGATCTGAGGAAAAAGAGAACACATCGAATTACAGAGGATTGTGGTGGAGAGCTGAGGGCACCCACCTCTACTTTGGTGGTCAACTGGTTGGTGGTCGACTCGAAGCCATTGAGGAGCGGGGCCAGCTGGCTGCCAGGCGGCGTTTGGTCCTTAACAAAGTCTCCGATGAGATCCACCTCGTCCTCCAGCTGAAGCAGCGGTGGGTCCGCCTGATCCCGTGCGCTGCTCATGGTCGAAGGGGGTGGCAGGCACGTGGAGGGTTGGGGTAGGAGAGGGTGGATCCGTGGTAGACAGAACAACAAAGACCCGCGCCCTGCTGCAGCTTCTTCTTGCGCTTCTATCTGTCACTTTTTGGGCGTCGCTTTTGCTATCTGTTATCTGCTCCTCCGCGCTTCCACCGCTCGCATGTTCCCGCACAATATGCTTCTATTATTCGGGCTGGAATTTGATTACATTACTTGTTAATTGCTTCACTTTTATGCTTGTATTTCATTTGGCAATTATCGATTTTTGGACTTGAGGGCTCTGCTCCTGCCAGAGTTCAATATGTTCTTTTCGAGGAACGCATCTGCCGACACCGAGGACCTCGAAAACACATAAAAACAACACTCACCAGGCACAATAATAAGTTACAAGCGAATTACGCGTTCGATTTAGTTTTGCCAAGAACACGAAGCGAAGCGAAAAATGGTTGGCAAACCAAACAGCTGACGAGTAGAATTCGCGGGGCTGCCCACTTGCGGGTTCTGTTCTCACCGAGTGGCAGGTCCGGCCATGAGAGCGCAGAAAACCTTAACCCCAGGATGCCAAAAATGTAAAATTAGCTACAAAGTTTCCTGAACAAATTCGAAAATTGCGCCGCCTAATAAGATTCTTCACCATAATCAAGTGGAATTATTCAAACAAAAGCCAATCCCACTTTTATGTTAGATTAATAAACCAAACCGAAATTAACAAAAATCATAATTCAAATTTAAAATTAAATAAAAGCCTTTTTAAAGTTTTTATGTGCTTATTAATAATTTTAGTCGTGGCAAATTCATTTTAGTTTTATTTTCATTCCAGCATCAAATCTTTGGGCGCCACAATGAGTGGAAAGGAATCTCAACTTTCTTGTGATCCTGAATAAAAAGATAATAGGGTCGGAAAAGACTCCTTATAGTTGGTTCATATCTTCCGGCGAATAAAATATAAAATATACAGTTATACAAATACTTTTGTGGAAAAGTTATGAGAAATTCGACTGTCCCCTTTTTTAGTTACATTTGTTCTAGGCGTTAATCAAGCAACTACATTTTTATGAGACGCGAATGTGGATATTAATGAATGCTGGTCCGGAATGGCATCCTGTACGCTTCTTACTGCCATAATTCAACTTAGGTGGGCAGCAAACTTATGGGTCTTATGGACCTCAACACTGTGGTTTGAAGTCTACTTTATTCTTAACATTGTATGGATTGTATGAAGGTGATTAATATTTAGTTTAGCAGTTCGCTCTGGCGCAGTTTGGCGATCCAATCCAGGGCTTCTCCAAGCTGCCGCTGCAGATTTGTGCTCTCCGCCACCAGCTCGATGCAATCCTTAAACTTGGAAACCGCATTGCGCAAACTCATCGGCGGCAGAACCCTGAAAGAAGGGGTATTTAACACAGTGACCCATTTATGAAGCTGTTATCAGTGCTTACGAGAACCAGTGGAGGGGCTCCACGAAGCCCTTGGACTTGTCCACGGACTGCCTCTCGATGGAGATACCATCTCCAGAGTCCACGACCCGGCAGAGGGCATTGAACTCGGCACTGTTCTCCGTGGGAATCTGCGCCGTGGACACGGAGTTACTGCCTCCGTGTTGGAATCGAGTACGGGCCAAGAGAATCGCCCCACTGGCGTTGCTGCGCTCCAGATTAACCCGGCACTGGGTGTGCTCCTCGACCAGGTGGAACATGTCGAGGTACAAGTCGTCCAGCAGTTGGCCAGCGGCCTCCTTTTCGGTTATTCCGGCGGTCATTGTAGGTGTTATTTATTTACCTCGCGACTGAGAATTTTCAGTCCAATCATATGATTCCACCAACAACCCTGTTCTCGACACTGCTTTGCGGCGAGTTGGCAGCCCCGCCGAAACCAATCGTTATCGCTGCCCTGCAAATTTCCAACCGAAACGAAACGGTCAAAAGATGAGTGTTTTTGTCGCGTGGACGTTTGAATCGCAATGAGTTGTAATTGTGGCCGCCACGAACATGTTTAATTAACAGGTAAACCCGCCAAACAGCCTGCAAACTGCACACTCTTGAGGAATCCGACTAACCAAAAGGGCAAACAGCTGTTGTTGTTTTCTAGTGTTAGGGGAGCGGGCGGGCGGGGGGTTACTTCGCTGTTTGTTTTACGATGCTGTCGCGAGATTAGAGAAAGTTTATAAAAAGCCCTGCAATTAGCATTTAGCGGCAGTCGGAAAGCAGCCCAGTGGAAAACACGTCGAGAGGAACAGCAACAAGTGGATGCCACAGAGCAAACAGTTCCAAAGTCAACTCAAATATATCCAAATCCGAGGAGATCGGGTGATAATGCCCGGCAGCTTAACGGCGGACTTACGTAGCCGCCGCCGCGAAAATCCAATCGACCGCAACGGCAATATCGGAAGTGTTGGCAAGGAGCAGGTGCGCCAGAAAGCCAATATTGTTTATGACGCCTAGCTTATTAAAACCATCGTGTGTGCATATGGCATCCTATACACTATGACCAATGCCATACGTAACCGCGTTTGATGACAAACATTGACGCAAAGCGTGGCCGAGTGTGCACAGAAAGAAAAATCAGTGGTGTAACAAGCTATTCGCTGTGTTAGAAATAAACATCAATACCGGACTTTAATTAAGCTAGAACAAATTCAAATTCTATGATAGTCACTAAACAACCTAAATCAAACATATTTTCAATATTTTTATTTATAATTGAATATAACAATATTTGCCAAATCAAAAAAATCACTAAATAACCAAAATCAAATATATTTGCAATATTTTTATTTATAATTGAATATATCAATATTTGACAAAACGAAAAAAGTAGCCCCTTTTTTTTCCGTGTGTACATATATCTAATCGTGAAAATCGGAGGTATTCACACCTTGCCCATTCCCTTGTCAAACTGAGGCGATTTGGCCAATCCACGCTATGGAATACTCTCTTTTTTATAGAACAAAAAATACAAATCACCGACTGATAAGCATTCGAACTTCGAAGTGAGTAAGTCGGGGACATCTGATTCCCGGAAGCACCGGAGATACGGCCTATTATTTAATTCAGCCAACAGCTGGCGTAGTTAAAGACCTCTTATGTTTACCCCACATATAAGTGCAACCATTAATGACTCGTCGTTTGCTTATCTCTTCAATCATTCAGGCGACAAGTACCGAACATAAGCTGACAACCGAATATTCCCAAAGGGCTGGCGAAATGCCGTCGGGCAAGGAAGGTCAAGAATCCAGGCGAACCCTCAGCGAGAGTTCCGCCGAGGACGTTGGACGCACAGGATCAAGGACCACCGCCGAAGGAATGTGGCGCAACGAGCTTCCCCTGAATGCGGACAGCAACTCCGCCCAACCCGAAAGGGGAGAGGAACGGATTCCCAGCTCCCCCAACTCCAGTATAAGGTTCAGCGATGCAGCGGATGTGGTACTCCGCGTCCTCCTCGTCATGACCTTCTTGTGAGTTGCTTTCGACAAATTCCATCTGCTGACGAATTCAATCTCTAATGCATGAGTCATCCCCGCAGCAAGCTGGAGACCATGACAGCTTTCAAGAGGGAAATCCACGAGGAGGAGCTCTGGCTGTACAAGAATCCCCGGAGACCGGACTACGTCAGGGGCGGAGAGCTGCTGTTCTGGGTGATTGTGGCTCCCTTCCTGGTCACCGTGGCCTTCTACTGGTTCACCAAGGACAGACGCGACTTCAGAGCCGCCAGCTGGGCCTGGACACTGGCTCTGTGCATGAACGGCATACCGACGAGCGTGCTGAAAATAACAGTAGGACGGCCCAGACCAGACTTCTTCTACCGCTGCTTCCCCGACGGCGTAATGGTCCTTAACACGACGTCGAGCAGTCTGGAGTTACAATCTTCCATCTTGGACTTTAACTGCACAGGGCTTCCTGGGGACATAAACGAGGGCCGCAAGAGCTTTCCCAGCGGACACTCATCGTGTAAGTGAAGGCAAAATACCTTTGTCTTAGAATGCCCAGAAAATAGCATTAACTCCTTGTTTCAGTCGCCTTTGCTAGTTTCGGCTTCATCGCCTACTACGTGGGCGCCAAGCTGCACGCGTTCGACATCCGGGGGCGTGGCCACACCTGGCGGCTGTGCATCGCAGTCATTCCCCTGCTGATTGCCCTCTTGGTGGCAGTCAGTCGCACATGCGACTACCACCACCACTGGCAAGATGTTACCATTGGCGGGCTGATTGGCCTGTTTGCGGGCTATATAAGCTACAGACAATACTATCCCTCCATATTTAGCGCGGATGCTGGCAAGCCGCTGATCCGGTGGAGCAAGACGGAGGGAAACCAATACAAGCGGCTAACAGGGAAGGAGAATGACGACGAGGGCGACGCGTTGCGGAGACCTCTTCTCGCGGGCAAGGAACAATCCAAATGGTACTAAAAGCTTTACATAATTTATAGTCAATTATTGCTGTCCCGTCTAAGCTCCTCTTAACTTAACAAGCCATTGCTGTATTTCCAATTTACAATCGTGCTGCTGGGTTACCTCTTAATGGGTAGGGTTAGTTAGTAGTTCCTCCAATAAAACATAGCGCGTCAATTGCTAAACATAAATTTATTGCTCATCTTTGGCAGCAACTTCCAAAACAAATTTGCTACTTCAAAGCGACCGAAACTAGCCTAAAGGTCAGCGGATGCATCCGCAGATTCAGTTCATGGAGTTGAACGCCTGCAGCAGCACCTGTTTCTCGCGCTCCTTTTTCTTGACCACGTCCAGGCTGCGCTGTCGCCAAGTGCTCTTGCGCAGTTTTATGGGGCGACTGCCCACATAGCGTCCGTCCATCTCCTTCATGGCCCGTATGAAGTCGGCGGGCTCGCGGAAGCTGACGAAACCGAATCCTTTGCTCTTTCCCGTCCGCTTGTCGCGCACCACACGAGCCCGTTGGAACGAAGGGAACTTGTTGAAGGTGCGGGTCAGCACCTCGTCGTTGACATCGTTGCCCAGGTCGCCGCAGAAGATGCGGAAGTCATCGTCGGGCCAGTCGGCCAGCGAGGAATCTTCCCATACGCTGCCACCTGCGATCCGCACGGTTTTGCGGTCCTTCTTCTTGCGCTCCGTTGTCTGGAAGGATTGCAGGGCCGAGGAGGCGCGAGCTGCCTTGATGGCCTCTTCGGCAATAGGATTGGGGCCGGACTTCTCCGCCTTGAGCTTCTTCAGCTTCTGCGTCACGTCGAAGGAGACGGCGTTGATGTCAATAGATGGTGCTGCGGCCACTGTGGGCACGTGTACTGACTGTCGACACTGGTACAGCTTGGGCGCACTGCTCAGGACCACGGGCGTGGCGGCGATCGGTTTGGAGCTGGAGGAAGAGCCGCCACCACTGCCCGTGGGCACGAAGGTGGACATGAAGGTAGGTGGCGGCGGGATAGGGGGCGGCGGCACGGTCAGTCGAGATCCCCCATTCCCCGGGTGGTGCTGCAACTTGTTCTGCACGTTGTGGTACGTGTTGGCGGCAATGATCGGACGCACTTGGTTGGGCACAAAGAGGTTGCGGGCGGGCGGCTTGGAGATCTCCGCCTCAAAGCGGGAGAGCTCGTCCTCGATGTTGCGCCGTTTTGAACCCATTTGTGAGGGGCTCGGATCTAAGCTTATTCAAAAATTCTCAAATCAAAACAAATTTTCACGAATAATGCTGCGGTTAGTAAATCAATTAATCGATAATTTGTATAATCGATTTTTGGTTGCTTTTACTGCAGTCTGTTCAGACAAGATCAAGATAACACAAAGGTTCACAGGAACCACAGTTGGAAAATGTAATTAAAATTAAATGTATTTTTTTTACCAATTAGTAAAAATTTGATAAAACAAAAAATTTAGTTTTATTGGCTTATCATATTTGCTGATTATTTTATCATTTGTGGAAAAGGGTAAAATGAGCGTTATTTTTGATGTAAAAAATTAAGAAACACAACGCTGATATAAATCAGCGGTCGACACACTCATACAATTACGTTTTGTTTTATATTTGTGTGAAATTTACTCACGGGGCAGCTCATCAGTGTGTGTGTACCGACCGCTGTTCTATAGTATACGTAAGAGGCAGAGAATGGGCAGAATAATTTCCAGTGCTCACACAGACCACTGGTATAAATTCAACTGTCAACAAGAAAGGAAGGTACCTTCGTCAGGCCGAAGTTTACAAACCCTTGCAGTTAAATAATTTTCCAGTTAGTACGCCATCCAAGTTTGGCGTACTTATTCAGCATCTTATTCAGCAATTGAGGAAACTACCATTAGGAGGGTTTCTTGAATTTTGTTGTCAAATTAATTTCTTTTTCCGATTGTTAGTTAGGCCTAGTACTCACTTGAATCGAAAAGCCTACGAAATGAAAATCTCCATACAAAGTTTTGATCACGAAATTTTCCGTCTGTAATTTTTGTATAGAAATTTTCGTTTCGTTGCCTTTTTGATTGAAGTGAGTACTAGGCTTTACTGTTAAATTTGATTAATAAGGTATGCATTTAATTCGATTTTAAAATAAATAATTCGAGCTGGTGATACTGAAGTGTTACAGATTTATAAATTTGTAAAATAAGGTTTTCAACGACAACTGAATTTGTATGTGACTGCTGAAACAGTTGACAAAAATTCAGCAATTTTGCTGCAAATTAGGGATGTCAAAAATATATCAAAATATCAATATATCGATATTTTTTACGAAAAAATAAATATTTTTATCGTGATATTTTTTTTCAATAATTATCATATATCATCGATTTTTTTTTCACATTTTTTTGATAATTTTAAGTGGTCTCACTTTTCATCGGGACAAGAATAAATACATATGTGAAAGATGAGCGCCGCTAAAATTTATTTTTCGGCAAGTGAAAATGCATAGCATAGCATTCAGAATTTAAGAAAAAAAAAGCGCTGGAAATAATTGACTTTAATATTATAAATAAAAGCAAAAGAAAGCCAAAATAAATATTGTTTTCTTTCATTTATTAAAATATATAAACTAAAAATTATAAAAATATAATTTAAGATCGTATGGGGGTTAATGTTTGGTGGATATTGCTTATGCAGCTTAAAAATTAAAAAAAAATATCAAAAATATCTGATATATAGATATTTTTTTTCTGATATATCAAATATCATTTTGATTTTTTGTTTAAATAAAAAATATCATCGATACGATATTTTTAAATATTTCGACATCCCTACTGCAAATGCGCCCTTTTCAAACATAGACGAACACTTGATGCAGCTGTTCACACAGGGACCGCGGTATGACCATAATTCGATTGTGGACAAAAGACAGTTTTTGGCCGACTTTGGAGTAGTATTTCGGAGTCACCCACACCAGAAATTGACTCACTTGAGAATAGCTGTTTTCTTTTCATAATACATAATAATTGAATTAAAATCTTTGGAAAGCCCTTAGCTGTGATAGCAACAAGTATCCCCAGCAAGCAAAGTGAATCGAGAAGCAATATTCCCCGCAGACACAGTCACAAGCCCACACACACACACTCCCAAACACAGTCGACGGGGACAACAACAATAAAAAAAAAGTGTGGAAAAGCCCTAAAACCAATAGTTTTCTCGTTTTATTTGAGAGCATTCGGACCCTGGAAAATGCCAACCAAGGAGCGCAACATAGCCATGATGGGCTACCGATCAGTGGGTGAGTCTCCGACCGAATTCCATCAGAGCCCGCAGACGTTGTTGCTGCTGGCACTTGTAATTGCGTAGTATTTTGACAACAGCAACAACTGCGAACAATTGCCCATAATAATTGCACTTCACCTGCAGGCAAATCGTCGCTCTGCATACAGTTCGTGGAAGGCCAGTTTGTGGACTCCTATGACCCCACCATCGAGAACAGTAAGTGCGCCATCCCATCCGGATTTCCCGGGAGCCAGAATAACACCATCGGAAGACGTAACGATGTGTAATTCCCATTCGCAGCCTTCACGAAGATCGAGCGTGTCAAATCGCAAGACTACATCGTGAAGCTAATCGACACGGCCGGCCAGGATGAGTACAGCATATTCCCAGTGCAATACAGCATGGACTACCACGGCTACGTCCTGGTCTACTCGATAACCAGCGAAAAGTCTTTTGAGGTGGTCAAGATTATCTACGAGAAGCTGCTGGATGTGATGGGCAAGAAATAGTAGGCATCCCCGAGGTCTCCGATCGCGAGTTCAGCTAATTTTCATTGCCTTGCAGTGTACCTGTGGTGTTGGTGGGCAACAAGACCGATCTGCACCAGGAACGAACCGTTTCCACGGAGGAGGGCAAGAAGCTGGCCGAGTCCTGGCGAGCAGCATTTCTCGAAACGTCCGCCAAACAGAACGAGGCAAGTACCAGGACCCTTCCAATTGGGTGAATGCTACATAACAATTTCCTCCGCAGTCCGTTGGAGATATATTCCATCAGCTACTGACCCTGATCGAGAACGAGAACGGCAATCCCCAGGAGAAGAGCAGTTGCCTTGTATCGTAGAGCGCCTGGCCAGCTAGAACTACGGCCGAACTGTTGGGAATACGGCGAATCGCTATGGCAATACGAAAATCGATTATCTCTTATCTACACAGTTGGGCCAGCGTGCACTGGCGGGGGCAGGCCGTGCCCCTTGTGCGCAGCAGGAAAATCTAAAAACCTAATAGACCTAATAGCTTTAAGTCCACACAGCAAGTAACCAACATCGAGCGACTTAGATGCGTCCGCTAACGCTGCCCAGCAGGTTTTGTGGTTCGCGTTTAGCGCAACACAACAGGTTTAAGTTAGTACACTTTTTCACAACAACAATTCAGTTACAAATTTCCTATACAAATTCTACCAACATTTTGTTTTTAGTTTCAATTTAAATATAATTTTTCCAAGTACTATGCAAGTGGTTTTTTTATTAAGGATGAAACTCGTTTTGAGGAACCAATTCCCTATTTCCTGGATTTTTTCAGTGGTGTGAATAAACATGAATAATGTTTGCTGCATTTTATTAAAATATAGTTTGTGAGTATCCATATTTACAGAGTTTCGCATTACTGCAATAAAAATACTGTTTTTTTTATTTAAGTAAATTAAAAAGGGCAAAAAAATGACAATTTTTAGAAAAATAACGGAATAACTTTTTTGTTGCATATTAAGTAAGTAATTTCATTCCTGTGCTTCGGATTTAAAGAACATTCGAGGCAACTGTATCATAGAAATTAGGGCCCTGCTTAAATCAACATTTTATTTATAATTCTAAATATTCCAGACCCTTATGTCAACTGCATACATGTTTAGAATCATCTCGGTATGATTGGAAACATTCTAAGGGGAGGGTAGCTCTTATAGAATAGGAGTTTAATTTTGTCTAAAAGTGCTTTAATGGAAAATTACCTGTAACAGCTTATATTTATAATAATAGCAATCTAGTTTCGATTTTAAAAATCAGGTTAATCTAACCAAGAACTCGCAACTAATTTCGGTCAAAGGTCACTAGTAAAAAACATAATGTGCTTCTGTTAACGCTATCAATAAATGCGAGTCCTAAGAGATAGAGACCCCGACAACTGTTGTTTTCAAATTATGAATTCATTTTAAAATCATAATTTTTAGTATTAGTAGTTTAAAATGTAAAAATGTCATTAATATTACTGATATTTTTATCGCAAACGAATTTGTTGTGTGGTTTAAGTTGATTTTTATACCCGTTACTCGTAGAGTAAAAGGGTATACTGTATTCGTGCAAAAGTATGTAACAGCTAAAAGGAAGCATTTCTGACCCTATAAAGAATATATATTCTTGATCAGGGTCACTAGCCGAGTCGATATAGCCATGTCCGTCTGTCTGTCTGTCCGTATGAACGCTAAGATCTCGGAAACTGTAAAAGCTAGAAGATTAAAATTTTGCATGCAGATTCTAGGAGTTCCTACGCAGCGCAAGTTTGTTTCAAAAGGGTGCCACGCCCCCTCTAACGACGATTTTAAAAATTTCATTATTTCGGAAAAGTAAAAATGCAGTTTTATTGTGTTCATCAATACCTATCGAAATGTAGAAGAAATTTTTTAAATCGGACCATTCGTTAAAAAGTTACGGCGTATAAAAGTTTTTATCTCCATCTCCCTCGCACTCCCTTTAGCTGCGTAACGGGTATCTGATAGTCGGGGCACCCGACTATAGCGTTCTCTCTTGTTTTATTTTTGCTAAAATTTACAGTTAAGTAGATAGTAAATGCAAAGTGAAGATCTCGACGAAATAAATCAAAATACCATTCCCTTAAAGTTAACAGAAGTGTTAGCAGAGTTCCCTGATCAGGGGTTTTACCCTAGATTTAGGGGATTTTTGGCGTGCTAGGGGGGAGAAATTTTTAGGGGGAAAGCTTATGGGTTTTTTCCGGAAATTTTATTACCCAAATGTTTGGAAAAAACACTAAATATTGTTACTTCCTAAAACATTTCTAACTATATAAAAAAAAAATTCTTCACATGACTCTTCAATCGAGTACACAGATTCTTCCAATCTTAACATATCTACTACAATATTGAGATATTTCTAATTTATTGTACATGTTCAAAACTAACTGATTTTTTTAATTTAGGGGGAAAACTGAATTTTTTAGGGGTAAAGCTGAATTTTCATCTGGCAACACTGGGAATCAGCTGCAAAAACCCACCACGAGAAAACGAAACACACCACAAGGCGAGTTAAAATTGGACAGAGAGTTAAATGTTTTTCGATTTTCAAACAGTGAACTTGTGCGGTGCGTGAAAATTCAATTCGTTCATCATTTAAATCGCGTGAGATTGTAGCTGTTTAACGGTAATTTACCAAAAGAGAGCAGTGCGGACTTAATTCGTTGATGTTCCCGATGCAGAAGAAAAGCGAATGGGTTTTTCTCTATTTTCTGTATTGCAATTGTTTTTCTGGCCGAGTCTAGGTGTGTGTGTGTTGTATGTGTATACTGGTGCGCAATGCGTGGGTATTTTCTCAGCTTTTCATTCTATTTTCAAATTTTATTGGTCCCGAACATTGGGATTCTTACGTGTACATATGTACCTTTATGCTTGGCCGTTAATTTGAAATTTCTCCAACGCTGTAAACAGCATTCGCGAGTGCGTTTTGATTGAATGACGGCATTTCTCAGCCCCAATATGGATGGGCAGGTGCACTATGTGGATATGTTTGTACAACTGCATTTACCAACCCGCTAATCAGGTGCAATGTACACATCTCCGTCGCCGTCGTAGAGTCCGATTCCGAATGGGTGGTACAGGCTTTTCTTGTTGCTTCCTTTCCGGGCCACAGCCTTTTATCGATTTAATAACAAACGAGGAGCCGAGTCGTTGGACTCTGCAAACCGGCAATCGCATAACCACGATGTCTATTGTCTGACGGAGATGGCCCGCGGGGAATTGAATTTATTGACGTACCAAGCCGTACTTATAAATAAATATATATATGTACAATGCTCACATGGGCGCCGCTGTTTGAGGTCAGGATTTGATTTCTAAGTTCATCAAACTGGCCCGCGATAAGTGCTGCACGTTTGTCAATAATACCAGGCCCCCAAGTGTTCCTGGAACTACGAAACCAGGCTCTGGCCATCTGGAGGATGGGCCCATGACTATGACTGATAAGATAAGTCAAGATTTTATAGCGGGCATAAAAACCTCGCAAGTGAATAAAACCTGACGATGGTGGTATCAAGGGTGCTATCAACACACGGAAAAAAATTAATATGATATTTAATTTAATTATTACATGCCAGATTTATTTATTATGTAAAAAGTATTACTAGTAAATAATAGTAAATAAAACAATGCAAATAAGAGAAGATTTTTTTAAATGTGATCCGAAAATTTGGATTTAATATAACTTCAGTACAAACTTCAATAGTTTGGAATTCCTGAAATCTGGTTATTGAATATAGTTACATAAAAAAAACTATAATGGTTCGGCTATCCGAAAAAAGAAATGGCTAAATTTTCCCTAAGGAGGGAAAAATGTTGACAAATTTTAAGGAGAAGGAGCAAGATGTCTGAGAATTGGTGTCTTTAAACTCGGTTTTTAAATGGTTTGTAACTATCAAGTCACAAATTCATATTTCAAAGTGGGCACAATTAATATTATTGCATTCATCATCTAGGTGGCCTAGGAGTCATGTCAGAGTACTTAATTGGTACAGCAAGTGTCAGTGACTGATGCAAAATTGCATCTATTTAATAGACAGCCGGCTTACGGCCACCACTGAATAAAATAAAGGCGGGTACAAAAATATTCGTAGGCATTTTTGCAAATTAAAGAGCACTAGCGACCTACAGAGAATAAGCTGTGTACATTTTCCCCTACATTAATACGCCTGCATTAATTGCATTACACATGTATGTACCTACAAACCCACTTGTCTGAAATATATATACAGCCGTACGTTCCGCGAGTGTACATATGTATGTTATACATGCTAGCAGATAATCTAGTTCATTGCATCCAAACACATGCACTGGCGGAGGGGCTCTTTCTGTTTGGGATGTGCGCCACCAAAGGGGAAAGTGCTCACTTATCCAATATTGCCGGCTCCCAGTCCAAATTGAATAAATGAAATGTAGCCATCGTCAAACACGTTTGCAGACGCACAGTTGCGGTAAAAGCTATAGTGGCCAATAGGTAAATCATTTCGAATAATGTCAAATACACTCGGAAAACTCCATCCTGGATTGGAAAAATCATCTTTTTTTTTAAGAAGAAAGAGGCCACTTTTTCCTAATGTTCTTGCTCTTACGATACATAACTTATTTTGTGTAATATTCCTAATTTTGTCACACTTTTAGTTTTCATAACTGTACTATTCGCTTGGGACAAAAATATAAATGGGTTTTGCGGAAGTCCATCCTAGCGAATTCTGCTAAAATACTTAAATGATATTTAAGTTCAACAAATTTTCATACATTTAAAAAATAAAAAATAACTACCATTTATTGGTAGGTTTACTATTAAAACTACTTAGCCGATATTCAAATTTCTTAGTTAAGCTGAGGATCAAACTAATTAGAAGCTAATATCGAAACGAAAGCTTCTTGGCCTGAGGGGCTTTTTCGGAAATATTTAAATGATATTTAAGTTCAACAAATTTTCATATATTTAAAAAATAAAAAATAACTACCATTTATTGGTAGGTTTAATATTAAAATTACTTAGCCGATATTTAAATTTCTTAGTTTAGCTGAGGATCAAACTTATTAGAAACTAATATCAAGACGAAAGCTTTTTAGCTTGGGAGCCTTTTTCGTGGAAATGCTCACATACAATTTAGGAACGAGTGTTTTTCAAACTTGTTTGTGGTTTTCATAAATTTTAAATTGGCGAGTAATGATACAAATTCAGCCCGTAGAAAACCCTTTGCTGACACATTTTTAGAAGCAATAATAATAAAACAAATCACTTTAGCCCACATATCTCCCGTGAGGTTCTGTCCCATTGGCCGCAGCCGGAGGAGCACCACAACAAACGCTTTCCGCACCGCCCTGACTTACTCTCTTTTTTCAGTTTGTTGTGCCCGTGTGGCACAATTTGAACTTAGCGGCTTTGGGGCCATCGTCAATGCCATTCTCGAGCCACTGTGACTGTAGTGGTTCCGCATCCGATGTGAGAGAGTGTGTGACGAGGGCGTAGTACATCGCATTGGCACTCATCGCCAAACACACACAACATACAACATAATACATAATACTTGAGAGGGTCTCCGGAGGCGGGGAGGCAGCCAGCCAACCAAGAGGTCGATGTCCGCTGGCCTGCTTGGCTGACTGGGCTATAACTGCAGACGTCGGAAGAGGTGGCCCTTGTGATGGCTTAGGCGCAACATTAATATTCTGCCTGCCATGCAGTTACCGTATTGCGTTGGGTTCGCCGTCTGCCGGCGGAACAAAACACTTGCCGAGTGGAGGAACCAATCTGCTGAAAAGACAAACGAGCTGCCATGTCATTTGTGTCGCTGCACTGTGGGTCACAGCATCGTCAACCCTTCCAAAAGATCTCGTAACACCCCGCAGCATAAATACTTGTCGATTGCGAGTGCATACACTCGAAACATATTAAACTTTTGAGTTCTCTTGTCGTTTAAAAAGGAGCATGTATACAGAAAATGTGGAGAATACATTTTGTAACATTGGGGGAGATAATTTGTGATATGTATGGTTGATTACAAATAAATTATGATTATGCATGGGAAATTATTTAGCTTTAGTTACTGGATAAATATTTGTAATCTTTATACCCGTTACTCGTAGAGTAAAAGGGTATACTAGATTCGTGCAAAAGTATGTAACAGCTAGAAGGAAGCGTTTCCGACCCCATAAAGTATATATATTCTTGATCAGGGTCACTAGCCGAGTCGATCTAGCCATGTCCGTCTGTCCGTCTGTCCGTCTGTCCGTCTGTCCGTCTGTCCGTCTGTATGAACGCTGAGATCTCAGAAACTACAAAAGCTAGAAGGTTGAGATTTCCCACACATATTCTTTGGCTTCCTACGCAGCGCAAGTTTATTTTAGCCGAGCGCCACGCCCCCTCTAACGCCCACAATCGCCCACTAACGATTTTAAAATGGGTCCTGCGCCCACATCTTTAAAGATTTCCGAGAAGTATAAATGCAATTTTGTTGTGTATATTTATACCTATCGAAATGTAGAAGACATTTTTCAAATCGGACCATTCATTAAAAAGTTATACGATTTATAAATTGTCAACATATATCTATCTCCCTCGCACTCCCTTTAGCTGAGTTACGATTATTAGTCGGGACACCAACCCGACACAGCGTTCGCACTCCCTTTAGCGGAGTGACGGGTATTAGATAGTCGGGACACCAACCCGACTATAGCGTTCTCTCTTGTTTTAATTGATATCATCTGTAATAAAACCTAACTTACTGACGAGTACTGAAACCCACCGTAATTGGAATATTCTAGTTTTCTAAGTTAAAAATTATGATTTTACTCGAAATTCAATGGTTTTTTGAGTGCATTAGGTTAAGTTCAGATTGCGCAGCTTAATGTACGGCACGTGTCTGGAGCTGTCCTAAAGCGATGCCTCTGATGACTCATAGGCCACCACAAAAGGCCCAACAACCCCAAGCGAACGAATGAATGAAAAACGCCAGCTCGCGTGTCTGTGTGTGGGAAATGGGGAAATCCTCCCCAGTCTAGTCTAACATTCACTCACAGCACTCGTTTAATTGCAGACTCTCGCCATGTCGACTAGCCCGAAACCGGTTAAGAAGGTGCCGATTCACTTGCAGAGCGCCCAGAATCGTGTCTACATAAAAAATGGCAAGCTTATCAACCGACACCGTGTGAGAAAGACAAGTAAAACCATTGATTATTACAGGCGAGATCGTCAACCATGATAAATCGTTTAAAGCGGACGTTTACATCGAGGACGGAGTTATCAAGTAAGTGCAATGCGTTTAAGAAAGAATCGCTAAATGGCCCATCTAAAGGAAGAACCAACTTTTTAATGATAATTATAATCGGATTAGTCTCCAATTTGTTACATTATTCGAGAACGTAAAATATATTATTAAGTACTAACTTCCTTCAGGGGCGTTGTTGCCGCTTTGCCTGTTGAGACTCATAATTCATACCAAACCGGAGATTCTCGATGATGGCTCGATTTTTCGGTATTCTTATGAAAATAGTTAATCTTACAAACCAACGGAACTTAGTTTAGTGCTATGAACTCTATCTTTATTTTCATTGCCATTCTCGGCTAATAATATCCTTCAAACTAAAACCAAACCTAGAAGTACCAGCCATCCAAAACTCTTTCTTGCATAAGCTAAATTTCTTTAAGGGCCACAAAATTTACTCAATCCCTTACTTAACCAGTATTAGAGAAATTTCACCCCGTGCATCTTTTAAGGTTTGTGGGACCCTCCTCAGAAATTACGATACCGGGAGGAGTTCGGACCATCGACGCCAGCGGTCTGATGATCATTCCCGGAGGCATCGATCCACACACCCACATGCAACTGCCCTTCGGAGGAGCTGTGGCCGTGGATGATTTCTACCATGGAACCAAGGCTGCCGTTGCAGGTGGCACCACCATGATAAGTAAGCAGTGGGATTTCAATATTTAGGTAATGGACTTACAACTGTCACTTTCCCTAGTCGATTTCGTTCTGCCCAACAAACACGAGTCGATGATCGAGGCCTACGACAAGTGGCGAAGCTGGGCCGATCCTAAGGTAAAAATAAAATGTTTATAATAAAATGTTTTATTACTAACCTATAAATTATATAAGATACAAGCTATCGTTTTCGTTTCAATTCGAAACCGATTGTCTTTCACATAAATATATTCCGTATTCGTATTTAAGGATCAAGTCTGAAGATTAGTCAATTGACCCTTCTAATTCGTAACTATATGTAAATGAATACATTTTTTAGGTTTGTTGTGACTACGGATTGCATGTGGGTATCACCTGGTGGTCCAAGTCGGTGTCTGAAGAGATTGGCATTCTGTGCAAAGAGCTTGGAGTAAACTCCTTTAAAACATTTATGGCTTACAAAGGACTATATCAGGTAAGGTCTTTAAAATCTAGTACAATACTTTAATAATCTATAATTTTATTCGCCTTTTAGCTGAACGATTCGGACCTTTTGGATGTGTTTGAGCGCATAAGGCATTTGAATGGTGTCGCCATGGTAAGAATACGTGAATATTTATTAAAATAGATCACTATTTAACCCACTTGTGGCACAGGTACACGCGGAAAACGGGGATATCATTGCAAAGAACACGCAGCGGCTGCTGGCCGAGGGCATCAATGGGCCGGAGGGTCACGAGCTGTCGCGACCCGAGGAGGTCGAGGCCGAGGCGGTGCACCGCGCATGTGTACTGGCCCACCAGGTAAGACCACTCCCAAGTCGCTAGTTAACTAGGAGGGACGGAGGAGGAGGAGGAGGAGGCGGTGTATGTCCTTGCCGGTGGAGTGCCAGTCACTGTACCGAGCTGTAATTATGGTTTATTTATGTTACACATTTTGATTTCTTATTATTTCCATTGTGTATGATGCACCTTGTACATATTATGCGGTATGCGGCACTCGATATAACCCCACAATAAACGTATGTACATTAGGCCGATTGTCCGCTCTACGTGGTCCACGTGATGAGCAAGTCGGCGGGCATTGAGCTGGCCAGGGCCCGCCACCGATACCGGGGGCGGTACATCATGGGCGAGACCCTGGCCGCGGCGCTGGGCACGGATGCGACCTGTTGCCAGCACCTGGGCTTCGATCACGAGGCCGCGCATGTGCTCAGTCCGCCCTTGCGGCCCGACAAGACGACCCCCGAGTTCTTGATGAAGCTGCTGGCGAAGTAAGTTGTGCCTGGGTTCACACTCCGGGCCGGGACCGTAAATATCAGAGGGCAATATGTTCCATGTGATAAATTTACTGGGGATATTTCAGTTATATCCTTCTTGATTTTATTCTTGATGGTAATATTCGACTATTACTTGTTTTTAATAGAGACTAGCACAAGTAATTTAAAACTCCTTTGTTTTGTGCACTTTACAATTTAAAAATAAAATCAATTTAAAAAAAAAATAAAAACCACTATTGAACAGAATAAGAACACACATAAAGCAACTTGAAAATTTGAATTTTAGAAGGCTAAAGAACAAATTATTGGTTGCCCTTGTATGTCAACGTGATGACAACCACTTGTGCAGGTCTCTAAACCATAAAATATTTAAGATTGTCCCAATGACTCATCAAAGGAATTTCCCTAAATTAAAATTCACTTGAACTTGTAATGATTACGGTCTCTGGTCCTGGGATTACTTATCTATGTTGACGCTGGTTAATCTGCATACTAACCGGGCCTGTGCTTTGCCTGCTTTAATCATATCCACTAACTAACTAACTGCGCTCTTTTTCGATCTAACCCACTAATCCGATGACGTTTCCATATTTGTCATTGCTTCACTCACACGCTCACACATCGTCCAGATGAAGACCCCGCTCTTTGTGTCCGGCCTGACCAGCAAATCCTCCGCGGAGCTCGTGGGTCGCGCCCGTCGCAGTGGCTACTGCGTCTTCGGGGAGACTCTGGCCAGTTCCCTGGGTCGCTCCATGAGCGGTGTGCCCAAGGGCGACCGCATTTACGCAATCACCAGTCCCCCGATCCGCGAATCCGCCGAGACACCCAGGCAGCTGATGAAGTCCCTGGCCTAGTAAGTACTCTTCTGTCGTAGGTGGAATCAAAGACAATTGGGATGGAAAATATTTATCTGTATCTGTGTAATTTATATGTAATCTTGACAAGGAGTCGATCTAGTCATGTCCGTCTGTCTGTCTGTCTGCCCGTATGAACGCTGAGATCTCGGAAACTACAAAAGCTATAAAGTTGGGATTAACCGTAAATATTCTAGGGCTTTCTACGGATCGTTAGTTTGTTTCAGCCACGCCCACTCTAACGCCCACAGTCGACTAAAACGACCTTAAAATGTGTCCACATTAAAGATCTCGGATCGTATCTGACTTCATAAGGAGTAATACTTGTTTCCCTTAAGACAAGAAAGACTCTTCTCCGATTGCGGATAAGCTAAATAATTCGCGCCTTACATTTACATATATTAACTATATAATAAGCACAGGCTTATTAAATGAATTTTAATTCAAATGCATTTATAACTTAAAACTCCTGAACGGTCAACTTATTAAGCTAGCCTAAAGTAACTTTGATTCCACGTGTTCACATTTCTAGAAGTAAGTATCCAAAAATCAGAACATGTTTGTTGCATTTCCCACCCTGCGGTGATTGTTTGTTTCGTTTCTTTTAACCGACGACCAAAAAGTGTTAATTGTATATACTCACATTATTAATTGTGTCCTTAGTGACGACCTGCAGCTGACTGGCAGCGACAACTGCACCTTCAACAAGGAACACAAGGCTTTGGGCAAAGGCGACTTTACAAAGATTCCCAACGGAGTCAACGGAGTGGAGGATCGCATGTCGCTGGTCTGGGAGAAGGGCGTCCACGCCGGGCTCCTCGATCCATGCCGCTTTGTGGCCGTGACCAGCACGAATGCGGCCAAGATATTCAACATTTATCCCCAGAAGGGACGTATTGGTAAGTGATATGAGTCAAGGGGGATTTAAAATTCATATTCAAAGTTGGTAAAGGGCATATTCATAGTCACATTAATATATTTCTCGATAATGCCACACAATTACACAAAACATTATCATCATCATCATTAATCTGATTTTAATACAATCCATAATCACTCAACAAGAAGCAATATCCTTACAAATGCTTTTAGGGGGCTTTGGCTTCTCGAAGTCAGCTACCAAAGTTAATTCTAAAGTTAACTTATTTCTTAAATCTAAAATAGGTGATTTTGTCCAAAGATTACATTTAACTGATCCTCATCCTTCTTCGTTTAGCTGTTGGATCGGATGCGGACATCGTGATCTGGAATCCGAATGCCACCCGTACCATTTCGAAGGACACGCACCACCACGCCTGTGACTTCAATATTTTCGAGGGCATGACTGTGCACGGCGTCTGCGAGTTTGTCCTGGTGCGCGGACGGATCTGCGCCGAGCGCGGGAACGTGCGAGTAGCGGAAGGCTTCGGACGGTTCATTCCCACACCTGTCCGACCGCCGTTCGTCTATGACATCATCGAGGGCAAGGTACAGTCGCCGCCGGAGGAGCAGCACGAGGAGAAACAGAACGGCAACATGGCGAAGCGGTTTGCCGAGTTGGATATTCAAATCCCGGTACAGGAGCCAATAAGCGTCATGTTGGCCGGCAACCTGGCCATGCCGGCGGAAGGATCACTGTGCAGCACGCCTTCAGTGCGGGGACGCGTCGACGGCAAGCGGGACTTGCAGGAGTCTTCCTTCTCCATAAGCGGTAAGTTAACTGGTAGACGTTTTTTCATACCCGTTACTAGTAAAGTAAGAGGCAATATACATAAAATTTCATTCGTGAAATCTGCAAGGGTATTAAAACTTCAGTTTTCCGATATAAGCTTCCGTCTTCGTTTTTTAATGTCTGTCCGCACCAAAACTAAATATATTTATGTACATTGTACACATTTTCCGAGGCTTCACAGAAATCTTTTCCAACACAAGTAGGAAATAATTCGTGTGTACCTACGGTTTGATTGCCACCAAAAATGGTTGAAGGATATTCCTGTGACACCTTGGCTAAAAACTAACTTTTGGCAAATAGAGAATTATCCCATATGCATAAAATCACCAAATCGTCATCAATAAATCTATAAATAAATTTAAACAAATATTTAATGTTTAAAAAACTTTACAGAGGAATTAGACAGGTCTGGCGTTCGAGCGTGCATTAAAGTGAAAAACCCACCTGGCGGAAAGTCTTCCGGATTCTGGTAGACCACAGATCTTAATTTGTGTGGATGCGGAATCGCACAATCTTTAAGGACAGTGTAAGCCAAAGTCTGCGCTTATTCAATAACTAAACTGGCATTTAATATAAAACCCTAAAACAAAATCGTAATCTAACCAAATTTCAAAATAAGTAATTACGAGTATAGCCACAAACCTAAAAAGAAAGAATCATACAATCTGCTTCGTCATAAAATATTTAGAACCGATTGCCTCATGTTGATACAAGTTTTGTTAAATTCTTTAACTTTGTAGCCTATAAGCAAGTCTTGAATTGAGGACTATGAAAATCAAAGAAATTTGCGGACTTAGGTATTTTTTGTTGAACAGTTTACTTTTAAATACTTCATTATTTACATGGAGACTTAGCACAATTTTTTGTACTCTTGAAAGCTAATAGGCAATCCAAGCAAAATCAAAAGGTCCGAACGATTAATAATTGAGTTAAATGCATAATAATTATAATTGTTTATTGATATCCCGCTTTGAAGTAGAGTAATTTGGTCATGCCAAGTGAGACAAGTTTGTGAGCAAATACGGCATTTCTAAAATTAGATACTTCAATCATATTTTGAAAAATTATAAATGTGCAGAACTATTTATTATAAACACATACTTTATATACATATATTTAATAACAAAAGCAGAACACAAAGATCAAACTAATAAACTTTACCAACAAAAATGTAATTTCGTGTTTTAATATCCAACCAAACCCATATCCTCAAAGAACGATTGTGTGGTAAAAAAACAACCAAAATCGCATATAAATATAATATTAATATTTTAATAATGGGAGGGCTTGAAACAAATAAATTATTAATGAGATAAAGGACAAGACCAATTAAGACAACATATTTGGATTAGTTAATGATCGCTTTTATTTTTATTTATATGATATTTACAAAACGATTTAGCACAATTTGTATTTATATATTGTTAGCAGTTGTGTTGCAATGCAAACACTCTTTCTCTTTATTCAAAAGTTATGACTGACAGACTATGCAAAATCAAGTGCCTAATAGATGAACTGCATAACTGGCCATGCAGTAATTCATATGAATACATAATTACAATTGTTTGATAACAATCTTCGTTCAAGAAAAATACTCGACTGCATGAACGACATTCACGGGAATTTTCTATGCCTTATTCAATGCAAGCCCATGTATTCAGGCTACCAATAAATTTTTACCAGATGTGTTTTAATTTAAATATTTAAATTATCAGAGGTAAAATACAATTTTGTTTTGCCTTCACTTAACTACTTACAATTGGTTAATGCTCATGCAAAACAGTTATATTATTATTACAGGTGTCGTACAAATAAACAATCTAATGAACTAGTCTTGATATAAATAAAGTGTTTTTGTAGTGCTTTGGGTAACCGAAAATTAGGTGGCAATCTTGCTACTGCTTATAATTTAAAATTCTTCACTTCTGTGTTTTGCTTATGGTCTAAAATCATTCGTAAGGTGACCTAAAATTGACTTAACAACTAAATTCCAATAGTAAATGACAGTTTATGAGTTTTCCATTTATTTTCCCTTAGATTTGCGATGGTGTCTGGTAAATATTGTTGTTTTCAATTGATGGTAGATTGTAGGAATGCATGCGACCGCAAAGTTCTTTATACTTTTCTACCCAATGCTATAAATAGAAAAATATTTTATTTGTTTGTCCAAACTAGCGGTTATGAATTGGAACTTACTGCCAGATCCTATGCGATCGCTTGCTCGCTTAAAGTTTTTTTAAATAGGCGGCACATTTAACCGCACTGCTAACTTGTCCTGTATTAAGGAGGCTCAACTTCTTGTGCTTTGCTCGGAATTTCCGTACATAGGCGTCTATAAGATTTTTAATCTTGTGTGGATTAATTTCACCAGACCGACTGTGGCAGATCTGATAAAATAAAATAATATAATTGTTATTCAATACAATTTTTGGTAAAAAAATAAATAATTAGACGTGTTATTTGACGCGATTAGAATATGTAAACTTATGAATCATGGCACTCACCTTGGGCACAGCTCTCCGCATGATGTCCTTGTAGTCATCCTTAGTAATCGCTTTTTTGTTAAAGTAGGGCTTCAACACCAATTTAACCTCCTCAACGACACGTTCTTGTCGATTTAACTTGCGTAGCAGCTGCAAAGCAAATACAAAATAATATTTTTTCTGTTTAACCTTATGCTTTTGAAATTGACTCACTCTATCCTTATTTTGTAGATCCGTTGCCGAATTCGGCACATCGTCATATACATCAGGATTCCTTGCACCTGAAATTAAAAAAAATTCAAATGTATTATACAGGTTTACTATACTTGAAATGAATGAACTGGCTTGTAAATTATGGCCAGCCCAACTTACCTTTTAATTTTGATTTTCGGTCGCCTTTGCTGCGATGCGACTTCTTGCCCGCTGCTGTGTTGTATCGCGACGACATCCGAGTGTTGCCCACGGGCGAACTGCTTCCAAATAGGTTATCGAAAATCTCCACCTTGCCCCCGGCTGCTCCACCCTTCGCTCTCCTGCTGCTGCCCTCCATTAAATTGGGTGGCTCGAACAGATCATCATAATCCGCCGAGTCTGGCGAGTAGGGGCTCTCCAAGGAGTCGTCTAGAGCGTTGGCGGATCCTCCGGCATTCCCGATGCCGCTACCGTTCCGCAGGCCACCTACCCCAGCACTCGTAGTGGGCATGTTGCCAACGCCGCTGCTGCTGCTGGCCACACTCCCTCCCGCCTTGGGCAGTGGAGTGAGCTTTTTCGAGGGAGGCGTGGGACTAGAAATAGAAGGTATGTGCTGCGAGCTGGACACCACGCTGCTGCTTGTGAGCAGCACGTTAGAGAGAACGGTAACTGTCTTGCCGTCGGAAGCCTTGTCATGGCTGTCGCCTCCGCCAGAAGCTCCTACGCCTCCACCGCTGCTGGACCCAACGCCCAAGGTCAGGCTGACGGAGCTGCTGCTAATGTACTGGGCGGAGCTCACCTCGCTCTCCTGCTGGATGGTTGCGCTCTGGTTGGACTTGTTCATCAGCGCCATCACCAGATCCGCGGGGTTTAGGACGCTCGTCTGAGTTTGGGTGCTGGTGCTCGCATTGGACACTGTTGCATGGGCAGCATCGCTCTCCCCTTTGTCCCCAGATGCCGATCCGATGGCACTGCTCGCCGGCATGCTGGCTGCCTGCTGATCCAGGCTTTGGCCCGGAGTCGGTGTCGGCGATCGCGGCGAAAGAGAGGGCGACTTGGTCGGCTCGAACGGATCGTAGGCATCTGGCGAGCATGGTCCCGACTCCGGAGGTGTGTTTGGACCTATCTTCTGGCCGCCATCGTGGCTGCCATGGCCGTGCTGGGGCGTCTGCTCCTCGGGAGCCAGCGAACAGGCTGCCTCCAGCTCGTCTGCAGAATTAATTTCATCTGCGTCCTCGTGAAGCGGATTGTTGCGAGCCTTGTGCTGCATTTTCTTGGTGGGCAGGTTGAACTTGACGAGAGGCGGCTCGGGGGGCGTCTTGGGTCCTGTGGACTGCGTCATGTTTTCATACGAGGCCTCCATAATTGTGTCCAATGAACCGACCTGCGGGGTTTTCTCCCTTTGTCCGTTTTCCCTCATTATATCATGTTCCCTGTCCCGCTCTCTCTCCCTTCTCGTCGAGAGTTGGTCTGCGGCATCCTCACTGTCTGTAAGCACAATAACATCTGCCGGCTCTTGGTGAACCTGGAAGGGTGAGCGCTCCAGATCGATGATAGCCACAGGCTTAGCCTCCAGCTTCTTGCGCTTGCGGGTCTTGTCCCGCTTTCCCTTCTTGATGGCCCCCACAGCACTGCTAATGTTGCTGTTGGCCAGGTGGTCGATGGTGGCCAAGCGATTGCTCAACAGATCCTCCCTGCCGGAAGCCATTGTGACTATCGACTGCTGCTGGGAACCCATCGTTGGGTTGCTTGTGGTCGCCTCCTTGTTGAAGCTCACGCTCACCAGAATATTGTTGCCCGAGGCAAAGACCTCCTTCGATGGCAGCGGCTCTGGCGTTTGGGTTCGACGCTTGCGCTTCTTCTCCTTTCGCTGCTTCTCCAGCGGATGCTGTTTTTTCTTCTTTTTGCTCTTGTCCCGCTTGCGCTTCGCTTTCTTGGGCGTCAACGCGCCATCATAGTGGCCGCCTGCGCCTTTAGGTGATCCCAGGGGCGGCGTCCAAGACGGGTTCTTGTCCTGGCAGTCGCCGTCATGCAGGAAATCGCAGCGACCGGGCGAAGGCGAGGGGGACCACTGACCGGTGGGCATTCCTCCCTTCTTTCGCTTTCTCTGCGGGGCCAGGAAGTCGTCGGCATCTTCGAAAGGATCACGTTGCCGTGATATGCGTCGCATCCGGGCAGCAGTCGTCGGACTAGCGCTGCCCGTCCTCTTTTTGCTCTTCTTCTTTTTATCTGACTTCTTTTTCTTCTTTTTGGGCGGATCCTTAGGACTCTTTGAACGACTTCTGCTTCGGCTGCGACTCAAGCGTGGAGTATAGCGCGGAGAGCCAAGATAAAGGGGAGATCTATTGCCTCCTCCTCCGTTAATGCGGTTGGGAGTGCGCGAGCGGGATCCTCTCGAGTGCGCAGACACCGGAGTATGGGCCCTTTCGGTTGGAGGAGGTGGAAGCGCCGAGGGCGAGCGGGCATAGCGTCTGCCCGGTGAGGTTCGACGACCGCCGCCTTGTTTGTGGGGTGAGGGAGAAGTTCCCGGCGGTGGAGTCGGCGAGATGCTGAAGCTGCGCAGCCGTTTGGGCGAACCAGAACGAGAGCGCAGGGAGCCCCTTGATCCCCGCGAAGCGCTGCGCGAGAAACTGCGCGAATTGCGCCTTCCCGAACGACTTCGGCCCGACCGCATGGCGTCGCGTCCGTAGCGATCCTTTGCCTGATGCCTCGATGCACCCACCACATTGCGAACGTCGTAGCGAGGCAGCTCCCTTCGTTTGGGACGTTGAAAGAACTGGTGGTGCTGACCATGCTGGTTATACTGGAAGTAATGCTGCTGCTGATGGTGCTGGTGGTGGTAGTTTTGGTTCTGGTGGTAATTGTTGCCGTAGTGCTGAAACGGCCTGTTGTGGAACTGTTGGTTGCGGTTGTAGTTGAAGCGCAGTCCTCCGCGGCCACGGACGAACCCACGCTGGTTATCCCGTCCGCGATAGGCGAATTTCATGCGTCCAAATGAGTTGGAACGCGAGCGAGACCTCGAATGGGAGCGGGAGTAGGATTTTGAGCGGCTTCGGCTGCGGCGCCGCCGGTTTCTATTGCGGCTGACAGAACGACTCCTGCTCTTGCTCCTACTCCGACTGACGCTCTTGTTGGTGGCCTTCGGGCTCTTGGAACGGAGCTTTGGAGTGCGACTTCGAGAGCTCGAATGGGTGATCCTTTCTGGCTCGGGCTTGTCTCCACGGTAGTTCCGATCCTTCTGTCGCTTCCCAATTTTCTTGAAAGTCTCGTCCTGGCCGCGTTTTGAGCGCGACTTGGACTTTCCCTCGTTGGCCGCCCCTCCGCGGCTTCGACTGCGTCTCTTTTTTGAGCCGATCTCGTTGGTCAAATCGTCCTCTGACACAATATCCGTGCCGACAGCCTTCTCCGGCCCATCTTCGTCATCGGAAGCCTTCGAGGAAGCAGTCCTGGGACTGGTAGTGGCATCATCCCGATGCTCTACCGCAGCCGTCACCTCCTCCTCCTCCCCCTCCGCCAAACTCTTTTCGTCCAGACAAGGCGTGTACGAGCGATCCTGCTCATGATCACTGCCGCTTGCGTTGTCGTCCTTATCGGCTTCTCCATCCTTATTACCCGCTGGCTTCCTAGATTTCACCGGCTTGGGGCTGGCTTCTCTGGCCTCCCTTTCCGCACCCAGCGGCTGTTCATATTCCTTCGGTTTGTCAATGTCCAACTCCTCCCAGTCGCTCTCATCATAAAGCTCTAGCACGCCCTTGGCCCGGTCTCGATCCACAGCTCGGTCCTCCTTAGCCACTGGGCTGGGAGTGCTGCGCATATTAGCCTCCTCTGATGGAGCTGCGGCCAAGTGTGAGTCACTGGGCTCTTGATCGGAGGCCTCAGATTCCTCCATGGGCACAGCCTCACAGGACTTGTCGTCTTCTTCCTGCTCATCGGGCTCATCGGTTGGATTCTCAGGCTCGTAAAGATCATCTTTCTCGGGCACTGGCTCGGGCTCCGGTCCCAGGGGCAACGGTATCTCATTATCATCTTCATCATCATCTAATTGTACTAAATCCTCATTCATATCATCATCATCCTGTTGTTGAAACGATTAAAATAAAATGGTTAGTACGGTGCAAAGAACCAACGGTCTTAATAACTATTAATTGTGACTTACATATATATATGTTATATTCTCTCATATCTTCTCAAACTATACGACTTGCTTAGCTTTCAACAACATTCCAAGAACATTACTCTAGTCAAATCCATTTAATTCCGTAACATTTTAATAATAGTTTTATAAAAAAAATCATTCAACTATAGGCGTCTTCGGTTCCGATTTATTTTTTACAAACTGAAATTCATAGAACCTAAAATTGTTTGAAAAAACCCCTAGGAGTGTTAAAAAAATATGTTTTAAAGACAATTAAAGTTCTAATCTCAAAATGTATTTGATTTGAAAAGGAAGTGAACTCTAAAGCGCTTTCTCGCGGGAGGAGATAGTGTTCAGTAAATGTTTTTATTTTGAAGAGGCTTCAATACAAATTTCATTTCCAAAGAACGAATTTCACAGCTTCAATCTTTAATTTACGACTTTACCCTTTCAATGCCCTCTTACTTTCTTGAAGTCTTAAGCTACGCGTCAGAAGATCAAATAATTTGAACAAAATAGAAAACTACTATACTAAAATAATTTAAATATTTGATTGAATATCATACCTTATCCGATACATCAGCTGGTCCTTGTGCGGCGCCCGGTGCCATTGCTGAAGCACTAGCCACAGCCTGCGACTCCTGCGAGTAAATTGAGAAGTTTGGACAATTGTCGACATCGTCATCTGCGTTTCGATCGCTGGCCTTCAACGGTGACTGTTGCAACGTGTTCATCTTGAAGATCGGATTGTTCCAAGGCAGGCTAGCGGGTGGCATAGGCGGTGGTGGTATCGATAGCACTACTGGCATGCCCATCACTGGTGGAGTATGATGATTTACCGGAGGAGCGAACATCGGAGGCCGTGCTGGAAAACTGTTTGATGGCGATGCCACCGGGGCTGGAGACGGTGCACTGCCGCGAAAAGGCGGCGTAGGTTGGTTGGCAGGGGTCGCGTTTTGCTGGCGTTGTTGCTGCTGGCGGTTGGGCGTGTTAAAGCGCAGGTGGAAGGGCGTAAAGCTTGACACATTCGTGTTGCTGTTGTTGTTGTTGGGGCTGGGGCTACTAAAGTTCTGATTACTGAAACCGCCGACCCCTTGGCCATCTCCGCCACTGGTTGCTGAACGCGAACCTCCGCCACTGCTGGATGCTCCTCCGGCGCCACTGCTCGACTGTCCTCCGCCGCCTCCACCGCCTCCCCTGTAACTGTTATTGCCGCTGTAACGACTGTTGTAGTTGTCACCTGATCCTGGGCCGCCGCCCCTATTATAATTGGGTCCTCCGCCTCCGCGCTGATAGAGCGGCGCGTGGGTTAGATGCTCTTCGGGCTGAGAAGTAGCCGCTGCTGGTGTCGCTGCAACCGCAGGCCTCTGGGGGAGATTAAGGGTACCATCCGCCCTAATGTGCACATTCTCCAGGTTACGCGAGGCATCGTGCCAACGATCCTGCATGTCCAAAATGCTGGACAGTATATCTCCAGCTGAAGCTGGCGTGGGGACCGAGGGTGTGGCTGCTATGCGTGCCTTGCCTTGCAGCAAAGCCTTGCGGATGCGCGGCGCTCCAATGCTGGCAATGCGCACCGAAGTTTGAACTGCAGTCGATCCGAGGCCAGCAGAAGTGGCACTGCCGCCGAAATCAGGCTCACTGTCCGAGAAATACTCCAGGTCATTGGCGTTCCCGAAGAGGGAAAAGCTAGAGGCAGTTCCGCCATTGAAATGAGAACGCTGCACTCCGTCTGATTTTACTCCCAACTGCTCTGCGAGTCGCTTGCTGGCGGTGAGACGTCGCCCGGGACCTTCACTAGAGGCGGGGGCCACGACACGACGACGGCGACGTCGACGTCGTCGGATCACCTTCTTGCTCGTCTTCAGGGCAAACTTTTCGTCAAAGTTGTTCAAGTCGTACTCAACGACATAGGTGCGTTGGCGAGTCCTTCGCCGTCGGCGACGTTGAACGGGCCGCTTGTTGGTGCTAGTGGTTGTGCGCCGAGTGGTTGTCGTAGTGGTTGTGGTAGTGGTGGTGGTCCGGGTGCGAGTTCGGGTCAGAGCGGAGTCTTCAACGCCGGACCGAGTGCGTCTCAGAACAGCCGCCCGAATGCGCTCGTTCTGACGGGTGCGTAGGATTCTCGGGGGTTGCTGCACCTCACGCACTCTGAGCCGAGTCTCCGGCAAGCCCATTCCCCTGATATCCTCGTACAGCTGGCTCAAGTCGTCGGCCAGCTCCAGTTGCTCATCGGGATCCTCGCCCTCGGAGTCAATGCAATTGTCGCAGTACCAGGAGCCGGCGGGAATTTCGTGCAACGGCGGGTCCAGGCAGTCCATGTGGTATCCCTGGTTGCAGCTGTCGCACAGCAGCATCACATCCTCTCGCTCCGGACTTTCGCAGACCTCGCAGTTCGTGAGCTCCTCCTCGGAAACGGCCGCGCCCTCAGCCTCGTCGTCCAGGGCCAACTCGGTCTTGGACTTGCTCAGATCCACCCGCACTTCCCTCACCACCTGCCGGCTGGCGTACGAGTCCCGCACCACAATGCGGTCGAAGGCGATGCGGTCAATGGGACAGGTCTGGACATTTCGCGACCAGGCGTCGATGCAGGCCGCGCAGAAAATGTGCTCGCATGTGGCGGGCGTGCCGATCTCCTGCTGCCGAAAGGTGAGCAGGCAGATGGGGCACTTCTCCAGCAGATCGTTGCTGCTGCTGTCGGAACTGAAGCCGGGATCAGCCTCAGCGGGGGTGGGCTGGAGCCGACTGGGTGCTGGTTCTTGCTCTTCTTCGTCGTAGGATTCCACCTTCTTCCGCTTGCTGCTGCGCGCAACCCGCTGATTGATCTGGAATCGAGTTTAGGGAACATTGAAAGGTTATGAAGTGACCTTATGCGGCTGTGCCTTACCTCGCTGCCACTGGATGAGCAGTCGCTCCGCGGTCCGTGGCGAGTGCGCAGCTTGCGCGTTGACTTCCGGGTCACCGCGTCCGAGTCGGAATCCGCCTCCTGGCGACGGGCGCTGCGTCTCAGCCGGTTCGCCGTGGAGCAGGAGGGACGCTCGTCCAGGTCGGGATCCGAGGCCGTGTCCTCCGAGTCCTTGAACTCGATCCGCATGATGATGCGCCGGTTCCGCTGCACCCGCTGGTGACTCACGGGCGGACCAGCGTCGGATTCGGAATCAGAATCACGGTCGGACATGCTGATGCAACTGCGTATGTGTGTAGCAAGCCGATATATTGATGTATGTACACTGTCGGCGGGGCAGGCGCGTGTGTATTACATATATATTGCATATAGGGAGTGCTCTTCGCTGAATTCTCATCTAATTATCCGCTCCTAGTGGTATCTGCTCTCGGCCTGGTAGCCGCATTTTCGGTACGATGACCAGCCGGAGTCTGAGAAGTCGCTTTTCGGCCTGGCTTGCCTGTAATTGCAGGCCGCTGTGAGTGGAGATGGAGTTGAGTGCCGATTGCCGAGCGTAGCATCAGTTGCCAATTTTCTGACGCTGCACCGGACTTTCGCCCCTTCGCGTCCTTCGTTCGGAATCGTGCGAGCGACAGCTGCGGTGGCCAGGGGACAATGGAGCCTGATTTTGTCGCCGCAACGCCGATATTTCCAAATTGGTAGCAAACGCAAATTTTTCTCACACAGTTTCCTTCACACACACACTTGGATTTCAGCCATTTTTTCAACTAGAGGTGGGAGAACGCCTGCGAACACTTTCGATAGTTCGCTGCCGCCGCCGATGCCTTGACGCATTTGGTTATTATCGTTTATTCGGTTTCAATAAGGAAAATCGGTGGATTATTTTTTAAGCAAATTAAGTGAAATAAGTATAAAAGCGTCATCCAGTAAAAGTGTATTTCGAAATTTATTTTTGAACTTATTTAAGAAAATCTAAACAAAATTATTTTCTAGATTTTATTGCAAATTTTTTAAATCTATTCGTTTTGATTACATATTTTTAAACAAAAACCTTATTAAAATAAAATCTAAGCAATTAATTTGTTTAAAAAATAAAATATTCCGAAATGATTTTGATTTGCAAAGATACCTTTTAAGAAACAATGCATAATTCATTATACTCCTGCAGAGGGTATTATAATTTCAGTCAGAGTTTTGCGACCACATAAAGTATATATATTCTTGATCAGCATCAATAGCCGAGTCTATCTAGCCATGTCCGTCTGTCCCTCAGTTTTAAAGCTATCGCGATGAAACTTTTCCGAAAATCTTCTTTCTATTGCAGGTAGTACATATGTCGGAAGGATCGGACCACTATATATTATGGCTTCCATAGGAATAATCAAAAAAATAATAGAAAAACCATTGTAAGTTTGTAGAAAGTAGGCGTTTTGATTTTTGACAATGTAAAAAAAAACATTTTGAGTAGGCATACCTGCAAGGGTATATAAACTGCGGCTGGCCGAAGTTAACTTCCTTTCTTGTTTTATATAATTAAAACTTTTGGCAAAATTTTTAATATATTTGTATATATCGCACTGAATAAAACAAGGGGTAAATAATACCCAATTCGGCGCTTCTGCAACAAAGGCAAAATTCCGTAACAGTGAATTTTTCTTCCATTATATCCTAGAGCAGATCTCTGTGATACGATTCTGCAATTCAACTTTTCAAACGCATCAGCGAAAAGTGTGTTTCAATGTACCAAAAGGAGATGGCGGTAACCCGTTTTAGACGAGAAAGCCAAATAACTCTCTTAACTGCTGCTTTTGTCCATGCTTACATCTTGTAAACTGGTCAGCTGTTTTTGCAACAGCGGCGGTATGTGTGACTCAGTTGCAGCAACAGCGAATTCCAGAAACTAATACTCTGTTTAGAGGGTGTCTCTTTCCCTTTTGGTTGATTTTTTCCCGGCATTTGTTTTATTCTATTTTCACTGTACTGTCAAAAGTAACCACTTAGCGTTCGCGGGCGAAATGCAGGCGGAGAATGAGGCCGACATCATCGTAGAGGCGTTAGAGGTGCTGGTCAACCACATTCTGTATGCTCGTGGTATTTACCCCGCGCACATATTTAAAATGAAGCGAATGTACAATACGCCGGTCTTTGTCTCCATCTTCCCGCCGCTCAATAACTACCTGACCGGCGTTTTCAGATCCGCTCAGGAACTGCTCCGCCGCCGGGAGCTGCAGGGCCTAGAGCTGATATTGTTCCAGAAGGAAAATGAGCAGTTGGAGAGCTACAAACTGTCCCTTGAATGTCGGGAGGATGTCCAATTGGCGGACGATCATTTAATGGAATTCGAGCAGAAGCTCCGCGCAGCCATCTACCAAACATCCGAACGGCTAAATCAGGTCCGAAAACTTCCTGCAGGAAGCTGCCAGTTTAAAGTCCACCTGCACACGACGCAGGAGGCATTCATTCGCCTCAGCCATGAGTCCCAGTACCAGGAGTTTCCATGGCTTCAAGCCCCAAGTCCAAAAGCGCAAATGCCGTCACAAACCCTTTCCCTGTTACCCTTGGCTTCGGTGGAGAGTGTGGGGTTGAAAATGGAGGCACTTATCCTCAACTAATGTTTCCAAGATAATTGTTACGTATTAAATAAAAATAACAAGTTTACAAGATGTGGGTTTTATTTAAAATTATATAGACTACGCTGGTCGCTAACTTTAATCGTATGGTAATCTTAGCATACTTATAGACTTTTTCCGAAAGTAACGAAAGTCAATTTCTCCGCAGCAAGTACAGTTTTAATATTACTAAGCCCCTCAAACGATTGACCAAATATATCTACTCTAAAGCAGTCCCTGGCGTTTCAGATCCTCGAACGTCTTCCGGTTGACCACGTTTCCCAGCGAGTCCTCGAACTCCTCCTCCTGGTCGGCGATCCAGCGTTCGCTCTGCTTTTGCGACTTGAGCTTCTCCCACAGGGTGATCGCGTCCTCTATCTGCGTGACATTGGCGAAGTGGGCGGTGTTCGGGATGCCGAGGCAGCGCATGCCGTGCGCGTGGCGCCACTCCGCGAAGTGGCGCTGGAAGGCCTTGGGACCCTTGTAGGTGAAGTTTCCGCATATCTCGCAGTTGTAGCTGATGTTCAGGCCATGCAGCTTGTACAGCCAGTACGGGATTGGTTTGCCGTCCCACCCAAGTGGCAGGTTCTTGGGATTGTACGGCACGTCGTCCGCATCGGGATCGTCATCGTTGTCGGACTCGCTAGCCTCCACATCGCTGTCATCCCGCTCGCCTCCGGTCCGAGCCTGCTTTCTCTGGACATTCTCCTTGGTGGCCGCTCTCTGCTCGGACAAAAGCTCCGCATACTTGTAGAGCAGCGCCTCCAGCTGGGCGATTTCCTTGTGGCGTTCGTGCTCCCGTGACTGCGCACTAGCGGTCTTGGCGCTGGGTTTCTTGGCCATCAGGGCGGGATCCAAAGTGCTCTTCCCCTTTGTCGAGAATAGCCGCTGTGCACGCTCCTCCAGGGTGCCGCCGCACTTGAGCCCCAGGGCCACAAGAGCCGACTTCAGACGATCCAGTCCCAACGAGGCCAGCTCCTCCCAGCTGGAGAAGGCGGAGAGATCGAGATGGGCGCCGGTGTTGGCCAGCGCAGACTCGGTCTCCTTGAGCGAGAAGCCGGGGAAGGTGCCCAGCAACCACTGGCGCTGGAAGTCCAGCTCCACCTTCAGCAGCTCGCCCTCCAAGTCGAGCAGGGGCTGAATTCGCAGGATAAAGTGGTGCAGGTAGTCGTTGAGGGTCTCTATGTACTTGCGGTACTCGCGGTTCTTTCGCTCTCGTGGGATGTCGAAGACGTGGTCGAAGGACATCAGGTAGGTAATGTAGTCCAGCTTCTCCACCGCCCGCAGGTTGAGATAGAGCTCGTAGCACTCGTTGAGGTCCAGATACCGGCCGCCACCCTCCTCATCCGTGAACTCCACCAGGGCGCTCATGTCGTCCGGATTGTTGTACACCCGGATCATTTCGTCGAACTCCACGGACAGCGGCACGCTGACCTCGGCCGGATGCGACTTGTAGAACTGCTTGATCTGCTTGAGGCGGGCGTAGAACTCGTTGAACTCATTGGGTCCCGAAAGGGCCGCGATCTCCGCCTTCCGCTCGTTGTCCTTGTCCTCGTAGAGGTCGCGCAGCTGGGACGTGGCGTTGTGGTGGAGTTCCATGAGGTACTTCAGCCGGTGCTCAGAGTGGATGCGCTCCTTTTCGCCCGGCTTCTTCGTCGCATGCTCGTCCACCATCAGTTTGACCAAACGCTCGCGCTCCTCGTGGTAGCGTCGCTGTTGCTCCAGGAGCGTCTCCATGGCTCTTCAGTGCGAGGATATAAATGAATTAAAGTTCGAGTAGAAGGTATCTTTTCTTCAGCGAAATCCAAGCGAAAACAAAACTGCTCTGTAGCTAGCGTGTGTATATTAAAAAACAGTCACCACGAAGTAGGGATGGCAAAAAAATCGAAATCACACCGCCTTTTAAAGTCGCAACAGCGAAGAGCTGGTTATAGAGCGTTTACATTGGTCGTAGCCTGTTATTTATTACTTAATTGTGTTGCGTAACGCTATATACTAAACACTTCTGTGACACACATTTCGACAAAATTAGGTAACTGTAAAGTAAGTTGAAAATGGTTTGTTTTCAATTGGTACTCTAATTAATAGGTAATACCAAGTCGAGTTAAGAACATGACACCCCTGTTACTACTCGATAACGATATTCTCGTCGATAATCTGACAGCTCCAACAAATACACATTTTTACCCACCCAAGCGCAGGGTCACACTTCGCGTGAAATCATATGATCGATTTGCAGTGAAAATTTTCAGACGTTGGGCAGAAGGCAAAAGTAACTTACCGTTTTCCACTTTCCTCGTGTTGGCCGCAGTTTCAAGCGAACTCGGCTCTGAATTTATTAGTTTAATTAATTTGTAACCATTGCAGGCACGGTTGTACGTGGACTTCTACGAAACACTTGAATTTCCTTTCGGTTCGGTTTGTGCAAGTGAAAAAATCAGTCAAGATGGCACTGAGCGATGCAGATGTACAGAAACAGGTAATTGGGAGCGGGAAAGCGACGAAGATCGTTCCTGGACGTGGTGGATAGAATAGGGAAACACTTAAAACCAGAGATTCCTCCTGGTCTGGACTCCGCAATGTAAAGATGGCGAAGTCATGGGACCCGAAATGTTCCCCGAGTCATGTGAACTTTCCATTCCCGTCTTACTGGCCTGCCATCTGCCCAATTGGCCTAAATCGTTCAAGTAGTTTGCAGTTTCATCAGATTAATTGGTTATTAGGGACCTAGCAAAGTATTTGTCCAAATACTTTGCGTAAAAAGTGAGTAAAAAATTCGTGCTGGTCATGTGACACGGCCCCCGCAATGGGCCAATGTGTTGGAGCGAGACGACTAGCCCTGCGCCCCCACACTCGCACTCTCTGTCACACGACCAGCAAACCCCTTACGTTATCAAAACTTTAACGAAAATAAATAGAGGCTAGGGTTTTGGGACGACTTCTAGCCAATGCAGTTATCATGTGACGAAAGGGGCAACTACTAAACAGGACGAGTTTTTCAGATCAAACACATGATGGCGTTCATTGAGCAGGAGGCCAATGAAAAAGCCGAGGAGATCGACGCCAAGGCCGAGGAGGAGTTCAACATCGAGAAGGGACGCCTCGTCCAGCAGCAGCGCCTCAAGATCATGGAGTACTACGAGAAGAAGGAGAAGCAGGTGGAGCTGCAGAAGAAGATCCAGTCCTCCAACATGCTCAACCAGGCTCGCCTGAAGGTGGGTGTGTCTATTAGGTGGTCTTGGCCTGGGAAACCTCAACTCGTTTGGAAACTCGTTACAGGTGCTGAAAGTGCGCGAGGACCATGTGAGCAGCGTGCTGGATGATGCCCGCAAGCGTCTCGGCGAGGTCACCCAGAAGCAGTCCGAATACCAGACTGTGCTGACCAAGCTTATCGTCCAGGGCCTGTTCCAGGTCATGGAGCCCAAGGTCATCTTGCGCTGCCGCGAGGTCGATGTTCCCCTGGTCCGCGATGTCCTGCCCAGTGCTGTGGAGCAGTACAAGGCCGGGATCCAACAGAACGTCGATCTTTTCATCGACGAGAAAGACTTCCTCTCTGCTGATACCTGCGGCGGTGTTGAGCTGCTGGCCCTGAACGGACGCATCAAGGTTTGACCTCCCCCGAGCAACTGAAGAAGCGCTCTCAAAACTAATCCTATTATTTCTGCAGGTGCCCAACACCCTGGAGTCCAGATTAGAGCTCATTTCGCAGCAGCTGGTGCCCGAGATTCGTAACGCCCTCTTCGGCCGTAACGTCAATCGCAAATTCACCGATTAAATTCTTTAAGTGCAAAACAAAACACAACTAATCAGAAAGAGAACCAGCATCAACACCAATCCAGCAGGAACAGTTCAAGTTATTACTACAGAAGCTCCACCCACTAAATATTGAACCCAAGTAAACTCATCCTTTGGCAGTCAGGCAACAGCTAGGATTATATTCGATTTCAAAATACTTTTGCCGTTGTCTTTGTATAGGGAAACTGAAACACTCAAGAACATTTCGGTCCTTGTGTATGCAACAGTTATATGATACCCACACTAAACACACATATATATACTCCGATATATATGTTTGTATGCCAATACTTACTATATAGTTTAGAGGACACGATCCTAGGAGCATACGAAAGCATAATACGAGTTTGTTAAAGTTTGTTCGTTTTTTTTTACATATGCACATATTTCTGAGCAGTAGGTCAAGGCATGTGCTTATATTGTATACATACACTTTAAAATTTTGCATACATTCCTGTCCAAGAATTTTGTTTTCAAATTTGCCCTCTTTTACGTTGTTTTTTGTACATTAATTTCTGTCGTCTGTAGTCTTTGTTGAAGTTTTATATGTCTATGTCGTTTATGTTTGTAATTATCAAGTGCAGCGATTAGGAGGAACAACGGCAGTGGATCACCCTTTTCCGTGCCGCTGGCAGCCTGCGCACGTAACCAATCAGCATTGTTGCCCTTCGAAACACCGAAATGGACCCAAGTGCCAATTTCGCTGCTTCGAGGGCAACGGACGCGTGTGCAGCTTCCACTGGCCCATCAAAAGCCCCGAAAACCATCAATGTCTGTTGTTGAACGAATACACGCAAATAAGCACGCAACACTTAAAACACACAATTCACCGCATCCAAGACGAAGAAGTATTGCCGAGCGGCCCAAGTAGCTAAATTTGTTGACCCTCAAGTTCAGCTTCCACACTATGAAGATATATAATTACTTAAAAGAAAATATAATAAAACGGAAATTAGATTCGCAATTTAGGGGGCTGCCGAACTGCCACCGTTTCTTCTCTGCGCTGCACCATCATATCAGTCTCTAAAACAACACCACGTTCATACACACGACTAACACGCAGGAACTACAGCTAATTTGAACCTTGTATTTGCATGTTCGCCAATGTTCATAGTGTATTCTTCAGGCTCATTTTCTAACCGTTACCAAGTAAATTTAAATTGTTCAAATATGATGAATAACTACAAATTTAGCAAACAAATACAAAATAGCATATGCGTTATTATATAACATCGAGTACTATATACATTACATGAAATACGAAATGCAAGAAAAATTACTTTTAAACAAAATTTATGTTGAATAAAAACAGTATTTCCAAAAACTAAACTAAAACAAAATTAATATTGATAGGGAAGAGGTTTTTTACTTCAAAATTATATACCCTTGCAGATCAGACCTACATATTAATTACAAATACAATAAATTTTGAGTTTATATTTAATAATTATAGCTGTTTTCGTATTATTTTGACATATATTTTTCGACCCTTCCTGTGGCAGCTATATAATATAGTTGATTTGTGTTCAATTTAATTCAAAACTCTAAAAAATTAAAAAACGGCTAATTTTAGAGTAGAAGAAAATACAGTAAAGATCATCAAAGCTATAATTTTTCCCATAATTTTCCGATGATTTATTTGTTTTTGTCGTCTGATTTATTAAAAAATTAATTCAAAAATATTTATATAAATTAGTGGAAAGTAATATGTCAAAGTATACTAATCTGCTTGGCCTTGAACTTTAAAGTTCAAAGTGCTACTATACGAGTAACGGGTATAATAGTTTAGTTTTTGCATTAACATAATGGGAATTATAATGTCCAGAAGAAGTAAAAAAGGACAAATAATTCACATTTTGGATCCGGCGCTCTTTTAGGCCCATTCTTTATTATGGACGCGTCGCGTTTGCATTCATTTTCCGTTTAACGCGCCTCAACCCCATAAAAACTTGTAGGAAAAATGTCGTGTTACAGGGCTGCGGAGTCAAATTTTTGGTATTTTTCAGCAGTATTAAACATGCATGATAATATTTCTGGACCCGAAACTGATAAGCGGGAAGAATTAAAACCATTGAGAGGCATATTGTCAATTTAATTATTGTAGATGAATTATTTACAGAAATTTACTTCGTTTAATTTTGGTTTTTGATATGCGAAATGATCTGACAATGATCCAGTTTGCTTGCCGCTACTCGACCCTTATTTTCAAATCCACCAACTGCTGGCATATGATGCTCAGTGGAAACATCTCCCGGTTGCCTATCGTTTATCGAAAAATAACAAAAATACCAACAAAACGGCATAGTGGTAGAGCTGGCAGCTTTTTTCCGGCATCAGCAGCTGTGTTATGTTTTTGCCAGCGACAAGAGAGAGCAATAAATGGAATTGAAATATGAAACACTTTCCAACGATTAAATGTACAATTTTACTCTACTCTAACGGTTATAATAATTTTAGATTCCGTGTAAAGGGTATATTGTGTTCCTTGGAAAGTATATAACATGAAGAAGGAAGCATTTCTCTTGTTTTTCCTTTTTAAATCATGTAACATTTAATCCGTCATTGAACGATCAAAGTTTGGCTGGTAAATCCAATCTAAACGGCAAACTTCTAATTAGAACTAACCCCATCCCTAGCGTTATATAAAATACTCTTTTGTGTTGTATCTCATTTAATGGTTGTATACATATACATATGTACTTCCATGTTATTTATATTCCGTAATTTGATCGATACTGTTCAAATATGATGCGATGAAACTAGCATAAATCCTTTGCTTCGAAGATAACATTCTTCAATGTCGCCGTGTGCCGACGTGGCTGATTATTTCAGGATGAATTATACTTCTTGTTGCTATATGCTATGCATACATATGTAGGGACAAAGGGTTAAAAAATGAAGCGAACATACAAACGGGACACAGCCCTTTTCCACATAAATCTCTATTTATGAAAAAGTTTCTGCGCAAGTTGACTTTGCAAAAGAACTTTAGTCGACCTCGAAATTTCAAAGTGATGTTATTTTAGTCTTTACAAGATACCTCCTCCGATTCTGGCATTCTTTGGTACTTGTAAAACTTCAAACTTTTATTAATACATGTTTATCAGTTTGTTCCTATATATTCATCTTGGGTACATTTTCTTTAAATTCCTTTGCCATTAAATTTAAATGGATTCACGATAGATACATGGAAATCAGTTGAAAAACTAAACAATCTGACAGTGGACTACAAACTTTGAAATTCTAGCACGATAGTTTGTTTTACTCTCTCCTTTATTGTTGGAATTTTTTGAGTGTTATATAGGTGGAGTTTTTCATAATGACGTTATTCATAGGGGTGGATTGTATATATAGTTCGACTGGCTGTTGCAGATGTTGGTTCCGAATTATCGGATGGGGATGGTAAAGGGCGGCTCCGTTTGTGTTGTTCATTTTCTTTTTAGCCATTAACCAAAGTGTTACTCGCCATTCTTTTGTTCGTCCTCAGATTCGGATTCTGAAAGCAATAAGAAAAAAAATCGTCAGTGTGCTTCTCAATCGTTATAAACTAAGTTTATATGGATCTATAGTTCGACTGTCCAAATGATTATTGGCCAAATGTAACTATAAAGAGTTATTTGGACACCCAACCATTCAAATGCTCTGGCACAATTCCCTTTTAGCTCAATAGAACGAGGAAACCGTTCTGAACATATAGTGGGATTGTGCAAAATGAAACCAATGCAGCTGTCCAAACGATTATTGGCCAAAATGAACCATGGGTGGGTTATATGGACACCCAATCATTCTTTTGCTCTGGCATGCTGTTTATGAACCCTTTGAAATCGACACCAAATTTTGGATGCACTTCAAAAGCTTGGTAAGAAGCATGCTCAGTAACGACAGATTTTGTCCAAGTTTTCATTGGCCTGTGATGCTCAGGGATTTGTAAAGCAACAAGGCAAGCAAAAAACCCATTTGCTCTTGCAATTTTGTACAATGAAAGTGTCATCCGAGACAAGACCATTCTCAAAAAGTGCAATTTTTTCTATTTGATGGAATCAAATTAAAGACTTGCTAAGATACTCTAGGAAATGAAATACTGTGCTGTCCAAGTTTTCATTGGCCTTCGTGATTCACTGAATTGGGAAGCAACGAGGCAAGCAAAAAACTCAAATGTTCTTGCAATTGTGTACCAGAATCAAGCCATTTTGGGCAAGACCATTCTCAAATAATTGCACTAGAAGTCATTTGAAAAAAATACGAACCTTCTTCGGCTGACTGAAGCCATTCGACAAACTTGCGCATTTGTTCGAGGAAATGCATCTTGCCCTTATTTGAGTGACCATCCTTGTACCAGCGCAGAATGATCTCCTCGGACAGAACCTCCGTCTTGTAGAACAGCAAGATAATCTTCTGGAAGGCCTTCATGAAGTTCATGTTTTCGTAGCAGAATTCCTGCACCTTCAGGATTAGGGCCAACTCCGAACGGTCTGTCGAGGCGAAAGCCTGCAACAGTGTGCAATATGTCTTCAGGTGACGAACAGCCTGATCGGTAACCAGCTCCTCCTTCTTGTTCCATTCCCCCAATGACATGATGGTAGACCAAATCTGAGGAAGATTAAAGCTCTCGCGTTAGAAAAAACCCAGATCGATATTTTAACGGGTTAACACGACTTACAATGACAATTATTTCATGATCGGGAATGTTGGTGCGTTGCGAGAATTCTTTTATGTCTGAGGCTATCTCATTATGTGGCTTCTCATCGTTGATATCATCGATGAGCGCCTGCTGCAACTCACGCTTTGCCTCCTGGCTAGCCTGAGCCTTATGCAGCTTGATGATCTCATTGAGTTCTTTGTCAAGAAAAACTTGTTTAAAATATTCCTCAGTACGTTTGTTTGGTGGGAAAAAGTCCATAAGTCTGAAATAGAGCACGAGAGGGAAATATAAATTAATTAGTTTAAAGAACTCATATATTTCATAAATGATCTTAACTTTAACAATAGTGTACGAAATTAAATCGGCACCCAAATGAAGCGAAGGTCCATTTGCGAATTGGGTAAAACTCCGTCGTAACTTTTATTCTAGGAATGTCAATTAAAGATGCACAACTGGCTGATTGAATCATCTTCCTGAGAACATCCCAGACTAATTGCAACTTGATGATAAAAAAACAAACTTACTTGCTTTCCAGTCCACCCTTCTTAAGCGCCTGAATCAGATATGCAATGCCCTTCTCTTGCTTGAACGTCTGGAACAGCTCTAGTAGAAACTCCAGTGCAATGCCATCCTTGATCAGATGCTCGTTGTTTAGTACCAGTAAGACATTTGGCGGTACAGAGCCGTTAACTGCGGATTAGGAAAAAGCTTATCCGATCTTAGTCAATTGTTTCCGAAAAATAAGCTTATAGGTCCTAAGTGTAAGCGTGTCCTTGGGCTCGTGGCTTTTGGATGTGGCTAAGTCATCCAAGAGTCAGTATACCAAGAGTGAGTTTACTTTAGCCCCTCAGCTGCAAGTCGAAAGTGTTTATCCAGACTCAACTAATTGTATAACTAAATGGGCCGGCTATAAACATGAAACAGATTGCTTTTACAAAATGTATAACTTACCTAACCAGAGCGCTGTCATACGCGCAAGCTTGATGCGTTCACTTGGGGTAAAGCCCTTTACGAATAATAAAACTTTTCCCATCTCCTCTTCGAACATTTTCTCAAGGTACTTGTACCGTCTGATGAGCTTAACAAATACCTAGAAATCGGAGAAATCAAATTTGCACAAGTTAGTTGACGGTTAAATAAGTCGCGATTCATTTTAAAAAGTTTGGTTGTTGTTGCAACATTAGAAATCTTTAGATTGTTGGCTTAGTAGTTTCACAAAAAAAAGACAAGTAAAATATGGCATTTTATTTTGCATATATTGACACCGATTACATTGTTGAGATGCATAACCGGTTCTAATAATATGCATTTTGCTTCAATAACGCGACCGTTTGAGTGTGTTTGTTCACATAGAGTACTGTAGAAAGAATTTACTTGTTGGCACATAAGAAATCTCCAGACTGTTAGTGTTTATAACAAACCAAAGACAAGTTAATGTGTCAATTCATATTGCATATTCTTGACACCGATTACATTTTTGAACTTTATAATCAGCTCTAATGATATGCAGGCACAAATACAATTTAGATTCAATAGTGCGACCTTATAAGTTTGTTTGCTCACATAGAGTACAGTAGATAGAATTTACTTGTTGGCACATAAGAAATCTCCAGAATGTAAGTGTTTATAACATACCAAAGACAAGTAATTGTGTCATTATTTTTGCATATACTTGACACCGATTACATTTTTGAACTTTATAATCAGCTCTAATGACATGCAGACAAACAAAAAGTTCTCATGTTTAGACAACATAAGACAAGGCTCCATCAAAATTAAATTAATTTATTTTATTAGCAATGTTTGGAAAAATTACTACTGGCTTTTCATCTCAACCTGCGATGAATTGTTAATTTTAAAGGAAACGTGTTTTAACTAATTTATAGTGTTAATGTATACAACCAATTCATAACTTTAAAAAATGTTACAAACCTGTTCATGGTTGCGCATGGCCTCCATGCTCTCGGGAGCATCGAAGATGCAGTAGTTTGTGCGCGGCTTTTCGCCATCCTGAGATATGGAACCGCCAGGCACTGCAATCGAAAAATAGATAGTCAGAATAAATATGAACAAGAACTGATTGTAGCCATTGGACTCACCTAGTAGACCTCCTGCAATCAATATATCGAAGAGAACTTCACCGTAACGACGATAATCGAGCTTGTTGCCCGCGCTGTCTAGATATTTAGAGATTTGTTCCAGGTCGCCTTCAGTTTTTTCGAGACCAGCAATGACCGCATCACGGAATCCCGTTGGGTCATATTTTTCTCTTTCATCTCTTTTTCTGGTCTTGATGCGTTGACCCGATAGCACTGGTCTTTCAGTTTTTTGACTCATACAATAAATTGCTGCAAAGGTAAAAATCGATCAGAGATGGAAGCGCTTTCAGTTCGCCCCTATTGTTTATATTTTTTAAAGAGACTTAATTCCCAAGGTCACTAGATGGGTTAGAATATCTATTATTTTATCTTTTTATTTTATGTTATTACTAAGAACGTACGAATGTAAGTGATGACTAAGTCCTTCTGCACGACCTGAGATTTGGGTATTGTTGATTCATTCGAGATGAATGAATAATTCTTTTTACCTAAAATATTATTTTACCACCTTAGTTCGATGTTAAAGCAAACCCCCCATGAACACTCAGCTCGTGTGAGGGAGCCTTAACCTAAAAATGCTCGCGTACATGTGCTTTGCGCACTCACACATTAACGGACAGAGAACGGGCACACTCCACTCCACCTCTCCCTTTCTTTCTTTACAAATACACACGCATTCAATCTTTTACAGTTTGATAATGTCGAAAAATGAAATGAAATGAAAGGCGAGACGAGGAGAACCGCCCGCCCAAGAAATCGACAAAGAAACGCAGAATAAAGTGAAATTTTGACGTTGTTACTCTGTTAGCTAGCGCGCGGCAGGGAAACGAGGTCATTGTGCATGTAGTACACATACAAAAGCGGCCAGTGAGCTGACGTCTATGTATTGGCGGCGGGGAACTGTCACAGCAGCGAAATCGCGAAAATGGAAATACCCCGGTTACAAGTACGCGTTTGGCAGATTCAAGGAACTAAAACTTACACTTTCACTCAACGGAAATAAGTCTGGCCCTGTGTTCGCCGCTTCCGCGTGTCCTTGCAAGTAATCGAACTCGGTGAGTGTATGCGTGCGTGTGCTGTGTGCGCCTGTTGCTTTTTCACAACTGACGAGCGTGTGAGCGTGCTTAAGAATGTGTAATTTAATTTAACCTCTCGCAGCGCTTACTAATACTAGTGAGTCGAGTCGACAAAAAACAAAGGCAGATCTCTTTCTTTTTTACTTACGAGCTGTTGCACTGTAAAATTGACACGCACGCACACACTCAACAGCGACCGATGGAGGAGAGAGAAAGCCAAAGAGTATTTTTTGTAACGGAATTTACTTTTCTGCCTTTAATATCAACGTTAACAATTTTGCCCGAGTCGAATTCAGACTACGTCCGGAATTCTATTTTTAACAGCTATCACAATCGGTTACTGGGTATGTGTTGTTTGCCTCAAGTCCAGCGCCCCGTCTGCGCGCACCACTTTGTTAAATGAAATTCAGAGAGCGAATGAACGAATGACACACGAGCGGACGGCCGAACGAGGCGAAGCGGACGAGCCGATAACGAAGACATGTGGTTCGGCGCCATTTTGAAGCGACACATTGACATGGCGAACGGAAGAGAGGGATAGGGAGACGAAAAGAAACGGGGGGAAACTGCGAACGCAAAACGAAAAAATAAAACTGAGCGGGGGTTCGGGGTCCAAAGTGTGCATATTTCTGTCGTTCTTATTAAATAATGTGTAAGGTACAGTCGAACAAAGGCCCGCTGGCCACTAAATGCTTTTACGCGTGAATTTATGGCTGCCCGATGACTAACCTCGTCATATATACGCACGCAGTTCGTACATAACCCCTTTTCGAACAAAGGCGCAGACAAAGGCTTTTTCGTAGCTGTCAAAACTGCCAATTGCAAAGTTACTCGTCGCTAACTCGGTCAATCCTAGCTTAAATATAGTCTAGATTACTTGTGCACTTGGGTACTTACGATTAAAACAAAAAAATCTGTTTTGCTGCGAATAGAAGTAACTTTTTGTGTAGCTGTTGGGCTGTTTCTTGTCGACGACTTGCAGTATGACCGTGTTTTGCTCGCACAAATTAACGAAGTGACTTGCCTTGCCTGGGCTGGAAAATTACAGCATTTCGGTTCCGTCGCCGACTGGCCACACCCTTAGGAAGAAAGATGATTTATAGCGAGGGTATTCAATAATCTGTTGAATTTTCAAACTGAAATTGTGTACAATTTTATTTTTGTACTGCTAGTTACTGTCAAAAATTTTTAATAAGGTAAAAAAACAAACAAATTTGCTATCTGATTTTTATTAAAGTAAATAGTGCATACTGGTGATACTATTACAGAGTTGCCTTGACATATGACCAAAATTCAACAATTCAGTAATGAAACAGTGTAGGGAATCCCCTTATTACTTTGATGATTTTAAAGTATGGCTGCCAAACACCCATTTAAAGGTTGAATGATTACCTGTCGTTTAAATTATTGAATTCCCTTCAATTAGATCAAAATAAATGATTTACTACAAAAAAATCACTTTATATAAAGTATAGCTATTTTTACAACCCTATATATTTTTGTTTCATTCATAGAAATCCATACAAAATCGCTAGATTTTCGAAAATCTGGCAACGTCGTTCAAGACTTCACAGAAACCAATTGGAACATTTTGGCGCACAGATCTATATTGTTTACTTTTTGATATAATTAGTTTAATGTTGTATTAACCGAAATGAACTTTGATTCCGTAAATATACCTGCAAAACTAGTGCCAGACAACTATTTGCAGCTCGGACTGGCGGCCCAACGCAGCAAGCACCGCAGTTTTAAGGAGCTCCTCGAGAAGGTAAACAAAAAAACGCAAATCTATTTTTCAAGCAATTAAATTGAATTTCCAGCGGAAGCTGCCGGAAAATGGGTGGTCAGATGAGCAGATTGAGGAGCTTGTGCTTCAACTGGCGTCCCTGGACAGCAACAACTTTCCCCACAAGGTCGGACTGGGAGAGCGGGAGGCCCGAATTGCCTGTAGTGAGTTTACCGATCGTTTGGGTTGTTAAAGATTTCTGGGAAAACTGCTTAATTTCCTTTTTTTTTGCATGGAACACTATACAGGGCTAGTGGCCCGCCGGCACTATAACTTTGGTCACGGAATCGGGCGCTCCGGAGATTTACTGGAGGCGCAGCCTAAGGCAGCTGGCTCCACGTTGCTCGCACGCCTCACAAATGCCCTGATCCTGGACCTTGTGCGTGGAATGGGACTGTCCAGTTGTGCCGGTTGCTTTCTGGTACCGATGTGCACCGGCATGACTTTAACCCTGTGTTTGCAGAGTCTTCGCAAGCGGAGACCCGGTGCGAAATATGTTCTCTGGTCCCGCATCGATCAGAAGTCCTGCTTTAAGGCCATCACAGCGGCGGGCTTGAAGCCGGTAATCATCCCCTGCCAGGTTAAAGAAGATTCCCTCCTAACCGACATTAATTCATTCCGGGAGGAGATAGAGTCGTTGGGGGTAGAAAACATTCTCTGCCTTTACACCACCACCAGTTGCTTTGCTCCCCGCAACAGCGATGACATTGTGGAGATATCCAAGTTGGCACAGGAGGCACAGCTTCCCCACCTGGTCAACAATGCTTACGGATTGCAGGTAAAGGACATCGTTCGTCAGTTGGAGCGGGCCAATCGAGTCGGACGCATTGATTACTTTGTGCAGAGCACCGACAAGAATCTGCTGGTGCCAGTGGGCGGTGCCATTGTGGCCAGTTTCAATGAGAGTCTGCTCCACGAAGTGGCCAGCAGTTATGCGGGTCGAGCCAGTGGCTCCCAGTCCCTGGACGTCTTTATGACGCTGCTATCGCTAGGTCGGAACGGATTTCAGGCGCTTCTTCAGCAGCGGGAAGAAAACTTTATATACCTCCGAGATAACCTTAAGAAATTCGCAGAGAGTCGCGGAGAAATGGTGATCGACAGCAGCTATAACTCCATATCCTTGGCAATAACACTGGGTACGATTGCATCGGATGGAAAGGAGAGCATAACCCAGCTTGGGTCTATGCTGCACACGCGTGGAGTGTCCGGAGCAAGAGTAGTAGTGCCTGGGCAAACAAAAACCATCGATGGCCATAAGTTCCTGGGTAAGTAATAAAAGGAATGTGTTGCTTGCGATACTTAAATGTATACGTTATTTTTGGTTCAGGTTTTGGTTCCCACCGCGATGACCTAAAAGTGCCTTATTTAACTGTGGCGTCAGCCCTTGGAATAACTCGAGACGAGGTCGACAAATTTGTTGACATTTTTAGCAAGTGCTGGCAACAGCTAAGTCAAAAGTAAAAATTCAAGTAAAACAGAAAGCCAACAAATGGAAAAACGACTAAAAAACACATTACCTAAGTAAACGAACCTAATTCTAGATATAATAGTACATTAACTATAAAATATGTAATACAATGTAAAAAATAATAAAATTGATTACTTTTTTCAAAACAGTTGGTGTGTAAACTTTCTGTCATAAAACTAACTATTAAATGCTTTCTTATATAGTTTGAAAAACTCTGGAAGTTACTGAAAATAGGAATTCTTATTTCTTATTTAGAAAACCCTTTTTAATGTTAGTTATTTAAACAGCTTTGGGATGTGAGCGTGAAATACAGCCAAATTAATTAATTTAATTTGTAATTTTTTCATGGCGGCTTCACTACACACACAAAAACAACGGTAAAACCTTTTGTAGTTCTATGCAGATTAAACAAACATTTAGGAATGTATAGCAACTTATATTTGTTTGAACAATATGGCGGAGCATGCAATAACGATAATTTACTAACGAGAAAATTATACCTATCACCCTGCCTAGCTTTTGCTGAGACCATTGCATTTGGGTTTATTATTGGAGCTGCTGGTTGGGTTGCTGCTGCAATTGCTCGGCACGTTTTCTTTGTCGCGGTGCCTTTCGCGACTCCGCCGCTCTAGGTGCTGGTTCATGGTCGCCTCGATCTTGGCCAGCGACAGGTCGTACTCGTGTTTAATGCGTTCATACTCGCGCTTCATATGCGCTTCCTTGTCCTCGGCATACAGCTTGTAGTTGTGCGCGGTGCGCTTGGCACTTTGATAGCGCTGCTGCGCGGATCGCATCGCCTCTTCGTGGGTGGTGCGCAGCGAGTCCAGCTGCTGGCGCCAGTGCTGCTCCACCTGGTCGATGGACTGCCGCTGCTTCTCCCACTGAGCCATCACTGCCTTCATCGATTGTCTCTCTGAATCGATGCTGGCGTGCTGCTCCTCCACTTCGTGGAGAAGCTCGGCGATTCGTTGGTTCTTTGCTTGCAGCTCCTGGCGGCACTTTTGCAGCATTGCCTTCTGCTTTTCATCCTTGCCGGCTAGAATCTCATCAATGTTCTCGCGTTCTGCCAGGATGGTTTGCTTGAGCAGATCCACCTCCGTTTGCCGCTGCTGCAGTTCTGCACACACCGCTTGGTATTCCCTTTGGAGGCACTGGCTCCGCTCTTCGGTCTGTTGAAGGCGGGAGGTGAACTTCTTCAGTTCGGCGGCAAATAGTTTGGCCATCTCATCGCGAACACGTTGTTCGATTGCTTTAATTCGCTCCTGGGTAAGCTCTTTCGGTGATGGGCTCGGCGAGGAGTCTGAATTCGATTTTGGACTCGGCGTGGACTTCTTCTTTTGATACTCCTCCTGCTGTTTTATGTACGCCTCAAATTGCACGGCCTTCTCCTTGAGGTCGTTAATAAGCTCGTCTTGTTTGCTGGAAAGCTCGATCTTTTCCTGCATCTCGGTCTGCAGTAATTTGGATTGCTCCAGTTCAAGTTCCAGTTCCTTTAGTTCCTTGGCCTGCATTGAGTTTACGTTTTGTAGCTTCAACAGCTGAATTTCGGACTGGAAGTAGTAGAATGGTTAAGTTACTGATAAAATAAAGAGTGGTTTTCTCGCTAACCTTTGTAATCTCTGCCAGGTTCTCGATGCACTTGCTGCAGTTATCAGAGCTCTCCTTGGCCGCCGCAGTGGCCCCCTCCCGCTTCTCCCGCTCGCTCTTCTGGCGCAGAGTCTGCAGCTCCCGCTCGTGGCTGAGTTTTTCCGATTCCAGAAGCTTCTTTAGCTCCTGGGACTTAAGCTCAGCCAGCTGTAAATTCCGCTGAACAGTCGCTAGTTGCTGGCGTTGTTCCTGCAAGTCCTTGAGCGTGTCCGATTCCCTAAGCTTTCGTAACTCGTAATCCAAAGTCTCCTTGTCTGTCGCGATGTCAGCGTATAGTTTCTTGAGTCTCTCCACCTCGCTCTGGGAATCCTTTAAAAGTATCTTGTGTCTTTCCAGCTCTAAACGCTGGTTGTCCGCGGTTGCTCGGGCCCGCAACTGGCGATTATCCTGTGTGAGCTGCTCATAATTTCCCTGGAGGCTCTCGTGATGCTGCCTTAGTTGCTCTAGATCCTTCTCGGCATTCCTGAGTTGCTCCTCAATGTGTTGGCGTTTCTCCTTCAGTGCATCTCTCTCTGTTATTATGGCATCCAGTTGTGCCTGTAACCCCGATTCCTGTTGTGTTTTCTGCTGTTGCTCTTCCAGCTCTTGCTGCATGGCTTTTACTTTGTTTTCTAGACGCATTTTCGCTTCTTTTAAGGTTGCTAGTTGAACTAAAGATTGGTTCTCCTGGTCGCGCAACGAACGCAGTTCCTGGTTGCGCTCCTCCAGGTGCTTCTCCAGGCGCCGCACCTCCTCCCGCTTGTTCTTCAGATTGGCTAGCGCTCGATACAGCTCCTGCTTGATGTGGCTAACCCTGTCTAGGGGATTCAGTGGTGTGCTACCCACTAGGCGGGATCCACCCACTTGGCTTAGCCTCCCGGAGGGCGTTTCATCCGCCTGATGCTGTTGAATAAGCGAGTCCATAAGGTCGAGCTCCGCCGTGGTTTCGTTGAGGCGCTCGTTGAGCGAAGCGACCGTTTGTTCCAGGGCGGCAATGCGGGCTTTCAAGTCACTGATGCATTGCTGCTGTCGATGATTCTCTGCCTCTAGATCGGGCCTACTGCTCATTTGGTTGCAGCGCATCTGCGCCACATCCAGAGCCTGACTCAGCTCGTTAATCTTGGCCGCCTTGTCCAGCAGCATGGTTTCATGGCCAGACTGCAGAGCATTGTAGCGCGAGGTAATCTGATCCAGCTCGTTCTGCTTGCGATCTAGCTGATCCTTGACCTGCATGAGCTGCTGCTGGAAGAGATCGCACTGGGCTCGATGGGTGTCTTCGATGTGCTTTACCCGTAACTCGGCGCTGCGCTCCTCCCGGTTGTGTTTGTCCCGCTGCACCATGTCGTACTTGCACTGGACGTCGGACAGCAGGGTTTTGGTGATCTCCAACTGTCCCACTAGTCGTGTGTTGTCCTCCTCCAACTGCTTCTTCTCGGAGCGCATCTTGTCCAGGTCGCATTCCTTGTTGGAGCAAATCTCCTTGGTCTCCACCAGCAGCTCGTGGGTGTTCTGCTTCTCCCGCAGGGCGCGCTCCAGCTCGGCCTGCGTGATGGAAAGGCGCTTCTGGAACTCATCCAGCTGCTTGTGCGCGGCGTTGGCGATCTGGTTGACGTTCTGCAGTTCGTGACTCTTGGATTCCAGCATCATCTTGAGGCGGTGTATCTCGTTAGCCTGCTGAGGATCCTCCTGCAGCGGCATCTGGTGCGAAAGCGCTGGGTAATTTGGCAGGACAGCCGGCGGCTGTTCCGGCGGGTAATTCGTCGTCGAGTCAATTGTGTTCTCCTCATCGTCCAGGTCGTCGAAGGCGTTCTCCAGCAGATGCCCCAGCTTGCGTAGAAATGGAATCGGTGACATTATTTACCAGGATTTCCAAGATCACTCACCTCCTGTTCGCGTCTCTTTTGATCCTGCAGAGCCTCCTCCTCCTCCTGGCGATCGAGTGTGGAGTTCACGTTCAGGGTGTCCGCCCCCTGGAACAGGCTCATACCTGGCGTGTTCATATCCGCCCAAAGCGACGCTGGAATTCTTTTCCGGAGCGTAAATTCAAATATTTTTCCGAGGCGCAGTCGCTGTTGTTGTAGGCAACTATTTCTTCTTCTTCTTCCAGCTTCTGTCGTGAAAATGTCCTAACGCCTTGCCGTTAACATAGTCACCGATGCTGTTAGGTAAATAATTTGGCTGTAAAGAAAATGTTAACCTATTGGATAGTGGTATTTTTGTTTGGGATTTCCCTAGCTCATCTGAGTACCGCGGTGAAATAAGGCTGTTGCTCATCTCAATAAATGAAGCGGGATTTCAACGCGTCAAATTTCGTTACTATAATCTTTTTGTACAATATTGCAATAATCAATGACAACATTTGTGCTCTTTTGGCCACTTATAGCAAAATTGTACTGTGGGGCTGCTTACACTTTTACTTAGTATTAGTTATTATTTTCGTTCCCAGAAGAGCTTAGATTTTGGACCACACATAGCAAACTGGTTAAAAACAACAAACTACAAATTACACAAGGTTACAAAATAATATTATTGGAGTGCTGCACACAACAACACTGAGTTGTAGTGTTGGAGCCCTAGATCACAAAAATACCACTAATTTTTTTTTCGATAGCAAAGTTTTATTTGAAAGATTTTTTAAAGTTCAAAATGTTAAATTTCTGACTTTTTTCGAATCTTTTCTAATATCTCGGCTCATATCCACCCAATTGGGCCAGTTTATCAGAGCTTAACTTTTCCATACAGATCAATATGATTGGAAAAGAAATGGCAGCGCAGCAGCTTGACAAAGATGAAAAAGGTGTTCTTTGCTCCACTGTAAGTCGGCTGTATGTATCGTAAAAAAACTTGAAATAAATTCGTTAAAAAATTATAATGTGTACAAACTTAAAGTTTACACCCTACCGAATAAAACAAGCCAAGTATGGCCCAAATCCATGAAAAATTGGATTTTTGGTGGATTTTTTACCCGTTACTCGTAGAGTAAAAGGGTATATTGTATTCGTGCAAAAGTATTTAACAGGGAGAAGGAAGCGTTTCCGACCCTATAAAGTATATATATTCTTGATCAGGACCACTAGCCGAGTCGATCTAGCCATGTCCGTCTGTCCGTCTGTTCATACAGAGATCTCGGAAACTACAAAAGCTAGAAGGTTGAGATTTTCCACACATATTCTTGAGCCTCCTGCGCAGCGCAAGTTTATTTCAACCGAACGCCACGCCCCCTCTAACGCCCACAATCGCCCACTAACGATTTTAAAATGTGTCCAGCGCCCACATCTTTAAAGATTTCCGAGAAGTATAAAGGCAATTTTGTTTTGTATACTTATAGTATAAGTCTTATACCTATCGAAATGTAGAAAACATTTTTAAAATCGGACCATTCATTAAAAAGTTATACGCAATCAAAAAAAGGTTATCGGGGGTGTCACAGAAATTATTTCCAACCGAAATCCGTTAAAGTTCTTACGTGCATCAATGCAAAATCCAACCGTCTTCGGTTGGAAGAGATTTCTGTGACACCCCTGTATATATCCTTCTCCCTCGCACTCCCTTTAGCCAAGTGACGGGTATTAGATAGTCGGGACACGAACCCGACTATTTCGTTCTCTCTTGTAAAAGTTCGGATTTTTCAACTTTTTTCGGTCGACAGAGTCCTTTAACTTTAAAATGGCGGTTTGACAGTGCAAATAAAACACAACTAGATTATTTAATTTGTGTAATAAAAGTTATAATTAATGTTATGGTTAAAAGTCCTTGTTGCAATGCAAAAACAACAGCATTATATGTTCTTTTTCAATTTTTTTCATTTTTATTAATTTTATACAGACTGTCCATTCATAAACGCACTTATATTGGGACATTTATCTAATTTCTCGGCATCTATTTGGAAAACCTTGGACAAACGTTTCCAACTTTGCGCATCAAAGTAGTAGAAGGTGCCGCGCTCTTTTGTACCATTTTTTTCATATTGATCAATGCCAGGAATTCGAGTTATCCATATTTTCTCCTCCACATGATACCGCCACTCGCGACTATGCCTACAAAACAAAATCAAAGTTTTAGTATATATATTTTAGTGGGATTGTGTCGGAAGTGCAATACTTACAACTCAGCAGCTGCCATTAATTGCATCATATCGCCGATGTTCGTGTAGAAAAGGAAAAAGAGCAGGTCTTCTTGAAGCTTTTTCAGTACCGGCGCAGTGAGCTTGTCTCTTATCGCAAAGTTAATCAGATATTCGGGTGGCACGTTGAACTCAACGTCTTGTGCTCTGCAAAAGTAATCAAATGTTATAGTGATTTAGTATTACTTTAATAATTCTTAAAAATTAACACGTGTGTGAAGAGTAATAATAAATAATTAAGACACGATAATTCTTATTTCTTCGGTACAACAATTATTTAAAAACAAAGTCTATTGTTTAAATTATAATTATTTAATGTTGCAAATAACGAAAACCTCGGTTGAAATAAAATATTTAAACTTTAAGGAAATTTATGATTGGATTTATTAAAAACAGTTACCGTAATTATTATAAAAAAAGAATTAATAAAAATCACAACTTAACGATTAAGTACACTACTAAATAACCCTACGAACCGTTTCCAGTTATTTTTTGAGTGATTGTTTTCAAACAATCAGCCGTCATATAAGGAATTGTAATTTAAAAACAATAAAAATAAAAAAACTCACCTGCAGGGCTGTGCGACGAACGGACCAGCGAATGTTGTATGCAAGCTCTCCTGTGAATTCAGATTCAGGCCCAAGCCCGTGAGATCCGTGCCCAAGGAGAGAGTCACTAAGTTGGGATCCGTTTCTGCAGCCCGAATGAACGTTAGCAGGCCAACCATGCCGAACTGGTTGTTCACCATGGTCGCTGGTATGTTTGTGACCTTGCCTATTAATATAAACGTGTTGAGTATTAGTAATGCAACCTGTGCAAACTATTGTACACATAAAACCATGAAAGCGTGTTTGCATTTTTAAATGAAGCATTTGAAAGTATGAACTTATTTTTACCAATTATTTCTTAATCAGAGTTACTTTAAAGAATTACAATAATTCGGCGTTATATTTTTATTAGACCCCTGCATGAATACATTCATTAATCCCTTAAAAGGTGTATGTGATTTGATGTCCTTAACTAAAGATTTCGATGTTTCATTTTTGTTGGCATTGCCCATGACTATCATTTTCGTATCTTTGTGCTTTTCATCGCAATTCGTCAGTGATAAAATTTACTCAATCTGTCAACCCGCGGTTTCTTCAGACTTCTATTCACCATGGTAGTTTTATTTGGTTGGTTGCGCGGGGCCTTAACATTTTTATTGTCCAAAATTGTCTTTTGAAAAATCTCGTTATGCCTCTTAGACATTTACACTACACTACACACTTAGTAGACATTTCAGTAAATGTTGAGCACAGAATAGTACTGTACAGTATATATGTTTAAAATTTAAACTTTGAATACATTCACGCATGAGTCTAATTTGTTTACCATTGCAGAGATTATTTTAATAACTGCAAGAGCTTACCAAAGTTATCTTCCTCTCTTGTTTTAAATATAAAATTACAATTACAATGTTCTTTAAAATTGTCCAATGCATTTGTGCTTTTCAGTTTGTTGCTCAAAAAATCTTAAGACCATTGGAAAAATGTTGACTATCGTGGAATCACTTTGAAATTTCGGCACTCACCATCTGGCGAAGTTTGCACGCCGCTCTTCACAAGTTTATCGTTGCTGGAATTATCGTTCAGGTGTTCGCCGCCCGCTCCGCTCCCGGATGTGCTGCTACCACTGCCCAGTCCGCCGCCCACGCCCATCATGGCATTGTTGTTGGGTACACTGTTGACGCCGCCAATGCCGCTGTTGCTGCCCACCAGTCCCACGTGCGACCCGCCGACAACTCCGCTGGCTGCATTGCCGCCGACTCCTCCGCCTCCTGAACTACCAGACCCTCCGCCCACTACCACGCCACCTAGGCCACTTCCCACTGCTCCGAGACCATTGCCGCCTACAACGCCGACGTTGGTGCCGCTGCTACCACTGCCCGATCCGCTGACCACTATCGAATTCATCGGCTTTTCCGTGCCGTCCAAGTGGTTCTCTGTGGAGGCACCGCCGGAGCCTCCTGCTCCGCCGCCGCTCCCTACCGCGTTCGTTGTGCCGTCCGAGTTCTGGGTACCCGGTAACGCAGGGAAGTCCTCGTTTGACATCGTGAACTCCGATTGCTCTGACGTCGGTTGCTTTACCATGCCAACTGAAATCGGGAAGAGGAGCGAGCAGGTCGCCAGGGGAAATGAGTGAAGCGAAGGAGTGACTTACAAAAGCAGATGAAACTCATACAAACTACATATTTTGTATCTAATAATGGTAGACGCTCAAAAAAGGATTATTTTACCAAATAAGTTAATAGAGAATAAATGGTAATAAGTTGTTAAGTATGTTAATAGCACCCAAAAGACTTAGTCCCATTTTGTCATAACCAGTAGGTATTAGTAGTCGCTTTTAAAACATGTATTTATTATTTTTCCCCATTTCCATTTGTCTATCTGATTGGCCGTATGAGCGCTGACATCTCAGAAACTATAAAAGCTAAAAAGTTGGAACTAAGCATGAAGATTCTAGGAGACTAGAGGCTCCATTTTTTGTATATGGTAAAATAAAATGTTAATCGGAAAACTGTGAACTTAGTACGCTTTTATTTAACTAATTTTGTTACATATTTGCTGGTCCAAACTTTCATAGTTACCAAGAATGAAAATATTTTAAAATAAATGACCTTGCATGATCTATATATGTAGTTGACAGATTATTATCTTTGGTGGCTGTATTAATATTTATTATATTTGTATATAACTAGGTTAGTCCTGAATTTTTTGAGCGTTTACCATACCAACACCATTACCCGATTAGTCACAAATACAATCACCGCATAGCATAACTAAGTGGGCCCGAGAAACTAATCACAAAACACTCAGGTTTTCAGGTTCTTAATCGTAATTATAAACAGAAATAAATAAAAAGAAGTGGATTTTGATTTGAACTCACAAGAGGTAAAGAAATTACCATAGGGTTTGCTGCCCGGCGGCTGGAGCGGATTTGATTGGGGCAGTGTCTGGTCGTTCTGGCCGCGCGCATTCGTCAGCGAGGGGAACTCCGTGGGATCGAGCAGGGCTGGCGTAGAGGCATCGCTCCCGCCACCTCCGCCGAACACGTGGAAGTTATTCAAAGGACCGCCACCGCCTCCGCCCGTTCCGTAGCCGCCGCGACCCGTCTGCATGAAGTTGCCCATGTTCGACTGTGGAAAGGAATTTAGTTAGCCAGGTCTTATGAAATATGCCTATAACTAGTCTAACTCCAACTCAATCTTTATAAAAACGGGAATGGAAATAAACATCGAAGAGCAGAAGTTTTAAAACCCTTGCAGATTTTACGAAAAAAAATTAACTAGAACATTATAAATATATAAAGAAAAGTAACAAACTACAAAATATATGCAAATATCCTAAAAAAACATAAACTATTCAACTTTTTTACCATATTGTTTCTAGGCGAGCTATAAAATTTAGACTTCCGAAAATCGCTTTTAACCTGATCAAGGTTTTCATAAAAAATGATTTTGAAATTTCTGTCAAATATTTTCAATTTTTGCAATTTATATTCGTTTGCTCCTATGGGAGCTATACGACTAAACGACTAAAAGCACATAGCTTTTATACTGGAGCTCGCAATCGGTATTGAAACATACGGACATGGTTATATCAAATCCCCTAGTGATCCTGATCAAGAATATAAAAATATTTATAGGGTCGGAAACGCTTTCTTCACTGCGTTACAAACGTCTGAACATTATTATACACCCTCTCCATAATATAAAAGTACTTATGAAAACCCCCTCAAAAAATCGAGAGCTTTCCATTTTGTGACGGTCTTCTAGTAAATGAGCAACATATAAAATAAAAATGGTCTGTTCATTGAAATTTTAAGATTATCTTTGCTGGTATAGAATAAAAGTGGAATTTAAGCTCACCTTATAAAAAAAAATGTTTTTAATGTTTAATACATTCTAATCTATCTTAAAAAAATTTGTATTGACACCTAAGTTATGATCAATAAAACTAAGTTCCTTAAAAGTTTTAAGAAACGCTCGACAAATGTTTAAGAAAAAGTTTTGTTAAGTTAGAAAAAGCTACACTTGAACGAGTTCGAGTTGGAGAAGATGGACTTTATTAAGTGGTCCTCACCATGGGGCCACTGCCCAATCCCTGCATGGCACGCCGTTCCACAAACTGCCGCTGGCCGAAGAGGTTGGCGTTCCGGTTGCCGCTGGAGATAGCGGGTCCGCCGACCGAGAGTTGGGCATTCCGGTTCGGCGACAGTTGGGGCTGCTGCTGCTGTTGTTGCTGCTGCTGTTGCGCCTGTACGTAGTTCGCCGCTCCTGGAAAGGGGTTGGCGAAGTCTGTGGCACGCAAATGTGAGTGGGATGCTCCATGAAAACCTTTGGATTAACACCTGCTTACCGGTTTGGAACATGCCCGACGTGGGCGTCACATGGCCAGCCAGGGAGCTACCACCGAATCCGCCAGTTGTCCGGCCAGCTAACGCCGCGTTCGCTATACTTCTCGGGGGTTGTTGAAAATTTAAATTCGCCATAATCTGTAATAAAAGGGGTTGTCGATTAATATGCAGCGCCTCTATTTTTGTGGGCATTCTTATCGCTGTAAGTATGAATAACACCCATTAAGAAAAAACAAATCATTTTAAAGAATGTTCGCGCTTTGTTTTGATGGCCATACAAAATAAATTTGAACAACTATCGTAACCCCAGAACAAATATATTTTATTCTGGATTTCGTATTCTGAATCTTCTCTCTTATAACCTACGGCGTTGTTCAGAGCCATCTGCGCCGTAATCAAAAAATACCCGCTGTCAAAGGGCTGAATCGGGAATATTCTTTGGCCATAAACAAGAGTTGTTACTCTGAGTGACTCAGTGGAGGGGGACTATAGTGATAACAAATCGGCTCCCCGCAGATAATTGTCGCACACTAAATGCGAACATATGCGTGTTAAACAAATAAACAAACAAAATTGTGGAGCCTTGGGCCCAAGCCAAGCATCGCTAATCGTGAATATATATATATATAGGTATAGGTGGTCTAGTTTAATTTGCGTAACTCCGTTTCGAAGGGGATGCCTAAAAGGGTAAGCAACATACAATGCTATAAACAAATTCGCCCTCGCCATTCAATTCCGTTAAATGGCCGACGCATCAGCTGTCGATTGGCGAATTCGGACAGCAAGCAGAGCAAAGGAGAGGAGGAGAAGTGAGAGGTGAAGGAGGAGGGGGAGGAACAGAGGCAAAAAGGCTGCGGCAATTATTGCGTTCCTCTTTGGCGTGGGCACACATGCACAGGCCGTGTGGATAAGATGGAGACGAAGACAATGGCAGTGGTGTGGGTGACAAAACCAGAATGACTGGCGGCAGGATGCGAGGAAGAGGGATGGGGCGAATGCAAAAGGATACGCCTGCACTTGTCGCACGATCAATTGTGAAGGTAGTGGTGAAGCAGTTCTAAAAAGTGCAAAAAGGTGTACAGTAAATACTGTCAGTTTCGGGATAACACCATACGATTTTTAGGCAAATAAATCCACATGCCCTTAAACTCGACATCATTTTACTAAGCGATACATTTTGTTTTGTTATTGGCTTACGAAAATAATAAGTCAATCAAGTTTACAATTTGGAGTTTTGGATTGTTTAATTGCATATGTAGTTTAAGATAAGTTATATAATGTACTAAAGGAGTTTCTATGGAAAACCTAAAAATGTGTCCACTTCACATTTTTATAGGTCTTTGGTTAAAAGTTTATCATCCCGTAAAAGACTGGTGCTGTTACAATTGTTCAGTTGTTATCAACAGATTCTTATTGATTGCTTCTCTTGTGTCAAACGGTTTATCTTATCGGAAGTCCACTGTAATCCAGAGTTCTTCACACACACAAACCCATCCACACAGGATTTTAGGCCACCTCCCCGTTCACCTGGGCTAATCTTCCCAGAATTCGATTATTGGTAATGATTGCCATTAGGGCACCTGAAACCTAGCCATCCATTGCCGTTTTACCTGCCCTGCGCATGTAACTTTATCAGCTGACCCGGCCACCGCTTTGCAACACTGGCACCCGCGCTTACAACAAAAACTCTTGCTAGCGGAAACTTTCGGGCCAAGTAAATTAAACCTTGTAACCTTGGGCGGCTCGGCCACAGCAAGGCGAAAATGAAGAGCGGAGGGCTGCGCATCTTACCTAAATTAACGTTAGACGATACTGCCGCTTCTTGCACTTCCACTGTTAACGCTCGCTTTCCACTCTGTCCAGCAACAACAACATACACTGATCGGATCGTTCTCACCGCATTTAACATTCCAAAGCGGCCGGCGGGACGAGGACGTGGGAGTCGTTGTCCTGGCGCCGTGACTGTGGCGGATCACCGAATCAGCAAATCCGCAAGGATATCTGCTAATGCTAATTTCCACTGGGCAGCCGCTGGTTAGCTGTAGTCGCTTGTTCTCCCTCGCACTCACTCGCTGGAAGGCTGGCTGGCTAACTGGCTGGAAGGATGCAACGGGAAACGGGAAGCGGGAACTGGAACTGGAACCGTAGCAGGAGCGAGGTTAGTTAGTACTTTTCCGCGCCGTGTCGTCCCTAAATAAATGGCATATATATTGCTGTGCGTGTGTATATATGCCTCGTCTGTATGCAGCGTGGTCTTCGTGCCAGAGAGAGAGAGACTCAAAGAGAGGGAGTACCGAAGGATGTTGATGCCTGGCGGAGGCAAAAAGTTTTCCGTTTTTTCTGCGCCGCTCTTGCGACCACTTTTATTTCACGCTTATGCAAATGTCGCGCACGTTACACTCGGATTGGCCAATGGCTTTTGGTTTTTGGTAGTGTTTTCCTTTTTGTATTTTAATTGTAAGTAAATAATTGCTCGCTATTGCGCTGTTGTCTCTGCTTCTTTCTTCACTGCTGCACAAGCACTGTGTCTGTGACCCTGTGTGTGTGTTTGTGTGTGTGTCTGTCTTTGTTTTCTCAGTTCATTGAAATTTCACCCGAAGCAGCGAATTGGGCAAATTCTTTGCTCGATTTGTGAGTCTTTTACGCCACCGACCCGCAAATGCACTCGAACTTGGTGGAGCCGGGTCTTTACGATCCACTATCGAGGGGCAGTAAACAATTATTTAGCGCCCGAAATGGCCTTAAATTGTACACAAAAATGTTCCGCAAAAAAACTTTGTGGCTGTCACGAATACAAACACACAGGAATTAGGGATGTAAAAACTTGCTATCGATGCAGGGCTGCTATCGATAGTTGGCAGTTCTGAACGAAGCGGTTGCGTGGCCTTCAGGGGCTGTATGAGCATTCTTTCCAGTGTAATTCAAGCATTATTTAAGATTTTTTATTTTAAAATACAAGTTTTAATTTCATTTGTTCCTAATCAAGTAGTTGTTTACATTTAATCGATAGTCGCAAACGGCTATCGTGCTGCCATCTGGTCTGGACGTTCGTAGGCGTCCTCGCCTGTTTTAGTTATCGATTAGTCTGATAGTGCCTAGGCCTCCCAAACTCAACTTTGTTGCCCGGCCGCAAATTATCTTCCTTTGCGATTTTTCAAGATTTAATTAAGTTTAATTGGCAATATGGGTGACCAAAACTCGGACGATGACAGTGGTGAGTGGCTTGTGAATTTCGTGACCAGCGGAACTGGTATTTAAGTGCATTCGCAGGTTCATCCGGTTCCAGTCGCAGCGGCAGCCGCAGTGTCACGCCGCAAGGAGGCAGTGCACCCGGGTAAGTAATGGCACCTTTTGGGAGGCGTGAGAGTGTGTTGATTGGTCCGCCTATGTTTTCCAGGTCCCCTCACAGCCGTAAATCGGGCAGTGGCAGCGATCGATCCCGCTCGGGCTCCAGATCTTCCCGCTCGCGCTCCGGCTCAGGTTCTCCTCGAAGTGCCAGGTCAGGATCAGCTCAAAGCCGCCAAAGCCAGCGGTCGGGCTCGGCTCGTAGTAAGCGTTCAGGATCTGCTCGCAGTCGCAGATCGGGATCTGCCCGCAGCCGAAAATCGGGGTCGCCAGGATCGCCCCAGAGTCACAGGTCCGGATCGCCACAAAGTCACAAGTCGGGATCCCCTCAAAGTCGTAGATCAGGATCCGCACATAGCCGCAGATCCGGCTCCCCCCAAAGTCGCAAGTCTGGATCTCCCCAAAGCCGTAGGTCCGGCTCTCCGCAAAGTCGCAGATCAGGATCCCCTCGCAGCCAAAGATCGGGATCCGCTCGCAGTCGCAAATCCGGCTCGGCACACAGCGCCAGGTCTCGATCGCGCTCCCGCAGTGGCACACACAAGGGCAGTGGCAACGAGGAGTCCCGCTCTAATTCGCCCAATCTGCAGATTGACGATGAGCGCGCCAACTCCAAGAGCGGCAGTCGCAGCAGAAGTAGGAGCAGGAGTGGCAGTCGCACATCCAGGTCACGCTCGAGGACGGGCACTCCCTCGCCCAACAGGAGTCGCAGCCGCAGTGGATCCGGTTCCGGCAGCGACATTGGTGTGCCCAAGAAAAAGGCGCGCAAAGCGAGTGGTTCCGATCAGGAAAAGAACAAGAGCGGCAGCGATAGCGACATAGAATCGCCCACCAAGGCCAAGAAATCCAGGCTGATCGACTCAGACAGCGAGTCCGATCAAGAGGTGAGACATTGAATTGTTTTCTTGAATAAGATTTTATCTAAAACAAGAAAGGTAGTTAACTTCGGCAAGCCGAAGTTTATATACCCTTGCAGTTAGAAGAAATAATGAATGAGACTCTTATGCTACCTCCAAATTACTTGTGTGGATGTGTGTGACAGGAATCTTATCCAACATATATCCGTTGTTACTTACGTACATCAATGCACAAATCATACAGTTTTTGGATGGAAGAGAGTTATGTGACACAGTTCAAGCGTTTCGGAATCTACGCTGATCGGAATATCAGCGAACTTATTGCCTTGTTTTGAATGTTGGTTTTAAATTGTCAAAAACCAGCATGCCACTTCAAAACAACAAACCTATAATTGGTATACTCGTTATTCGTAGAGTAAATGAATGATCACTGATTAATGCCAAATCCGTCGTCTATCCGTATAAACTAAAAGCTAGAAGGTTGGATTTCTGGGGGCTTCTGCGAAGCTTTTTTGATAGAAAAACTAATTCTCCCAATCTTTCAGGCAAAGAAAGCCCCTGCAGCAGCTGACATCTTCGGAGATGCCGATGATATTAGTGACGACGAGGAAGAGGCAGGGCCTTCCCAGTCCAAATCTCCAGCTCGGTCTAAGAGTCGCAGTCGAAGTAGGTCCCGATCCCGAAGTCGTTCGATGAGCCGCTCGCGTTCCCGGTCGAGGTCCCGGTCCCGGGATAGACTCGAGTCCCAGGCGGAGCAGGCGCCCAAGGAAGACGAACCTGAGCCGCTGCCCGAGACGCGAATCGATGTGGAGATTCCGCGCATTTCTGCGGACCTTGGAAAAGAGCAACACTTCATAAAGCTTCCCAACTTTTTGTCAGTGGTCACTCATCCTTTCGATCCAGAGACCTACGAAGATGAGATAGATGAGGAGGAAACCATGGACGAGGAGGGAAGACAGCGTATTAAGCTCAAGGTGAGCAACACGATCCGCTGGCGTGAGTTCATGGACAACAAGGGCGACATGGTGCGCGAGTCGAATGCGCGATTCGTGCGATGGTCGGACGGCAGCATGTCTCTTCACCTGGGCAACGAGATCTTCGATGCCTACAGACAGCCGCTTCTGGGAGACCACAACCATCTGTTCATCCGCCAGGGCACTGGTCTGCAGGGCCAATCGGTGTTCAGGACTAAGCTCACTTTCCGTCCACATTCCACGGAATCGTTCACGCACAAAAAGATGACCATGTCGTTGGCCGACCGTTCCAGCAAGACCAGTGGCATCAAGATCCTGACACAGGTCGGAAAGGATCCCACCACGGATAGGCCCACGCAGCTCAAAGAGGAGGAGGCCAAGCTACGCCAAGCTATGCGCAACCAACACAAGGCGCAGCCCAAGAAGAAGAAATCGGGTGCCGGCGAACCACTCATCGGAGGCGGCACCTCGTCCTACCAGCACGACGATGGCAGCGATGATGAAAATGCCATTAGTTTGAGCGCCATTAAGAATAGGTACAAGAAGGGCTCCGGTGGCGGCCAGGCGGAGGTTAAGGCGTCCACGATCTACTCCTCGGACGAGGACGAGGGCTCCGACTTCGAGGCGCGTCGCAGCAAGAAGGTGGACAAGGCCAAGGCCAGCAAGGCATTGCGCGACTCCGACAGCGAGTCTGATGCCGGCAGCGCCAAGAGCGGCAAGAGTGGCAAGAGCGGCGGAGGGGGCAGCGGCAGCGGTAGCGGTAGCGATAACGAGGGCAGCCAAAAGAGCGGCGGAGGCAGCAGCAAGTCGGACAGTGGAAGCGGAAGTGGTTCTGGCTCTGGCAGTGGATCGGGAAGTGAAAACGATAATTAAGTTGGTGAAGTTTGCTTGTGCTCCTTGATTCGACCAATAAAGGAAATTTATAATGTTTACTTGCTAACTGTTTGTTACCATCTCTTGCGTAAGGCCTAACAGCATATTATATTTTCATACAGGTATTGAAACGTAAATGTAAATATGAGGGAACGTTCTGTATATTGGGCACTCTTTGTTTTTCTCCAATATTTGGTAATCGGGTACAAGCCGTTACTCGTAGAATAAAAGGGTATATTTGTCCGTGGTCACATCCGAAATATTCTCAAGGATTCAATTTACGCGAACGTTTTCCAAGAAATGCCCTCTGTTGATACTCTGTTAAATCCCAAAAAATTCAAACGAAAACTGTTCGCCAATCATTTAACTTTTTAAAATTCTTTCCGAGAGCATTATATGCAAGTTCAATTTTTATCATATTCGCATGTGTTTTTTATGTTGCTTACATGATGTAAGTTACATAATCGAAATTTAATTTATTTGTACGTATATTTCTTTCATTAATAACACTATGTAACATCAAAAATGAACCGCGATGGATGCTATACAATCGTGTTCGCTTTCAATCCCCAATCCCCGAAAAGATTCCCGAAGCTTTCTGAGAAAAAGGACCTCAAGTTGGAAAAATGTTGAAGTTTGTTTCGGGAATTTTTACAAGGAAACGGATTCTTTGTTTTTTATGTTTTCAAAGCACTTTAAAAGCACCAATCCTTATATTTCAAGTCCTAGTAGTGATCTCTTTTCCAACCAAAGACGGTTGGTTTTGTTTGTTTAAATACGTAAGATTAGTAACGGACTTTTGGTTTGAATCATAGTCGGGTATTATAATTTTGGGTAGAAGTTCTTAACTTATTGAAGGAGACGTTTTCGACCCTACAAAGTAAAATTATATTCTTGATCAGAATCACTAGGAGAGGCGATATAGGCTTGTCCGTCTGTTATATTAAAGTTAACGATCACAGTTTAAAAGTTAGCGATCTAAAACTTTCAGTCGTCCTGAAATATGTGTACTAGGGTGGGTCGATTTGGGACCACAAAATTCGTATAGGGGGAACGTAATCTTTAAAGAATTCTAAGCCATTTTGACGAACATACTTATGGTCTTAAATGACGTTTGACCTTCCCAAACGCGAATGAAAAATACTGCTTTTTTGAGAAAATATCATAGTAGTCAGCACAGATATCTTACTGAATATCAATTTCAAATTTTGTAATAGGGGAGAGTGGGGGAATTTCGTCACAGGGGCAATTTCGTCACCTGCAATATCTCGGAATCCATAAGTCGTAAAAATATATAATTTTTTTGTTTTAGTCCTTCAAGACTGCCAGACACAACCAATGCGTTTTTTTTGCACAGAAGGCCAAGATAATTAAGCTATAAAATTAAAGGTGTTTTAATAGTTCAAAAGCTACATTTAGTTCTCGACGAAATTTTTTCTGTACGCCACAATTGAAAAGGGATACAGGTTTTTTTGTATAATACACAGTGCTATAATGTGCATTTCTGCGTTAGTGATGTTTAACCTCGCGCCTAATTTCGGAAGAAAAATAATTATTACTAAAAAAGTACTGTTTGGGGAAATTTCGCCACCCTATGCCTAGGGTAAATTCGCACCTATTTTAGATACATCTTTTTTTATTTGACGAGCTGGCTAACGAACAGACTACCGCAGCAGCAACAAATATAGGACGTCAACAAAAATGGTACGCTTGATCAGTGTTGCATATTTACAGGCGTTAAACTCCCTATATTTTTCAGGTGACGAAATTGCCCCAGTGGTGTGGCGATTTTACCCCTGTATGTGGCGAGATTGCCCCAGTATATTGGTTTTACTTTTTAATTTTTTATAAATCACCAATTTTAAAAAAAAGGGGAATGTCACATTTTAAAGCTTGGTGCTAACCGCATTCAACAATAAAAATATAAATATGATAACGTGTCTCAAGATGGACCAAAAAAAGATTTGAAAAAATGCTGACGAAATTGCCCCACTCTCCCCTACATCTGAGCTGACTACTATATATTTTCCTCAAAAAGAGCTGTATTTTTCATTCGCGTTTGGGAGTAGGTAAAACGTCATTTTAGACCAAAGTATGTTCGCCAGTATGGCTTAGAATCCTTTAAAGATTACGTTCCCTCTATACGATTCATCACTTTTTTCGGCCCCATAGAAATCGACCCGCCCTAATGTGTAGGGGAGAGTGGGGGAATTTCGTCAGCATTTTTTCAAAGCTATTTTTTGTCCATCTTGAGACACGTTATCATATTTCTATTTTTATTGTTGAATGCGGTTAGCACCAAGCTTTAAAATGTGACATTCCCCTATTTTTTTAATTAGCTTGGTGATTTATAAAAAAATAAAATGTAAAACCAATATACTGGGGCAATCTCACCACACAGGGGGGTAAAATCACCACACAACTGGGGAAATTTCGTCACCTGAAAAATGTAGGGAGTTTAACGCCTGAAAATATGCTACACTGATCAAGCGTACCATTTTTGTTGACGTTCTATATTTGTTGCTGCTGCTGGTAGTCTGTTCGTTAGCCAGCTCGTCAAATATAAAAATATGTATTTAAAATAGGTGCGAATTTACCCTTAGCGTAGGGTGGCGAAATTTCCCCAGACCGTACTTTTTTTAGAAATAATTATTTTTCTTGCGAAATTAGGCGCGAAGTTAAAAATCACTGACGCAGAAATGCACATTATAGCACTGTGTATTATATAAAAAATCGTGTATCTTATTCCTTTTGAATTGTGGCATACAGAAAAAAAATCGTCGAGAACTAAATGTAGCTTTTGAACTGTTAAAACACATTTAATATTATAGCTTAATTATCTTGGCCTTCTGTGCAAAACAAATGCATTGGTTGTGTCTGGCCGTCTTGAAGGACTAAAACAAAAAAATTATATATTTTTACGACTTATGGATTCCGAGATATTGCAGGTGACGAAATTGCCCCTGTGACGAAATTCCCCCACTCTCCCCTACGCAGATTTAGTTTGAAATAGCGGCCATTGGAAAAATAAAAAAAAAAATGCAAAATTAAAATGTTTGTGAAGATATTTAGATAATCTCTATAAGTGATTTTTTTAATCGACCTTTAATAGATGTGAGGGTTTTTGGCGGACTTAAGGTCAAAGTTGGTATCATTAACTCAACTGTTTTTTAGCATTTCAACACACTTGCACTCGCTGAGGAGTGAACCTCGGACTTTCCGGAATTTTCAAATTTCGGTAGGGCGTCACCGCTACCTCATCAGCCAGAGAAGAGGATGTGAGCTGAGCGTCGTAAACGATAATAGAAAAAACTTTGCTTAAAACTGCTTACTTCAATTTGGTTTTATTCAGTGATAGTACATAATATTAAAGTGAAGCATTAAGAAATATTAATTTCGTAGTAGATTTAATTGTATGTAAAACAAGAAAGGAAGCTAGCTTCGGCCAGCCGAAGCTTATATACCCTTGCAGATCATTCCTATTAATTAACAAATCGCAAAAATGTTCAATTTTCTAATATTTCTCATTAATTTTCCGATCGTTCCTATGGCAGCTATATGATATAGTCGTCCGATTTTGATCAAATTAAAATTGAAATTCGGAAATATTTAAAAAGAGTCATATCCTAGAGTAGAAGATAATACAATAAAAACCAAAGAAGCTAGAATTTATTTCCTATTACTTTTCCATTAATTTTCCGATCGTTCCTATGGCAGCTATCACTATGGACGGCAGTCCATGTAGTGACGAAGCGCACCAGGAGAGTGTGCGAAGGCGACTACTATATATACACGAAGAAATGAAAATCTACTGTGATGGTCCGATCATAATGAATGATACACCTATCGAAAGGTATTGCAAAAACTAACAGGATTGCATACCAAGACTCTAAGAAAATCAATTGGCTTGGGAGAGAGAGCGGTGAAAGTGAAAAAGTGAAAATTTCGAAATTTGGAGCTGTTGGGGCCGGTGGGGATATTTGCCCCCTCGCAATATTTTACTTGTATTCCTTTTGAAAATACCCGTCGAATGAGGGGTCGTTTGTCAAAATCCGACGCTCCGTTCAAAAGTTATAGCCAAAATAAGATTTTCTTCGTCTTCCCAAAATGAAAATTTAATTCTGTTTGTCAGTTTGTCAGTTTGTCAGTTTGTCAGTTTGTCCAAAACATGTTTTTTAAGTTTTGAAAATTTTATATGACGTTCATCACATCGATATAAAAAACTTTTGTTCTACCACTTTTGGAAAAACTCGCTAGTTTAGCGGGAAAACAGCTATAAATAGCTAAAAATCGGAAAGCCGTAACTTCTATACTACTAAAGCTACAGACTTGTGCTGCATCTCGTTTGAAAGGTATTTTTAAATGCTATAAACCCCTTCTATATGCAATTTGTGTAAATGTAATAATTAAAAAAATATGAACAAAAGACAATTTTTTAAAACTTTTTTTTAGCTTTTTTTTATTTTTCTTAAAAACGGCTCTAACGATTTTCTTTAAACCCTTAAACTGTATAGCCCTTGAGATTCCTTAAATTTTGGTATATAACACATTACTGTAAAAAGTCACGTTTAAAAGTTATTTTTATACGAAAATAGCCACTTTTGCCAGCTCGAACAATTAACGCTCCCTGAGTATTGAATTTTGTGGGAGGGTATCCGAACTGTATTTTAGGGTCATGGAATCAGTAAATTTGCACTTTAGAGTTCCATATAGGAATCTTTTGTTCTACGACTTTTGGAAAAAGCCGCTACTTTAGCGGGAAAAAGCTAAAAATAGCTAAATTTCGTTAGTTTGTAAGTTCTACACTACTAAAGGTACAGACATGTGCTATTCCTCGTTTAAAAGGTATTTTGAAATACTTCAACGCCTTTTTAACTTAATTTGTTAAAATACAATAGTTTAAAAATTATGATTGACCAATTTAAATTTAAATGTATATATTAGCTCCTATGAGAGCAAATGTAAACAAACAAAAACTTCTGATATCAAATAAAACAAGAGAGAACGTTATAGTCGGGTGCCCCGACTATCAGATACCCGTTACTCAGGTAAAGGGAGT